CTCGTCATCGTCCTGCAACGGTCGGCATTCTTTGTTGCCGTGGGGCTTAGCTTGTGTACATTTTCGCTGCGCTCACCTTCCCCTCATTGGTCCTACCATAACCTTGAACCTTCCAAGCTGGAAGGCTGTTGGTTTGCGCACTGTTAGAGCTAGGTCTCAGGTCGTTGAATGTCTCACTAGCCTGTCGTAGTAGCCTGTCAGTTGTGTGCCCTCAGTGCCCTGTTGTCGCACTTTCTGATTTGTTAGTCGTGGATAGTTGCTTCATACTGGTAACTCGTTTCCATGTTCTTCTGTTCTAATCGTGAAAATAGTGAAATTTAATCTCTGGTCAAAGCTTCTCACTTTACAGTAAGGCCACCCTTTGTTAATTCATTGTTTAACGTCCTTTTTTTCGCGAAAAGGTACGCGGGAGGGCGGAAAAAAACAAAAGCCCATTCCAAAAACTGGAAACCCCAATCAAACATTTTGAGCAGTAAAGCATGTGATATATACCATATTTCTGGGTCTAACGGCACTTGCAGGCATAGAACAACACTCTTTGATGGTACATTGGAGCACATGCCTGATGAATCCAACAAAACAGGTACATAGCATGGAGTTAGCATGTCATGAATTCATTACAATCTGGATTTTTACTAGGACACACACCGTACGATATTTAAAAGCCAACAAAAAAAGAAAAAGAACACAAGACAAAGGCATGCCCGGGAGGCAAGATTATAAGTTTAAGGTCATGATCGGCACACTGTGAAACTACACAATCATGTATTTACAACTTCGCATATTATTGGTACTACTACTTTCTTGTTTTTTTTTCGGTCGGAGGCGAAAAGGTACGCGGGCGCGGACGTTAAACAACGAAAAAAGAAAGGGTGGCCTAACGGATGCAAACTATCCAAGAGTTTCAGTACATGTACCAAATACAACAACCATGATAACGGTGTGTGCTTTTCTTCCATTGTAATTTGCTCCATACGCAGGATCAGCCCCAGCATACTCAAAGCCCTATGCCGATAGCATTCCTGAAGTCCCGTCTAGTAAAGACGTCTATGAAGCGGTGTGCATCAGGAAGTGTCGGCCTCCCTTGCCGAAACATTGGCTGGAAAATGAGGTATGTGGAAGACTAGGGCAGGCACACATGTAAACACTGCACATGAACTGCGTTTGAAGCATGACAACCTTGGCAGTAAATGTCTGGCACCGACATCATACAAACATCTACAAATACAGCACACACACACACACACACACACACACACACACACACACACACACACACACACACATTCATCACACACACACATTGAAATACTCTCTATTCTCCCCCCCCCCCCCCCTCTCTCTCTCTCTCCACTCACACACACACACACTCACACACACACACACACACACACACACACACACACACACACACACACACACACACACACACACGCACACACCATGTACCATGCATATGGCCGTCGCAAGAGAAGCACGCAAATCTGCAAATGCACTGGATGTGCACCCACATATTTTCTCATGTAGCAACGATATTGGACAAGATCTGAATGAGACAGATTAAGACTGGCGCCAGATAACTACCTAACACCCCCCCCCCCCCCCCCCCCCACACACACACATAACACAAGCCTGACGTCATGATCATACATGCAAGTCAATGCTATGTTTCGATAATAATGTGTGTGTATGTATGTATGTGTACATGTGTATGTGTGTGTGTGTGTGTGTACATGTGTGTGTGTGTGTGTGTGTGTGTGTGTGTGTGTGTGTGTGTGTGTGTGCGTGTGTGTATGTGTGTGTGTACATGTGTGTATGTGTGTGTGTACATGTGTGCGTGTGTGTACATGTGTGTGTGTGTGTACATGTGTGTATGTGTGTGTGTGTGTGCATGTGTGTACATGTGTGTATGTGTATGTGTATGTGTGTGTGTACATGTGTGTGTCTGTGTGTGTGTGTGTGTGTGTGTGTGTGTGTGTACATGTGTGTGTGTGTGTGTGTGTACATGTGTGCTACGCGTATCTTGTTTGTACGTGTTACACAGGTGCTGAGTGTCATTCATCGTATCATCAACACGTCCTGGAAGGAACACGGCCAGAAACGCTTCTCAGCCAATCGAATCTGGCGCAATGTCCAAGCCCTGGAGACTGTGAAAGTAAAACGGCCAGACAACACTGTAACGTGAAACGGAATGACTGCGTACACCTCACGCAATCGCATCCCTTGCCCCGTTTCTCAACAAGACACATCCTCGCCAAAAAGAACTGATTTAAAGCATACTTGACTCGAATGCCTTGTTTGCAGGAGCGGTAGATGCACGCTTCTATAACCCCTACCAAAACTGGTCACAGCGAAACCAATCACAAGGAACAGAATAATAGGAGAGAATTCACACGCTAAGGAGCTGGCTAAGGCTGTGGCCGGAACGCTAGGCACTTGAACAAGCAAATGGCTTCCATACAGTCCCTCAAACTGTACCTTGACTACCCCACTGCAGGCTAAAAAGCACATGAGAAAAAACTATTTTCAACTCAATTTTATTGCTATTCGATTTGTGTATATAGCTCTCTGGTTTCCAGATCACCGATGAGCCGCTCTATCTTTAAAGTATATTATTTAATTCTATAGAGCGTATGGAGTACATGCATATAATAAACGTAGAGCCGGACGATTTATTGCAATCTTGTCCATGATTACGTACATGTACGGGTAGTTGTATAACTGAACGCGAGGCAAGGCCCAAGTTGTCCCAACAACAGTACTAGTAATCGGCAGTGTGGCAGTGTGGCAGTGTGGCAGTGTGCGTGTTTCTCAAGTAGTCAATTCATCTATTTAGTACCATACATTTCCGTCTTCACGACGTGTAGTCTTAGGGTGCGTTCTTAAATTCTCTAGCTTCTAGGAGAAGAAGAAAAGAGAAGTCGGAGAAACTGGGATTCTTCAAGAACGGGTCTCGAAGAATTCGGAGATATTTTGCAGATGTCAAGCAAAATGAAGCGCCAAAGGGGCCGCGATCTTGAGTGCCACGAATATAGTATGCGCTGTGCGTATGCGAAAAGGGAAATGCGTACACTCATGATCAACACGTGGCGTTTAGCCTAGTTCGCATGCGCTGATCCCAAACCGCGGGAATCTCCAAGTTTCAATCACCTCTGAAGCTTGGAGAGCCTCCTAAAATTCGGAGAGGATATAAGAACAGCTCTCGAACTTTTCGGAGAGTCTCCAACTTTTCCGAGAGGATTTAAGAACGCACCCTTAATCTCGTGGATTGTTCGATTGCCTTTAATTTATTGAGTATCCAGGTGACTATGACTTTGTATGTAGGCATGCTTGCCCCCATTTGACAGCAAAAAGAATACACAGAGACACTATATATATTTAGAATATTGTTTGCCTGATGATTGCACACGGTGCATGAAAGTCAGAGTAGCAAAACACTACGAGTGATCCATTGTTTGTTGACATGTATGTATATATATATTTATATAATCTGGGTATCATCATGGGAGTTAGAGGGCGATTAGGACTATCAGAACATACCGAAAAGTCGTGTATAATATATGACTGTCGGGGGGAAAGTTTGCAGGCTTCTATTTGAGACAGGTTCCTATACAAGGCAGGTATTTCTATGTGTATCAACACTAAAACCAGGCTTATGTGCCTACAGGGCATCTCGAAAAGCAGGCTTTTATTCAGAACAGGCTTCTAAATGAGACAGGCTTTTACACAAGACACTACGGTATTCAAAACAGCTTGTCCAAAAGTGGTCGTAAACCTGGGGCATAGCTTCGTATTACAACCGATCCTATTTGATTATCCAACAATGGATCGGTCACCCCGAGTAATAATAATCATTTTTCATCATTTTTCGCTCGCCGTCCACAGAAGTGGGAGAAGACGTTCAGGAATCTTTTCCCGGCGTATGCTACAAATATCGTTGGTACACTTCATTGTGATCGGTTCGATTCAGTCACTCTGGTCTCCGCAGATGACACCTAACAAGGTCTAAACTGTTAGGTGAACGGAGATCTCGAGTATACACAAGACAAGATGAATGTTTGAGTGCCAAGCCTGGTCCAGACTATGCCATATCTGTTGTCATGATTTTTTATACACGTATTGTCACTCAACATTTCACAGTTTTTGTGGAGACAAAAAAATCAACGCAATAAATAACGCAACAAGTTGCGCATTCAACACCCACCCACCACTACAAGTACACAGCAAGGGTAAAGTATCCTTGAATGATTCCGTTGCCATCTCGCCAGAAGGCTTTTACAGAAAAAAAGTTAAGTTCGCACGTCCGCGTTACAACCGGCTGTGCAATAGTGTTGAGAAACACAAGCAGCTTAGCGAGTTTCCCCTGTTCCAGGCCACCACCAATCACCATGCCTGAGACACCAAGGTAGCACCATGCCTGAGATACCAAGGTGGCAGATGCAGTGCCTGAGATACCGAGGTGGCAGATGCAGTGCCTAGCGGTGAAGGTGAGGTGGTAAGTCCCACCACCAATGTTCGACAAGAGGGCGAACTTCGGTAGCTAACTCCATGTTACCCTCACTTTGAGTAGTGAGTACCGACCGTGGGTGCCGGCGCAGTTCATTGCATGTAGAGTGGCTCACGCATGCATCACTGCATTTGGTAGCACAGTGCACGCTCCATGCTGCCAGCGCGGGTCATGAACTTGGGACCTTGGGATCTGCAGCCAAGTCCACAACCACTCGGCCAAAGCGCTGGTAGGATCTTACCAGCATTTTGCCAGTAAAATCCTTCTGACGAGATCAACGAAAACGTTCAAGGATACCTAACCCCTGCTAGTTGTGTGTGTGCGTGTGTGTGTGTGTGTGTGTGTGTGTGTGTGCGTGCGTGTGCGTGCATGCGTGTACTGGATACAAGGCGAGGACGCATAGTGCTCCTGGCTCGCCTTGTAACATGCTGTCGAAGTCGAAAACATGTTAATACTACATACATGTACTACCTAAAATCACTTGTCCAGATGTTCAGCAGGACACCACCGCAAACGCTTCTGACGATGCCGATCGACCCAGTTCCTTCCTACTGCGCCTGCCTCGCCTAGCCCGATATTCTCATTGACCGAGGGCGAGTTCGAATTGTCTTCATCACCTTTTCCAGAAACATCTTTTAAAAAAGAGCTCCGGATGGCAGTCGTGAGTCAGTCAAGTGTCAAGTTAGGCAGGAAGCGTGTGTTCCTCGTTGGAACAACCAACTTCATGAATAATACCGCCGAAGTCGCAACTTCTAAGTTCATCATAAAACAGATTAGTTGAAGTATCCCGGCCGGTTGCTGTCAGCCTCTCCATTTCCTTTGCAATTGTCATAGCAATGAGATTTTCCTAGCGTGCTTCCCACATGATAAATTGATAATGGGCTTCCCTTATCGTATGTGCACGTTTTGTCTTGAGTACTACGGGAAATGCATACAGAAAGCAGTTTTCTCAGGAATATTCCAAGCTCTTCTGAACTAATCCACTTCTCCTGTTGGGTGAGCTTCTGGAGTTTCGAGGAGACTTTCATTTTCTCCCCCACTTCTTCAGACAAACGAAACTCCTCGGAAAGTGAAAGGGTGCCAATTCGAACGCCCCCTTAGATGAGTCAGTTGAGTGTAACCATGATCTCCAGGATGTAAAGTCGGAGACAACGGTATGAACACTGTTGCACACAGCCGAACAATGATATCCTCGTATGTACTGGTGTTTTCTGTCCAGTTTTGCATGTCAGGCCGCCACGCCATGTCTGACGGACTCCAAAAATCTCATGACATTGTTTGCAGAGATTACCCAATTCACACACTATACTATGTGTAGTACAAAGGACGTCATGGCCGCATACCCTAGCAAGTCGCACCAATGCACAAGAGGGCTATCTGCTACATGCATACTAAAACTGCTGGACATGCTGGTACGTAAAAAGAAATGTTGGAAGAGCTCTTTTAAAAGTTCAACCGCAGTAACCACCAACCTATACTCAAATAGAATGTAATGATTAAAAAAACACAAAACAAAAATACATGTTACCAACACCCAGCATTGTGCAGGGCCAGTTTGTTGGGTTTCACAAAGACACTCACTCACACTAAAGCGTGGCTCACACTTGCTTCACAACGACAGTGGCTCACACCTGCTACTGTTTCTTCGCGTGGGCAGCAGTCTCGCGTTCCCAGCGAGCCCTGTCTGCTTGTTCCATGTCCAAATAGGGCTGTCTTGCGGAGTCACTGAGCAGCTTCCACCTTTTCCCAATCTCCGCACCAATGTCACCAAATGGCCGGCTCGGCATCTCCGAACTAACATCGCAATGGTTCTCTTTGGTGAAAAAAGCATAGGCGGACCTGCAGAACACAACACACACCACCACCGCCATCATCACACCATTAGAGAGGTTATGCAAACTGAAAATGCATACAAACTTTCGCTCTACGTCATGAAGTGCGAAACTTCGCACCAACTTTCGCAACTTTGGACGCGAAACGTGCAGGGAACGCGAAATGAACTTGTGTGGGAAGTTTCGTGAGATGGGGTCATGGCGTACGTGCACTTGGTGCATGCAAACTATGAAAATGTGCAGAACGCAAAGTTCGTGCAAAAATTTGTACACACTTTCGCAAGGATTCGCATTGCTGACCTCGAATTATCAGCATAAATCCCACACAATCATTATCTACGTTAGTGGATTCCGTGGAATTAACCGGACATACCCAGTTCGAAGTTAGAATTATAAGAAATGGCTTAACCCTTTACCATCCATGCGTACTTGAATCGATCTCTAGAGATAGATGGACATGCATACACTAAAACAATCGTAACTCGATCGATTCTTGGCGGAATTTAAAGAACTAAGTATCTAGGAAGAAGCCGAAGAGCCCAGCTTTCAATTGCATCAATTGGTGAAGAGCTGCGATGTCGCATTCCAAAGATATTTCGCGCGACATTTCAGCTACGGCAAATGTCAAACTTTCTTTCCGAGTGACTGACCTTGAGCGGGGATTTTCCCCTCTCCTGACATGCTGAGTCACTTTGGCATGCTTTGAGCGCGTGGGCAGCATGAAAAGATTCTCAAGCAAAAAATTTGGAATGTTTACGATGAAGGAGCGAGAAATGGCTGGCGAGGAGAGAATTTCTTCGCATATCCAGCGATGGAGTGTATTTGAAGCTCCCTGGCGCTGGATATGTGATCTCGGTAGTGTCCTGTTTGAGCTCAATGTACGCAGCTCGTGGAGAGCTTTCCAGAATGCCCAAGATTGTGAAAATTGGTTGATTAGAACCGAAGATATTCTCAGAATAAGGTGAGAATTATTGCATTTGGGACTGCTGGGGAAATTTGGTCGGATGGTAAAGGGTTAAAAGGGGGAAGTCCGGTGAAAATTTTAAATTTCAGGGTCCGTAGAGTTTCGGGCGCTGAGTCGAATAGTGTTGGTCTCACATGCCTCCGACAAAGCGTTTTTGAGATATTTCAGTTTGAAAAACTGAGTTCCGGGACTGCGCAATGAAGTCATGTGGCCACGCCACACCCTCTGCAACAGCAGTTAGGTCAAAAGGAGTGCGCGAAACCAATAGTGTCAATATGCCATTCAAATGTTTTGGCGACCGATAGTAGGTGGTGCAAGCGAACCTGAAGACGTAACTCCATGTGAGAGTGAGGATGCAGCCATGGCTGACCTTGATGAGTTCGGTCTGGGGCTGAGAACTTCGGTACTGTAAAACCGGAAGGTTTAACGACCAAAAAGTTAAACGTTTTTTTGTAATTTAGGCATGATAACGTGCAGAAAGTTTAACGATGGCTACCTGGCCACCCATCTGTATGCGCATCTTTACCCAAACATGTCGCAATAACGTTTCTTCAAATATCGAAAAAAATTCGTTAAAACATTAGACTTCGTGACTCGTTAGACTTAGGGCCGACTGCGGCAAATTTTGGTTGCCTGACGAAAACAGAACAGCGTCAAGAATTTGAATCGCGATCACACTACACATGTGGGGAGAGTGAAAATTCAAACTTCATTTCGAGCGTCAAGTGGTAATCTCCACGAACGACGTCAAATTCCTTCACCTTGGGGATCGCCAACACCTTCAGTGCAATCCTTGCAACCATGCTTATGAGTTTTGTTGTTGTCCGTGGCCAATTAGCTCCTCGATATCGAGATTAAAAAATCAGTGATTATCAGCGTCAATGGCGTATCAGCGTCAAATCCTGTTTGGAGCGGAAAAGCGTGGTCCGTTCTTGCTTTTTTTTGGAGCGTCAACTCTCGCTTTTGCCGCTCTGGCGGCAAGTTACTATGGAGATTCGGATTATAATCCTAGGATTATTTCGATTTTGCCGCAGTCTGACCAGGCCCTTAGGCTTATTCAGCTCGCCCCGAGTTGAACTAGCCCTACCCTAGACCCCCGAGCTTATTCAACCCCCAGGGCTTATCTGACCCTCCAGGAAATCGCGATTCCACGGATGCAACAAATTTCGCGATTTTGGCCCAAACCCGCGATTTTCAGCAAAATCCGCTATTTCCCACGTTTTTTTGTTGTTTTCTGCACTATATCTCACATTTTTATGCACTTTTCACGCAGTTCTTTCCGTGATCCTGTAGGTTATTTGCACAGTACGACTCCGGAGTAGATATACGATGCAACAAATTTCGTGATTTGGCCCAAATCCGCAATTTTCTGCAAATAATTCCGCGAATTCCTGGCAAGTTCTGCATCATTCCGCACTTTTCGTCGCATTTTTTGTTACTTTCTGCCGCAATTTCTTGCGCAAGTTTTCGAGAGTTTTTTCCGCAAATTCCCGCAGGGACAGGCTTATAAGCGAGTTTTTCCGTATTTTTCAATTTTGCCTCGTGAACCAGATGAGATGTCACCGTGGACAGTGCGTCTCCTTTGTTTCTTTCTTGGCATTTTTTCTTATGATTTTTCTTTCAGTGGAAGGTCCTAGCCGATCCTTCACCTTCTCGAAAAATAAGTGACAATCGAAAGGGAGTAGAAGCGCGAGCCGGCACTTCTTGATCCAAATTTCATCATACACGAACATTTACCACTGCATTCATGTGCGATTTGAAAATAAAATGCGCGCAGAACTCGCAGTCACTCACCTGAACTCGGCCCCGTACAACCGTCGTGTAAACGGTTGAAAAATAAGACCGAGGCGAATTAGCCCGGGATTATTTTTCTCATGTACAGTAGAGTCACGCACCCAAGAACGTTCTGTCCCCGGGGAAAATTGCAATTCCGCGGCCGCGATTTTTTCCGCGTTTTTTGCGATTTTTTAAAAGACCGCGTTTTCCGCGATTTTCCCGCGTTTTTTGAACTTTTTTGTTGCACTACACGTACACACAGTGCACTGTTCGGTCAGCAACGTCTCATCGTGGCGGCTTTTTACTCAAATATGACGAGTGCTTACACCAGAGACTTGTAACTGATTGATTTCACTACATACTCACTGAAAATTGCCGCACATCAATATTATTCACCGCATATTTACCGCATATTTACCGCAAATTCACCGCAAATCATGCCATATTATGCCGCGTTTTTCCCCGCGTTTTTCGCGATTTTTTTCCGCAATTTTCCCCAGGGACAGAACGTTGTTTCCAAGGGGTTAGCCTGGGACGTTCTTATTTTTTCAGCAATCTGGCTGCGCTCTTATAGCACGTTCTTAGAAACAGTGCGTATTGGATCATATGTATCCCACAAGCTGCCGGAAAACCAACACCACAGTTCTTAGTATTTCAGGCTGGACGTTCTTGGGCTCCACATTCTTCAGCGCGCGACTACTGCAAACGGCCGCTTAGATAGAGGGAATCTGCCTGTACGCACTAGGCAACGGTTCTCTTGACTTCAGTTTAGATTCCACCTAGCAAAGCTGATTTACAATGTAGTAATCCAGAAAAGGAGCTGGCCACATCAACATTGTTTTCACCAAATTGATTACCACAAACTTTTTTTTAAATTGAGCTGATGGGAGTGTCAGTGGCTTGATTTTAACGAACTGGGATCTCTCAAAATACTAATACTGTAACAGCAATAGTGTTTTTTTTGCTATGCACGTGTAGTTGTATGCGTGCATCGAAGTGCGAACACATAATATCATTTACACAACCATTCAAAAGACGGTCTTCAGAAGGTCCACGTGTGCATAGCTGTACAGCCTCAGGAATTACCTCAATCCGAGGGGCTTGGCGTGTTCCTTTTTGAGTGCTGCAAAGTTCTCCCGCGCCTCCGCAGCAGCCGTTTCGTACGGAGCCTTGTCCACTCCGGACATCATCTTCCACTGACTGGCAGCTTTTGCCATGTGCTCGGTAGGCATAATAGACGCAGGTCGCTCTTGCATAGCATCTTTCACGAACAAATTGAAGGGTGACGGGGCTCTTTTCGGCAATTTAGGCTTCTTCCCCGAGGCCGTTGCCATCGGCCTGGCAAGAAGGGGCACACGGGCGAATACAACACGAGACGACAGCATTTTCAGACTTGGACAATGCGGGCACCGTGAGATAATACTGCTGTTTTCACAAAACACATGTTATATTTACATGTTATTATGTTTCGTACTCGTATTTGCAAGCTTGATTCAAATGAAAAATCTTTTTCCAAAAAAATATTGACGACTCGTAGCTCTGCGCAGCTAGCTGCTCGTACCGATCGTACGTCGTCACCATGGTCACCATGGTCACAGCTAGCTAGCTAGCTAGCTGTCCCTGCGGGAATTTGCGGAAAAAACTCTCGAAAACTTGCACTTGCGCAAGAAATTGCGGCAGAAAGTAACAAAAAATGCGACGAAAAGTGCGGAATGATGCAGAACTAATTACTTGCCAGCAATTCGCGGAATTATTTGCAGAAAATTGCGGATTTGGGCCAAATCACGAAATTTGTTGCATCGTATCTACTCGGGACAGCTACAGGGGAGTCGTACTGTGCAAATAACCTACATACAGGATCATGGAAAGAACTGCGTGAAAAGTTTTTATTTTATTTTTTTACGTGGGAACAATAATAGACCTCCCTATTATAGTATTAAGGTGGGACACCACCTTCCAGGGGTCAAAAAATCAACTTTCGATTTGTCACCTTTTTGCTATTGGAAATCAAAGCATATGCCCTGAGGTGTCAGTATTCCAAATTTGAAGCGATTCGGACCAACCGTTGCAGTCATATGACCGTTTGAAATTTGAAAATATTTGAAAAATTTGTACACATCGATGTTCGTACACTAAAAAGTTGAAAAAAATTGTACACATCGCGATGCTCGTGCACTAAACGAGCTGTCAAGATTGTGGCCGTGGAGTTTGGGAGTTTTGAAGCGCTTTTACTTCCAAATTTTGTTGCCATGGCAGCAGTGACCCGTGCCACGTGCAAAAAAAGTGCAAAAAATTCTTTCCCAAAGGACTTCTTTGCTGTTGGCATTGTTGCAGTTTCGAGCGCGATGCACAATGGGGAACAAGAAGAGCAGGTCGTGCAAGCGTCCTGCAAAGAGAAGATTCTCACTGCACGCAGCACCTGTCCAGGAAGCTGCTGAGGGAGTTTATGAAGCTGAAGCAGTGCCAGAGTCCGCCTCGAAGCGCAAGTTGTACGATGGCGTTCCAAAAATAAGAATACAGTGATCATAATAAAAATTAATGGATTCAATTGAGCGATAGTGAGTCGGATTCGGAGGAGAGCTTTGATGGATATGCGCTGGCCTCGAACTGAGACAGTTGCTCCCTCGAGTGATTCCTCGTTCTCTGAAGACTGTCATGGCCCAATCGCTGAAAGTTGTGATTCAGACGCCACTGGACTTGAATTGTTTACGAAATTTGATTTTCTCTGCTTGCTCGTGTAAAATACTGTGGAGGTGAGCTGACCATTGCTGAAACTGCACGTTCTGGCCTTGCATCCACTGTCAGAATCACATGCTGCAATGAAGAGCCAGTGTTCAGCAGGCACCAGCCTGCCAGTGGTGGAGAAGTCAGGACAGTTTTATGAGTGCAATCGCCGCAGTGTTCTGGCATTGCGCACGCTGGGAATTGGCCATGTTGGCTGGCAAATTTTTTGCGGCCTCATGAATTTGCCCCACCTGTTCAGCTATCTGCATTCCAGCGGCACCAGCGAGCATTGTGCAAGGCGGCAAGGTCAGTTGCGCAAATCAGCATGAACGAAGCAGCAGATGAACAAGACAATGGACAGGCCTAAGCATATAACTGCTGTCACCTATGATGGTACGTGAATGAAGCGCGGGTTTTCCTCCCTACACGGTGCGTTTACGGCAATTGACTGGCAAGTCGGGAAGGTCCTTGATGTGCATCTAGCTTCCAAGTACTGCCATGGCTTCAGCTTGTGGAAAGCTCGCCAGGCGCATAGTGAAGTCACAGCTGACGAGTATGAGAAGTGGAAGTCGGGCCATATCCCTCTCTGCTACCGCACCTGGCGTTTTTGCAGAACGCCAGCTCATGTTGGATAGTATTAGAGTGGCCAAGGCTGAGAAGAAGATGAAGCAGGAGGAAAAACAGCGAAGGAAACAAAGGAGGAGGTGCAGGAAGGGAATTGAGGAGCAGATTGTGGAAGCTGAGGGTGTCACATACGAGGCTGGTGGGTTTTAGTTGGAACAATAGTCTTAGAATCTATGAAAAGGACACCTAAATGTTTGTGCTTTTTGGCCTTTTTCTGCCTTCTTGGACATGATTGCGGCTAGTGTGTTTATTTTAGACCTATCAACCCATACATTTTTGGAATCAGTGACTTGTTGCGCAGGGATTGAACTACAATGGTGATCATAGGACCTTTTACATTGGATTTTGAGCTCCCACAGTGCCTTCTATTTTACGCGTTTTGCGGCTCATCCTGTTTTGTCTCTGCATTTGGGGTAGTAATACCTGTCAGATAGAGTTCATTGTAGTTCATTCCCTGCATAGGCATATGGACTTGGTTTTGCTGCATTTTGGAACTGTCTGTGTTGATACATCTTGCTGCAAAGTTGTCCAAAAAAATTGCTGTTTGTGCGCACCCGTGAAGAATTTGTGTAGCCCATCAAGCATTACTGGGATGAACTGAAAATTCTCTTTTTGGTGCCTACATTGTGGAGCAGTATATAGTGATTGAACATAGAAAATTTGAAGGCAATCTGCCAATCCGTTTTCATGATATGCCTATTTCAATTGTATGCGGTCTGATTTGGGCCGCGAATGGTGGTGTCCCCCCTTAAGCGGGATTCACAGAAGCTTTTTTGCGATGCGACACGCGATGCGACGCGATCTGCGATGGATGCGTGCGATGCGAACTCGCGAAATACCATTCACAGAAGAAGTCAGCGATGCGACAAAGTTTTGCTGATTTGGGTACGTCACCATGATATTCGCGCGGTTTGACACAACTTGTAAAAATTTATAGGCAACTCTTGCACCTTTGTACAACTTTGCTGTAGAAAAGGTCAAAATCGTACACCAAATCGCTTGTCGCATCGAATCGCATCGCAAAAGTTGAGCCAAGCTCAACTTCTGCGATGGCCCAGTTGCTGCGATTTGGGGTTTTCCCGGTTTCGCGCCTGTCGCATGCGCATTGCGTGTCGCATCACAAAAAAGCTTCTGTGAATCCCGCTTTATTAATAATAGGGACGTCTATTAGTTCCCACGTAAAAAAATAAAATAAAAAATAAAAAAAACTTTTCACGCAGTTCTTTCCATGATATATTGTGAGCATGTCATGAAAATAAATCCGAGAAGAAAGAAAAAGTGCGTGAAAAGTGCATAAAAATGTGAGATATAGTGCCGAAATTAACAAAAAACGCGGGAAATCGCGGATTTTGCTGAAAATCGCGGGTTTGGGCCAAAATCGCGAAATTTGTTGCATCCGTGGAATCGCGATTTCCTGGAGGGACAGATCTGCCGATCGATCGTACGTCATAATCATCATCATGATAATTATATTATGCACGTGACTATGCACATAATTGGTGAGTATTGCAACTATTGAGTATTGGCGACTGGCCCGAAACGTCATTTCAACACCACAATAATAGAATTTTCAATGCAGCATTCTGAGCAGTCATTTTGAACATGTTGTGCACGTCTGACTGGTCAAAATATTATGGTTCAGTAGTTGGACTCCAACGCATAAACTAGTTACTTGTGCCCCACCGTTTTCCTTGTTTCCATTTTTGGTGGGTGTACCAAGTCGACAGCAGCCCCGCTGTTGTACTCTCTCAAAAAAAAAAAAAAAAAAAAAATTAACCTGTGCAACAGGACGTATTCTATTCCCCCCCCCCCCCCTCCACACACATTATACACATACACACAGCTAGCAATCAATGTGTGAACACAAAACTGTACGTGTACAATGTACATGTATTCAGAGATAGGATATTAGTAACCAAGGAGACGGGAAATCGATGAAATTAAAATACACGGAAAGAGAAGAGTAAAAATACAGCACATCTGACAATTGTTTCAAGCCGCCATGGAGAGGAGTTGATCTAAGGACACAGGTTGAAATGCTCCTCCACCAGGCACACGACAGAATATGACATTGTGGCTGAAGTAAATGGAGCAACGACCAACACGGTACAGCATGTGACTGTCGTGCATCCTATCCGGTAGGAAGGACAAGCCCATTTCCTGGATCTAACAACACAACCAAACACACACACACACACACACACACACACACACACACACACACACACACACACACACACACGAATTCGCAAAAGCATATACAGTAAAGTCTTGTATAAGAGCCGCACTTGAAGAAGCAGCCCTCGAATAGAAGCCGCACTTCTGGAAACATCAATTCGCACATAATAAAGCCAACCTTGTACAGTAGCCAGGTAGCCGCGGCTGCAAAGGTGACAGAATGCTCACTCCTAGATCGTACAGGCTACACTACAAGTCATTACAGCTACTGTCTGGTGTAGAACTGTCGCGTGTATAAGCCGCACAAGCCCGTGAACTCGTGACGTAGATCGGAATGATATCAACAGAAGAGATGTGTAAACAAACGCGATAGCGCTGAAATGGCTGTGGTGTACTGGTGATGCCAGTGGTGTACCGTTACCAGTGCAGTGATGCCAGTGACACTGGTGCTACCGGTAACCGACGGGCCAGAATACCGGCACTACAATTCACACACACAGAATACTGGTACTACAATTCACACACACACGCAGAATACCGGCACTACAATTCACACATAAGCCTGTCTTGCATAGAAGCCTGTCGCATATAGAAGCCTGTGGGATTTTCCAAAAGGTTGTATAAGCCGCTGCTTCTACAGAAGACTTAAAGGGGAAGTTAAGGCAAAAATTAAAATTTCACCAGTTGTAGTCTTCGGGGTGCTGAGTCGAATGGTCTTGGTCCGAGAAAGCTGAGACGCTCCCTTCCTACTTGAATCCCAATCGAACTCGCGCACTTCCACCGAAACTGGGTGACTGCGCCCTACGAGATGGGGATTTGTATGCAAAATGTCACTAAAAGCGCCATTTCGTTCTTATAAAAGCACGGATGACCGCGATTGGCCCATATGTTGTAGTCTTTTGGACGCTGAGTCGACTGGTTTTGGTCCGAAAAGGCTGCAATGCAGCGTTCCTCCTTTATTCCCAATCGAACATGGTTGAAGAAGCGGTCACGTGCTCCTGGGTGCCAAAATCACCTGGTCACCACGCCAGCAGGCGACAACTTTCACACCAAGGTTCAACTCGAGTGACAGGACTGCACCCAAAAAAGGTCAAAACAGGCTAGTAAGTTGTACCCTGCAGGCACGGTGACCAGGTGACTGGTGTACGCAGGAGCACGTGACCGCTTGTTCAACCATGTTCGATTGGGAATTAGGGGCGAACGCTGCATCGCAGCCTTTTCGGACCAAAACCAGTCGACTCAGCGTCCAAAAGACTACAACATATGGGCCAATCGCGGTCATCCGTACTTTTATAAGAACGAAATGGCGCTTTTAGTGACATTTTGCATACAAATCCCCATCTCGTAGGGCGCAGTCACCCAGTTTCGGTGGAAGTGCGCGAGTTCGATTGGGATTCAAGTAGGAAGGGAGCGTCTCAGCTTTCTCGGACCAAGACCATTCGACTCAGCACCCCGAAGACTACATCTGGTGAAATTTTAATTTTTGCCTTAACTTCCCCTTTAAAGGCACGTGTACGCAACAAGTCAATGAGATAAACGAGAGAGCTTGGAAGCTCAGGGCCCTACGCTATGCTTTTCTGCCTTGATGACCTAGACAAAAAAAGCATAGGGATGTTATAAATTCTTATATTAAAGTTTCAACTTTTTGTTTTTAGACATAACCTGGGATTCGAACCCGCACTATCGCCCTGCATGCATCCCCCGATACACTTCGCATACATACTGATTCTTCCAAGTTGCTTCACGTTATGATCTTGTATTTGAAAGCCCTATTTGAATATGCATTGTGGCCAGCCGTCTTTGATTGTACGGTACGGGATAGGTACGGGACAGGTACGGGACAGGTACGGTCGAGGGTAATACGACAGTGTCTACCGCTTTGATGACGGCAAAAAAAGAAAAGGGATGTTATAAATTGTTCAATTCTCCTATTCTTTTTCAAGCATTACCTGGGATTCAAACCCGCACTATCGCCCTACATGCATTCCCCCATACACTTCGCATTCATACTCATTCTTCCAAGTTGCTTCACGTTATGATCTTGCGCTTGAAAGCCCTATTTGAATATCACGGCCAGCTGTATGTGGCCAGCTGTGTTTGATGGTACGGTACGGTACGGTACGGGACAGATACGGGATAGCGCCAGGCGTGACACAAACACACAAACACACAAACACCAAATTAAAGCTGTGTGGACCCTGGCTAGCGCCAGACGTAACTGAAGTAACGTCTTCTGCATAGCTACGGGAATAAAGAGGGAATGAGGGCTAACTCAAAGCAGACATGTGAAAAGTCACTGTGCCTACACAAAGCTTTCACAAACACCGAGACACAGATTTCGAAAACTCACTTTACGCTGCACAACTTCTTTGAAGTCCAGAACTGGTGGAGCAGCTGCAGCTGCTGACATACGCTGGTAAGACTGGGAAGCCTGAGCATGCGCACACACATATACATACACACGTACACACATGCATGTACACACATGCGCACGTGCACACACACGCACACACAAAGTACAGAGAACAGCACGAACAAACAAAACAGATCAATCAAGAAGAAGACATCCAGCCACACACTGGCAATGTTCAAAAAGCATGGATGGCACTGTCAACCATACTTACAACAGTCACAATGAATGGCCAAGGACCAGTAGCCAAACCTGTCACAACATCACTTTTTGCCATGCGAAGTGCGACATGGGACACTTGCAACAAGGAAATGCCCGTCGTGTACTGTCGCATGCAGTCGCAAGGCCACTGTCGCAGACATTGACCAAAGTTAGACATCACGTGACATAGTTGAAAATGTTACACTGGCAAACAGTGCAAGGAGTTGAAGCCAAAGCAAAGGGTTGTGTACAACCCCGTATCCATCATGAACAGGGTGCAAATATTAGAGAGGTTCCGCACAACGTAATTGCGTTGGTAAAAAACGTAGTCGATCTACATGCATGCAGATCCATGTTCCACCATACAGAGTTTTCGAACCACATAGCTGCCCTTGGCAACTCGAACGCGACAGTGTGCGACCTAGGAAGAGAGTCGTAAACTTTCACCCCAATCCACTTACGCAGCACCTCTTTAAGTATTAATTGTGGGAACAATCGGCGGTTCACCACAAGTAATAATCGATGGGAGCTAAAAGAAAAAGAAAAAATGAGCCCGGGCATCTCCGATCAAAAAAAAGGGACGCCAATACTTCGATGCTACCTAAAGTCTCATTGCAAGAAATCAGAGCAGGTATATCACCGTTTGGCATTAAAGCGACCAACATTCCTCGTTGTCCAACCTGTTGAGAGTAAGGTCTTGGTGTCAGCGGTTCGTCAATAAAATGAAGAAAAAACGTCATTCAGAAACATGGTTGTGAGCGTCTGAGTTACAATACACACACACACACACACACACCTCAGACCTCAGACCTCAGACATGCCCATCGCGGGAGCGATGATAGCGAACAGCTATGTTTGACATAGCAACTTGTGCTGGGATTACACCATTCAACAGCTTGCAAGGCTGATGAATTGACCGCCACTATTTTTAGCCTGGTATCCACCACACAGCTGTTTGAAGTGACTTTTTCTGGCCAGTGAATCCCTATTTTTCATTTTTCCATTTTTTCTTTTTTCTTTTTTTTCTTTTTATACACACACACACCACACCACATACTCCGGCATACACTGGCTGTTGGTAACCACCCAGGAGAATGAAAGAAAAGTCAGGAAGAGTCTGAGAAAGAGAAGAAAGACGTGTGTGACCATAATCGTCGGGAATCGAACCCGCAACCTATCGATTGGAAATCGCTGCACATACCACTGCACCATATGGGACACAGCACACACACACACACACACACACACACACACACACACACACACACACACACACACACACACACACACACACACACACACACACACACACACACACACACACACACACACACACACACACACACACACACACACACACACACACACACACACACACACACACACACACACACACACACACACACACACACACACACACACACACACACACACACACACACACACACACACACACACACACACACACACACACACACACACACACACACACACACACACACACACACACACACACACACACACACACACACACACACACACACACACACACACACACACACACACACACACACACACACACACACACACACACACACACACACACACACACACACACACACACACACACACACACACACACACACACACACACACACACACACACACACACACACACACACACACACACACACACACACACACACACACACACACACACACACACACACACACACACACACACACACACACACACACACACACACACACACACACACACACACACACACACACACACACACACACACACACACACACACACACACACACACACACACACACACACACACACACACACACACACACACACACACACACACACACACACACACACACACACACACACACACACACACACACACACACACACACACACACACACACACACACACACACACACACACACACACACACACACACACACACACACACACACACACACACACACACACACACACACACACACACACACACACACACACACACACACACACACACACACACACACACACACACACACACACACACACACACACACACACACACACACACACACACACACACACACACACACACACACACACACACACACACACACACACACACACACACACACACACACACACACACACACACACACACATACCAACTGCCCGTAAGCAGTGGGTGTTGCATGAGCAATAGAGTCAGTGCATGTACAAGGATACCGTTCAGAGTATTCAGAGAAACAAACCAAACAACATTGTGCGTTCACTTAACGTTAAATTAGATGGTGATGGTCTCCTGCGAGCTCATGGCCGATTGCAACATTCGTCAGAGCAATCAAGTGCACAGCTCTTGCTACCAGCCAGAGGTAGGTTTGTCTCTTTAGTCATGATGGATAGTCACCGAAGAATTACTGTAGAATCCCGCGGATAAGCCCACCCGCGTACAAGACCATGCCCGCGTATAAGCCCAGGGTTAGTTCGAACATCACAAAGCTTCATTGTACAAGACCATGGGCCTAGATCATACCAAGAGTCCAGAAATTATGGACTCTTGGCCATACCATGTACGTAAACAAGAGTATGCAACAGTGGTTATGGGTCAGTGCGCGGCGTGCTGCCTTCATTACGTAACTTGCCTTCATCACGCTCTAAAAGCATGCATTCAAACTCACTCGCATCGACGGTTCACCCCAAACTGGTGCCGAAACCCGGTAAGGAGATCACTTCTCACCTAATATTTAGCAAGAGTAAACTAGCAGCTATCAAGAAGTTCCTGAAGTTGACTACTCCAAGGATGGAGCTGCTCACTGCAGCTATAGGTGCAAACATCATTACCTTTCTAAAGAGTCAACTACCTCTTACTTTAGACTATAACTGTCTGTTGCTCAACTTTACGTAGTGCCCAATCTCTGAATCTCTCTGATGGGCTTACGGGCTAATAGAATGTGATGCGAAGTTCTGCCGGCGGCGCAGACCCCCATAGCTGGAGTTGCACACTCTTGGGGAGACCCCCATAGCTGGAGTTGCACACTCTTGGGGTTATGTACTACTCTTGCAAGTAGAAATAGTAACACCAGTGACAGCATCATCGGAAGTGATGGTACCAACAACAACAACCCTCCATGCAGTAGTCCCCCCCCCCCCCCCCCCCCCCTATTCCTAGCATCTGTCAGTAGTAACTCACGGAAGCATCGGCAGTATCCTGCATATGTGCCTGCTGTGCATAGGTCATGCCAGCACTGGCTGGCTGTTGGCCACCAGCTGGGTGTGAGACCATGTGGTGCATGACTTCCACGGCGTGATTGAAGTGACCTGATCATACAGTGTGCATACACGGAAACCAAGAACATGCACACATACACACGCATACATGCACACACACGCACACACACACACACACACACACACGCACGCACGCACGCACGCACACACATGCAAATGAGCGTACGCACACACACATACACACACACACACCTTTGACCTTTGACGCCCATCGCCGGAGGCGATGATAGCAATGCTACGGCAGAAGCCGTAGCAACTTGTGCTGGGATTGCACCATTCAACAGCTTGCAAGGCTGAAGAATTGACCGTCACCATTCAGCCTGGTCTACACCATACAGCTATTTGAAGTGACTTTTTTCTGGCCAGTGAATCCCTATTTTTGGTCTCTTTTTTTTCCCGCACACACATCACACCACATACTCCGGCATGCACTGGCTGTTGGTAACCACCCAGGAGAATGAAAGAAAAATCAGGAGGAGTCTGAGAAAGAGAAGAAAGACATGTGACCATAATCGTCGGGAATCGAACCCGCAACCTATCGATTGGAAATCGCTGCACATACCACTGCACCATATCGGACACACACACACACACACGCACGCACGCACACGCATGCACACACTACTGCTTTAAAATTCCCGGAAAATCACAGTCTGACATGCATAGTACAGTCCATTTCAAAACTATAGACGCGTACCTAGGCAAAAACCATTATGCCAGCATCTATACCATATAAAATCTGTGATCACTTTGTGCATAATTTTTTTCCAAATTGGGCGTCTGTTATCCAATCGTTTAGAAACTCTATGAGAGTAATTGTGGAGCTATCCTGAGCAATATTCCGAAAACTATTCTCAAAAAGTTCCAGCCAAATAATTTGAAATATTTCAAAAACCCTACGCGTCTCTAGTTTTGAAATGGACTGTAGTTACCATACATATCGAGTGCTGTCGGAAAAAACGCTCACCCGAAATCGGACACCTACTACAGATGCTAACTGGAACTGGGCAAACATGCAATCGCCCTGGTCTGCTAAGGTTGCGTACATGTACAGTACTGCGTAATGAAATCCAGTCGCGTCGCTCAAGTTTGCACCTTGCACCATCTCGCATCCCAGTGTTCGCAGGTCTGGGGCCGGCTGCGCAACGCCTGGCACGTACTTGAGTGACACGGCGGGATTTCATTGAGCAGCACTGTACTTTGTAAATTATGAAACTTCAGTATAATATACATGTACAGTCAGACTCTGGCTTTTGTCCAGCTCTACACATAGTGACCAGACACTGGCTTTGCTCCAGCTCTACACATAGTGACCAGACACTGGATTTGGTCCAGCTCTACATATAGCGACCAGACACTGGATTTGGTCCAGCTCTACATATAGCGACCAGACACTGGCTTTGCTCCAGCTCTACATATAGCGACCAGACACTGGCTTTGCTCCAGCTCTACACATAGCGACCAGTCACTGGCTTTGCTCCAGCTCTACATATAGCGACCAGACACTGGCTTTGCTCCAGCTCTACATATAGCGACCAGACACTGGCTTTTTTTTTTTTTTTTTTTTTTTTTTTACTATTGACACAGCCCTACTGGAATACAGGTGGGGAACAAAAAGAAACGAGGAAAAGGACAAAACATAGGGGATGTAGGGACGACGTGCTGATGTGCTGGGAGCAACTCAACCGACCAGCGGTCTCGGCGTCAGCGTTGCTTTGCTCCAGCTCTACATATAGCGACCAGACACTGGCTTTGGTCCAGCTCTACATAATAGCGACCAGACACTGGCTTTGCTCCAGCTCTACGCATAGCGACCAGACACTGGCTTTGCTCCAGCTCTACATGATAGCGACCAGACACTGGCTTTGCTCCAGCTCTACGCATAGCGACCAGACACTGGCTTTGTTCCAGCTCTACACATAGCGACCAGACACTGGCTTTGGTCCAGCTCTACACATAGCGACCAGACACTGGCTTTTGTCCAGCTCTACACATAGCGACCAGACACTGGCTTTTGTCCAGCTCTACACATAGCGACCAGACACTGGCTTTTGTCCAGCTCTACACATAGCGACCAGACACTGGCTTTTGTCCAGCTCTACACATAGCGACCAGACACTGGCTTTTGTCCAGCTCTACACATAGTGACCAGACACTGGCTTTGGTCCAGCTCTACAAATAGCGACCAGACACTGGCTTTGGTCCAGCTCTACGCATAGCGACCAGACACTGGCTTTGGTCCAGCTCTACGCATAGCGACCAGACACTGGCTTTGGTCCAGCTCTACACATAGCGACCAGACACTGGCTTTGGTCCAGCTCTACACATAGCGACCAGACACTGGATTTGCTCCAGCTCTACACATAGCGACCAGACACTGGCTTTTGTCCAGCTCTACACATAGCGACCAGACACTGGCTTTTGTCCAGCTCTACACATAGCGACCAGACACTGGCTTTTGTCCAGCTCTACACATAGTGACCAGACACTGGCTTTGGTCCAGCTCTACAAATAGCGACCAGACACTGGATTTGCTCCAGCTCTACACATAGCGACCAGACACTGGCTTTTGTCCAGCTCTACACATAGCGACCAGACACTGGCTTTTGTCCAGCTCTACACATAGCGACCAGACACTGGCTTTTGTCCAGCTCTACACATAGTGACCAGACACTGGCTTTTGTCCAGCTCTACACATAGCGACCAGACACTGGCTTTTGTCCAGCTCTACACATAGCGACCAGACACTGGCTTTTGTCCAGCTCTACACATAGCGACCAGACACTGGCTTTTGTCCAGCTCTACACATAGTGACCAGACACTGGCTTTGGTCCAGCTCTACAAATAGCGACCAGACACTGGATTTGCTCCAGCTCTACACATAGCGACCAGACACTGGCTTTTGTCCAGCTCTACACATAGCGACCAGGCACTGGCTTTTGTCCAGCTCTACACATAGCGACCAGACACTGGCTTTTGTCCAGCTCTACACATAGTGACCAGACACTGGCTTTTGTCCAGCTCTACACATAGCGACCAGACACTGGCTTTTGTCCAGCTCTACACATAGCGACCAGACACTGGCTTTTGTCCAGCTCTACACATAGCGACCAGACACTGGCTTTGCTCCAGCTCTACACATAGTGACCAGACACTGGCTTTGCTCCAGCTCTACACATAGTGACCAGACACTGGATTTGGTCCAGCTCTACACATACTGTAAAAGCCAAATATATAACGAAGTGCTAACTCTAACGAGTTAACGAGGAGAAATCTGTCGTTAAAATAGAAATCGCTACACAGAAATCGATACATATACTCTCCTATTGAGCGTTGAAAATGAGACAGAATCGCTACCTTTGGTACACGTAAACTAGTCAATTTTGGGAAATCGTTATATATGCGCCTCGTTAGAATAATGGCTTTTACAGTAGTGACCAAACACTGGCTTTGGTCCAGCTCTACACATAGCGACCAGACACTGACTTTGCTCCAGCTCTACACATAGTGACCAGAAGTGCTTACGTGCAATCTGCGGGTGATTCTGCAACTCCTGATCAAACTGCTCCTTCCAACCGGAAAACCTGTTGTGCAACACACACACACGGGCGCGCACAGAGACAGAAACGTATGTGTGCACGCAAACACGTGCATGCACGCACCCATCCATGCACACACGTACAGTCATGCATAAGTTACATAGAAACACACACACACACACACATACATTCAAACACACACACACACACACACACACACAAACACACACACACACACAAGCACACATTTGTACTAGCACTAGATTGAGAGCGTTAATGTGTGGTTGCTGTATCGAACACTCATTCTTGTTTCTGGGCGATGCATTGTCCACCTAACGCCACTAGGCAGTACAATGTCATGTACTTACCACTGTATGACTTCTTCATAGTTGGGATTGCTTGCTGGCTGCAACCACTGTGTCAGCACTGACATCCAGCGTTGGAAGAAGAACTTGTCCATCATGTCTGCAAAGTGATTCAGCGGTACTATGGATCGCCAAGCCATCACCCAGCGGAAAGCCTCCATGTCTTGATGTGCTGGATTGATCACCAGGCGCGTCTGCAGGCACGTGGCAAGCTTCGGTACGATACAGCGGATGATGAACGCGTCCATGCTGCCTTGAGAGAAGACCTGTGCATGGGCGAGAGAGAAAGAGAGAGAGACAGAAAAAGAGAGAAAGAGAGAGAGAGAGAGAGAGAGAGAGAGAGAGAGAGAGAGAGAGCGAGAGAGAGAGAGCAAGGAAATCAAGTAACTACACCAATCAATGCAACAAACCGGGAGTACATTAATGATTGACTAATTTCCTGACTTTGCTGCGTTGTTGTACAAGTTCAAACAAAACAAAAACGACACCCACAACACAAAACGACTCTGCAACCTGGGTTGAGTTTCACTATTACCGATTAAAGAATATGTACGGTGTAGCACCCGTGATGCCCCACGGAGGGCACGGCCCAGTGACACGCCATACGCGCACTGCAAGCAAAGTGACTCACCCCAACCCATGGCATAAGGATAGCCTTGGCCGACGCGTCACTCGGATCCCACTTTGACAATGCAGCTGCCAGCGTGTGACGAACAGGGGCATACAGAGGTTCCAGCCGATGGCCTAAGCACATGAAGAGATGAAGACAAAGCAACATAGCAACATAACAGCAGTAGTAGTCAGAAGGAACTCCAGGATACGGGTGATCGCTGGCCACGCTCCCAAGAAATACTGTCAATCAAAGCATGGACACGATCAGCCAAGTGATCACACAAATAACTTAAATAAGATTGTGTTGAGAGGTGTACGTAGCCTTCCATACTGAAAGAATGTCCGCGTGTGCCAGGCATAGAATGGAGAGCACCGCCCGCTGGAATACACAATTCTATACGATATTCCACAAGACCCTCGTTTCACGTCAGCACTCCACTAAACTATAACAATACAAGCAGCATCAAGACTTCAAGAGTTTCACGGTCCACAATACAGCCGACAAACCAGTGCCCAACAGCCAGACCAGTGCAACACCAAAGCCAAGATACTTCTTTGATAGTTTACACTACCATACGTGTAAATACACTATCATCAAGTACTCGATAACTAATGATTCAGTCGTTCACCCCTAGTTTATTACACAGTCACACCATTGTGACTCAACACTGCAGCAGCCATGACCAGGACTTGCCCAGGACAACCAGCAGCTCAAGAAGCACAAGTCTCCACATGCAGTGCAATAGAGTAATCCAGGAACTAACAAATCGTTGTTCAGTTGGACACACAAGACCTACCCATGAGCTCCAACCAAGGGTGTATCCACGAGTCAATGGGCTGCGCATCAGTTGTTGGGCTCCATTTCTCCACTTCAGCCTAGAGCACAGTACGAAAGCAGAAAGAAAGCACAAAAAAACTGATGATCACACAAACTGGAAACACTTACTAGTACAGGAAAGGACAAACCCAAAAATGGCAAACAAACAGTGGATCTACAAAGCACGAGGTGGCTCCTTTTACATGGTCGTGGCACAGGAGAAACAGGTCAGCATCGCCAGACTGAATACACAGATGAAATGGAGACCAAAAGGAGAACAAACGCATACATTTTAGCCCCCCCCCCCCCCCACCCACACCCACACACCGAGTAGAGAGAAGGGAACGAACATGCGTACCTGCAGTCTGGGAAAGACCCACGTGTCGAGGAGATGAGAATTTATCCAGCCCGGCAGCACAGGCGTCCACTGCTCCAAGAATGCAATTAGGTGATGAGGTGCCCGTGGCGACCACTTGGTCATGGCACTTCGAAACACAGGCATCCATACCTCCCATAGGAGCCTGTCGAAGACTGGCATGCTGCAGTCATTACCATAGCAACACAGTCACAAAACACACAACACACCACGTATGAGTTATCATCCTATCAACACTGGCAAAGACGTACAATGTACACACAGACATCACCAGCCAAGGATGGCGAGTGATTCTTATAGCAATGCTAAGACACCCAGTCGGCCAAAACTGAGGCACTGTGTGACACTACAAGTGCAATGTACAGCAGGGTGAAGAGAGAGAGAGAGAGAGAGAGAGAGAGAGAGAGAGAGAGAGAGAGAGAGAGAGAGAGAGAGAGAGAGAGAGAGAGAGAGAGAGAGAGAGAGAGAGAGAGAGAGAGAGAATATCTGTGAGGCTGGCTTTCTAACCACCACCACCACACACACCGTGACAGAGTCGGGTGACCTGCATATGCAACTGATAAGCTTATGATGTTCTGCTACTAGGCAGTTGAGTAGCAGAGTAGGCACTTGGTCAACACTGTCCTGCTCGATCTCACCAAGCAGAGACTACCCAGACTACACGTGCACCTGACATACAATGACAACAATGAGCACAGGTAGGATGCACGGCCAAGGCCCACCCCCTCACGCCTTTTGAACAGTGTCTTGTATCCCCCGAGTTGCACAGCGTGACAACACACAGTCTGTTTACCTACGCGTAAGACCCTGAACATCTAACTACAAAACTGTGCACTAAAACCATGAACCAAGGCTAGGGTGCTGTAACACAGTATTCACATACATAGTACAGTCCACAGTGTCAGGCTGTCAACACACTGACTGCATCCTTTGTTGCTCCAGTCCTATACAGCCAGGCCTGTGACGTGCAGTATACATGTAGTAGGTAGAAAAGTCGAACAGAGAACCCACTGGATCACCTCCTTACCTGTCCTCTGACGGCACGACATTAGATTGACTGGACGATGAATCATTCAACAGAGATTTCCACTGCGTGAACAACTCCAAGTGATCCACGTCGAGCGAGCCAAACGGTTCCCAGCCAGTGAGATTCTTCTTGATCAAGGGGAAGACGACGGGCACGGCAAGACGACTCAGGCCATATGAGATGTACTCGTGTTCGAAATGGGACTGCAGGCGGCTGAACGTGGATGCACACTCGCTCAGTGACAGAGGGTCGTTGCTGTTCGGCTGTGAGCGCTCAGTCAGCTGCGTCAACACGTCTTTCACCTCAGAGACGCGGTCAAGCTCCTGCCGCTCCTTCTGCAAGGTCTTGCTCAGCATCTCGCGCTCGTGGCGCAGATTGATTATCCTGTTCTGCTCGTGCTGCAGCCTGATACAAATACAGACACACACAGACACACAGACACACACGCACACAAACACACACACACACACAAACACACGCACACACACACACACACACACACATACATACATCATCCTCCTTGCATCATATTCAACGACAAAGCAAATGAACTCCGCACAGAGACCCCTCAACGCTGGCAAGACCTCTTTCCTGAAAGCCGGCAAAACACCCTCATCAAAGCCCAAATCTTAGCCAACAGAAAACACATGGCAGCCACAAATATTGTCACTCACTGTCTATCGATGTGCAATATTTCACTCTCGGCCTGGTCTGCAAGGAGCTGAACATTGTGCAGCAACTCGGGCAAGAACCCTACACTCTCGGTGACTGCACAGTGGTAGAACAGAAGAAGCAGCAGGAGCAGCAACAGTAACATTGAAAGCGGTCTTCTTGGCCACGGTCAGTAGAAGACTTGCACAAATTTGTCGCAATGGCCGTGGCAACAACAAACAAAGGACAGACGGCTCCTCGTGTGCTCCGGATGGCAGTCGTGAGTCAGTCAAGTGTCAAGTTCGGCAAGAAGCGTGTGCTCCTCGTTGGAGCAACCAACTTCATGACTATTACCGCCGAAGTCGCAACTTCTAAGTTTGATAAATATGCTGTCATTGGTATCACGGTGCACCACAATGGCATATGGTGTGAATATCATTATGTTATTCTGCAGCGAGTCCTTGTCGTGTAGCTTGCGAAAGTTATTGCATACGGTCATTACGTGCATAATGCATAGTACTGTCTGTACACTCAAGTTTCAAGTCCAGTCCATTTTTTGGAAATATGGGCTGGACACTAACGAGGGCCTGGTGACGTGTTCATAGGGCTGAGTTATGCCAAATGGTGCCATTGGCTGGGAGTGAAAGCCTTGCCCCACGCCTGCACCCTAAAAAATGTTTCGAAAATACTCAAATTCGACGACGGCTGAGAATCTAGGAAGATGCCGGACCACAGCGAAACAAGTCATCTGGCTGAAAAACGGAATACACCATTGCGTTGCCACGGCTAAGCGCAATTTTTAGGCTCACCACACAGGTAGCGAAATGCCAAAACAAACGAGCCATAGACACAAACCCATTTTCCAAAATTGTCCACCATTGAGAATGCGACTCAAAAAGTACCCGCAAACTGCCCAGTGCGGAAAATGAAAAGTCAACTTTTAGACGACTTTTTTGAATCTGGCGCACGGACTGGTATAGGAGACATAGGGTTGGGCTGCATGCAGTCAGCACCCAATAGGACCAATAGTACTGATACTTCTATGAGTTTTATCTCATCCTCTATTTAAAAATTGTAACATGAAAAATCCTCGGCCCACCATCTGTGTTCTTTAAAAAAAGTACAAAAACAATAGATCTGCACAGGTACGTCTCTGGAGACTTGTGTCTGCACAATGCACATGCACTAAACCACATCTTCCACAATGATAGCAGAGTTTAGCCTGGCAACAACAGTCTCGACTGTCTACAATGTTCAATGCTATGTGCTTGGTACTTACGCATTGGCTGTCCATCTGGATGGCTATGTTTGGAATGGATGGAATCGTATCCGTGGTAGACCCTCTCTTCAGGCCCAGTCATATCCACAACCTACAAGGGGAAACGAACGAGAACATGCACATGTGGTGTGGCCTTTATCAAGCTACCACAAAGCTCAAGTCTCACATACAGATGTGTATGATAATTGTGTCCGCCATGGGGTTACTTTTAAAAGCCGCTGTTTTCGTAATATTTTACAGTCCATCCACAAAAAGATGGGCCCTGGCTCTGGCGAGCTCCCGTATTAGGCAATTTTTCAAGATTTTATCGTACACAGTGCAGTGCTGTGAAATTTGAAATTTGAAAAAGGGTCCAAAAAGGGTACCTGAATTGGGGTTCGAACCGTACAATGCACTGTTGCAAGCAGGGTCAAACGGCCTGGATTTTGTTGGGTTTTCCCAATTCAGTGCTCTTGGGGCAAAACCTGGCCGAAATCCTATTCTCGCTATGGCTTGCTTTTTGGAGAAATAGACTTCAGAAACATAATTGGAAGAGGATTCCATAGGGGATTGCAGGAAAAAAAAACTCAACGTTTGACCCATTTATGGCCAAAAGCTAGAAGTCCATCTTTTTCTGAATGGAATGTAGATGCAAAATGACCCGAGTACTTCAAAGTATTACGCCATGGCGCAAACGTAAAGGCAACACGGCATGGAGTGCTCAGACCTTTTCGTGAAGGATCGCTTTTCGTAATGATTATAATTTTTTTAAGCTATGCACGCAACTTTAAAAAAATCAACAAGCAGGCTTGGCTGTTGCGGATATAGACGGAGCAACATTCAGGCAATCCTGAGCTTGCAGCTTGAAGCGGATGAAATAGCTCTTTCTAGCTGACGGCAAGACCTTTTGCACACAGGCTAGCAAAAACCCGACCCAAAACGAAATTGATTAAAGGAAATCACGGTCCGAGATTTCTGACTTTGCGCCGTGGCGTAATATTAGGCGGAATGGGGGTGCTCATTGAAGAGCGGCGTCAGGTGGGCCAGGCAAGCCAATTCTACAAACTTGAAACAATAAAGCGTGCATTTCACCACCACACGTCCAAGGCATCCACTTTCCAAAGCTCAGAAATGACAAAGGAAGAAAAACCAGCTTGAAGTGATTCATGAACATTTTATAAATGCAAAACGTGCATGTTGCAGGGTCACTTCGCTGACGCTTACGCGGATCAACATTGAAACTGTTCCTAGAGAAAGTCCGGAAAAAGGACACCATCTTTCAGTATGCACAGCGCAAGCCAGTCGTGCCCAGTGGACAGCGCGCCATGCAGTTCGACCAGCTGCCACACCGAGTGCAAGGTGTAATGTGTATACATGCGCATACCTTCACAGCCTCATCAGTTTTCTTGGCCGCTGGCACTCTCTTGCCAGTCTGTTTCACACCAGATGCCTGTCACACAAAGAAAAACACAACAGAAGGAAACAACACCAACAATAAACACGGCCATAGAAACAACAACACCAACACCAGCGACGACGATAACGACACCACTACCATCAACACATGACCCCCAAAACAACATCAACATTAACGACGACAATGAAGACAACGACGCTAACGATAACAAGAACAAGAGCAACAAGCATGACCAAACATGACTGCATTGCAAAAAACGTAGCACGAACATGGGTAGGTGGAATCTAGAACATTCCTCAAGGCAATGATGTCACAAAATACGCTTATTGTGTGTCCATTCCGCTGCCCGCTGGGAAAATAGCAGCAATGGCGGTCTGTCACAATAAACACATACTGACTGGAAACTAGACTAGCCGCTTCTCTGCATCACCATCAGCAATACAGTGTAGATGCATAGAGTGCAGGGTAGTAGAGCAGCAGCAGCAGCAGCACAGCCTGCAGTAAAGTGTTGTTGAGTACACGTAGGTATTTGGTGTACACAGTACTTACGCGGACTTCATCCGCTGTTCGATAAACATATGTTGTTTTCCGTTGCTTTCCTTCACCCTGCACAGAAAAAGACAACACAGCGGCATATGCATACCCGTATACACGCACGCACACACACGCACACACACACGCACACACACACACACGTGCATGCACACACGCATGCACACACACGTGCATGCACACACGCATGCACACACACACACGCATGCACTCACACACGCATGCACTCACACACGCATGCACTCACACACACTCACACACGCATGCACTCGCACGCGCACGCGCACGCGCACGCGCACGCGCACGCGCACGCGCACGCGCACGCGCACGCGCACGCGCACGCGCACGCGCACGCACGCACGCACGCACGCACGCACGCACGCACGCACGCACGCACGCACGCACGCACGCACGCACACGCACACACACACACACACACACACACACACACACACACACACACACACACACACACACACACACACACACACACACACACACATACTAAACCAATGACTGCATGTCAAAGCTGCAAAGCTCACCTGTCTTTCCAAATGTTACATTTTCCACTGTATAAGCTGCACCCATACAAAGAAAGGTTAGGGGTCGTCGCAAAAGTTTTCTGTCGTCCCTGAAACGAACATCGTTCATTTCGTACTCGGACCCCCTCCCCTCCCTCTCAAACGAACACAGCTTGCTATGCTGGACGACGAAAATCGCATGCATGTACATGTCATATGTACAGTGTCGGTCGACTTGCGATTTTGGCTCGCACCCCCTCCCCCCCAAATGAATCATGTTCGTTTCAGGGACGACAAAAAACTTTTGCGACAACCCCTTAGGCAAACTGCCTGAAATGTGCTCAATGCGCAAAGCGCAGAGCATTTTACATATGAAAGATAGAGGGTCCAAGTGGAATATGTTGTAACTCAAAGTTCCATGCCTGAGGAATCATCAGCCAACTGTTGTTTTGACCTGGACTAACCACTATAGTACTGCTCGTGCATTAGTCTTGGTGCTAACACTGCTAAATACTAGTAAATAGTAAGTTGGAAGTGGATACTTTAGCCTTTAGCAGGAATCACATAACACGGAAGAGTGCGCGAAGTACCAAGGAGTTGTCGCGCACTCTTCATTGGTGAGGTGTGAGATGTACTCAGTATTGACACTTGCAATTATTTTAGTCTTGACTATGGGGGAGCTTGTAATGCAGCGGCGACTGGCTATTACCGGGTATCCTAGTCACACTGTACATGTACTTGAAATTCCGTATGTACAATTTTTTTTCATAGAGAGGTTAAGTTTCACGTAAAATTCTTACGTCAGTGAACTTTTACGTCAAAAATTCAAAAAAAACTCACGTAAAATTTGACGTGTTTTACGTGAGTTGACTGTCCCGCACGTAAGTTCGTGACGTGAGTTTTTGGAAGCTTTGCTTGGTCATCCCGATCGAATTCGTGTGAGTTTCCGTAGTTTTATCAAATTTGTTGGAAGATTTGATATTTGTGTGAACTAAACCCGAATCTTGCCACGCAAAATTTCACGTCACGTCGCACGTGTAACCTAACCTCTAAAATTCACACGTAACGTGAGATTTTCATCGCGTTTCGAAAAAAGGCAAAAAAACGTGTAACTTAACCTCTCTCATGTCTACCTTTTGACACCAGTTGCACCTTAATTAATTCAGGAAATATAGGGCAAAAATTCACCCTGGGGCTTTTTCACAGCTCCAACCACTTATGTAGTAGAGACGAATACAATCTGGGCCTGGGGTGTGAAACTTTGCTTGCAAGAGGGAGGCTAATAGATGTACATGTACACCGGCGTGCGCTACACATCCTGGAAATTACCGTCAAGCACAAGTCTATTCCCATCCGCCAAACTATTTGCCACACACAAACACACTTGTACATGTATGCACAAACACGCACGCTGAGGACGAAACAGAGTGCCAGTCACCCACCTCGGTTCTCTTCATCTTCCGCAGTTCCTCCTTGACGCGCTCTTCTTTCTCATCCTCGCTGTCAACCATGACCTGCTTGGTGCGCTCGGTACCATAGTAGGCCAAAGCTCCACGTCCACCTCGCACCTTCACCTCTATGGGCTGATTGATACCTTCACCACCTCGGCCCAGACCGGTACCAGCCTCGTAGCCAAACTACACAGAAAACATGAAAAGGGTTCAAAAATCCAACAAAAAAACAAAACAGTTCGAATGTCAACACGGTAAAGAACCAAAACGAATTCTACCAGAACACTGTTTTACCCCAGAAGTCTACTGAATGTTAAAGTGGACAAAGTCTATGCAGGAGCAATTCAGCCACCTGCTTTGCGGTGTGATGGGGCCAGGTGGAAAGGAGCATGTTTCCGTGGCAGGATGGATGTCACAACACAGAATATTGACACAATTCACACTGCAAAAAATTGAAACGTTGGCCAGCTGCTACGTATTCAAATATAGGGGGATCGTGGCTGTGCAAGTCTTTCTAAGTGGAAGTTAGACAGAAGAATAACCGATATGTGCTTGTCCAGCAGAGAAACAAACTCCACACGTATCAAAATGAACAAGATCATATCAACTTGGCAAAACACAACAGATCTTCGTCATGTTTACCTTCTGGAGCAGTTTGAGGCCAATGCCTTTCGTGTGCTTTTCCCATGATCCAAACGCCCTATATAGTCACAGAACAAGAAACAAAGCAACAATCTATGTAAAAACAATCCCCATGGGTAATTTAAAAAAATGTTGTCCCTGAAACGAACATCGTTCACTTGGGGGAAGGGGTGCAAGCCAAACTCCCAAGTCCACACCGACACTTTACATGCATGCGATTTGCGTCGTCTAGGACGGCAAGCAGAGTTCATTTCGGGGAAGGGGTCTGAGTACAAAACGAACAATGTTCGATTCAGGGATGACACAAAACATTGGCGACGACCCCTGGGGAATGGTAAAAAACCCTTGAGTGTGCCCCAATGATAATACCAACCATAGCGAGTGAAAAGTGAAATCCTGGAAGGTCAGGCCCACCTGGTCGGGCCACGGATGGCCCAGCCTTTCAGCAAGCATTGCGCGCCGCAGCAAGTAAACTTACTGTAAGACATGTAATTATAATGAGGAAGTAAATCTAACGGTTTAATGGGTACGATTTTTTCGTTATAATAACAGGGATGGATTTACTGTCATATTTTGCCATAGCAATTTCTGCTATACAAAATCACAATTGTATAGCAGTCTTTGATTTTGATTAGCATTTTTTCTTTGAAGGTTGGGTGTTTACCACACTGTCCTTCTTGAGAGTGATGCCTGAAAGCCCATTTGCAAAAAAACCGACTGAAGCATACATGTGCACGCAGATTGAGAGTACCTGCACCATATACATTGCACCAGACATGGTTAGCATTTTACCGTTCACGCTATTTTTCGACGGTCGGCCTGTACCGTGTTTGTGTGTGTAGACATGGCATTTTACCGTTCACGCGCTAGATCCAACGGTACTCGTACCCAACACCCAAAATACCGTCGGTTTGGTACCGTTTCGACGATAGAAAGCTTTGTTTAGCGGGAGAACGAAACGGTAAGATTCCAATTAGGGTTGCGTCACAAGTCGATGGTTGCGTCAGGAGTCAGGACTCAGAAGCCGAACTGCAACCGTGTCTCGAAAACACACAAAAAACAGTAGACTCGCCCTCTACACACCGACCATCGAAAATAGCGTGAACGGTAAAATGCTAACCATGTCTACTGTATGCATGTTACTTCATAGCGCAGGCTAAGCATGGATAGTCTGTATGTATCGCAGTTTTCTGCGAGTCACGGTGACTTTTGAGTAGCAGTAGATCGATGTTGCATCGCAAACTGCGATGCGATACAGGATAACTTCATCCCTGAATAAGTTCTGTTGAGGCGGTAATGCCTAGTGTGTGTTATGTGCAGATACGCCTGAAGACCGCAAGATCGTTAACATATCTTCTTGTTAACCTATGAATTTTGGACAATGGTTAAATTTGCGACTCGTTACAATAACATGTCTTACAGTAACAGTGATTCCTGCATTACGCTCAGCTTGTTCAACTTGCGCCGTGCATCAGCTTGTTCAACACGCCGTGCATCAGCTTGTTCAACACGCCGTGCATCAGTTTGTCTTTCAAAGTGATCAAACAAAAATCTATTCCATCACTGATATCATGCATTGCAGCAGCACGAGCACAAGTGGCTGATAGTCAAGCAAAGTGCCCAAGCAGCATCTATCTCAAGTGGCATGTCTTCTCTTCAAGATCTGAGTCAAGAGCACAGCAAAGTCACACTAGAGGCATGGTGATAGTGCCAACTTCATTCTTACTTGTCATGCTTCCCCATAGGTTTCATACCTGTGAAGAGCAGATACCCACACGCATACATACATACACACACACACACACACACACACACACGCGCACACACACACATGCGCGTATACACACACACACACGGATGCGCACACACACGCATGCGCGCACGCACACACACACACACACACACACACACACACACATGCGCGTACACACACACACACACACATCAAATCATTGCATGTTCTACAACTGCTTGACAACACTAACACAGAAAGTACCGTAAATGCAGAAAAAGGGTGGTGCCACTGCCACTGCAGCTACTACTGAGTATAGTAAATATTCATACAATCCAACACCGTTCTGCTCTTTACTTTGTGAATTCAGATTTCATCGAGCATGCTTTCATCCAATGGCTACAGCTGCATGGTGCTGGCCTGGAACTAATATTAGTGTTACCGGTAGATCCCAGTAGTTGCTATAGCAACCGGTCCTGGTGCATAAGTCTCTCTGCCTCTCCGTCTATCCTTCTCTCTCTCTGCCTCTCCGTCTATCCTTTTCTCTCTCTCTCTCTCTCTCTCTCTCTCTCTCTCTCTCTCTCTCTCTCTCTCCCTCTCTCTCTCTATATCTATCTACAGTCCATTCATAAAAAGATGGGTCCTGGCTCTGGCGAGCTCCCGTATTAGGCGATTTTTCGTGATTTCATCGTACACAGTGCAGTGCTGCGAACTTTGAAATTTGAAAAAGGGTCCAAAAAGGGTGCCTGAACTGGGGTTCGAACCGCAGAATGCACTGTTGCAGGCGGGGTCAAACGGCCTGGATTTTGATGGTTTTTCCCAATTCAATGCTTTTGGGGCAAAACCTGGCCGAAATCCTATTCTTGCTATGGCTTGCTTTTTGGACAAAAAAACTTCAGAAACATAATTGGAAGAGGATTCCATATGGGATTGCAGAAAAAAATTCTAAAAAAACTCAACGTTTGACCCATTTATGGCCAAAAGCTAGAAGTTCATTTTTTTCTGAATGGACTCTATCTCTCTCTCTCTCTCTTTCTCTCTCTCTCTCTCTCTCCCTCTCTCTCTCTCTCCCTCTCTCTCTCTCACACACACACACACACGCACGCACACACACACACGCACGGATCTAATATTAGTACCGTAAAGTACCGCCAGAGCGCCCCACCATCTCATCCTTTCGTGGTCGTATTGCGGAGGTGGTTTGCTGTCTGTAGGTCATACGACATGAACCTTGTACACATATTGCACGTTTTGCAGTCAATCCGTACCTTCGAGCGGACACAAGCTCCACACAAAACCCTGCCAAGCGTGACCTTAGTACACTAAGATTCTCACATCGTACAAACTTCGTTGCACTCTGCCATACGATTTTCCTTTCTCAGGCGGTAAAATCAAGGTGGGGCACTCTCGCGAGACGGGGCGCTCTGGCGGTACTTTACGGTGCTAATATTAGAAGCTTAAGGATGGCAATAAACAGAACCAGCTGAAGCGTCATTTCACGAAGGTTTTATTGAGATGTCACGAACACATTCTAGAAAAAGTGGTGATGAACAAAGAAATGACTTCGTGAAATGACGCTTCAGCTGGTTCTGTTTATTGCCATCCTTAAACTTGTGTCAACCCGCCACCTGTTCAAATATTAGAAGCGCCACACAATAAAATGAAATAAACCCGGACCAGGAATAGCATGCATGAGCCCATTGTACTGCCCACTACAGTCCTGTGCTCGGTGAAATCCAACCCAAAGCGTATGACTGGCGCCCTGGACCGTGTTTACTGTGTCCGTACATTTGTACGTCCAGCAGCATCCGCACGGCATCCAGGCCTGAGGGCGTCAGGGGCCGTACAAGTTGAGGGCGCCAAACATGCACTTTGGGTCGGATTTCACCGAGCGCAACAACTGTAGTACTGTAAATATACAAAATTTCCGCGCTGCAAAATTTCGGCACTTCACGATTTTTGACATTTCGGCGTGGGGTAGAGGGCATGGTAAAGTGCGACAGATGCTGTGAAAAATTTCATCTGCGTTTTAATTTACAGTAAAACCTGTAACTAAAGACCACCGTGACTAGCGACCAGCCTGGTACTACCGACCACTTCGCCAGGCACGGACGGTCTCACTTTCAAAATGCACTGTGACTACAGTGCATTTCAAAACTATAGACGCGTAGGGTTTTTGAAATATTTCAAATTTGGCTGGAACTTTTTGAGAATAGTTTTCGGAATATTGCTCAGGATCGCTCCACAATTACTCTCATATAGTTTCTAAAGGATTGGATAACAGACGCCCAATTTGGAAAAATTTATGCACAAAGTGATCACAGATTTTATGTGGTATAGATGCTGGCATAACGGTTTTTGCCTAGGTACGCGTCTATAGTTTTGAAATGGACTGTAGCGACTACCTGCTGAACGCGACCAGCGACCGCCTTTTCTTGTCCCAAAGACGATTTTTGACCTGTAACTAGCGACCGCGATGTAGGAAATCAAATGTTGCTCGAAGCTCCTTCTCGACATTTTGCTGATTTTCCATTTTCCTGAAAGGAATCTTTCGGTACTACTAGTACGAGGTGAATTGCTATTTCTGGACATTGTACATTTCTGGACACTTCGAGTAAAATAATTTTTCGTCGCGTGTAGAGTCAAGTCAGTCAGGTTGATGAAGTTTTTTCTTGTTGTAGTTGACAGCTGGGCTGTTGTAGTTTCTCCTCGTGTCGGTGCCTTGTTGATAGCCTTTTCTTGGGAGGCATTTCAACGAGTTTTGTGGTACTATGTTGCATGAGAATTTTGAATTTTGAGTAAAATAAGAAGTAATGGACGAATCGTTGGCTTCCCCATGTGCACTCCACTTCAGATGCTGTATAGTCTTGGACCTGTTGGCTGGAAGTGTGAAGAGGCCAACTGCAGTCCACCAATAGAAAAAATAACAAAAATGGTGCAGTATAGGATGCCTATTGACGCTATTTTTACTTTCATGTCCAGAATTCCATACACTGAAATTTAGGCCCAAAAATTGGCCTGTCGAAAACATCCTGCTATAAAGTCTCTGGGATCACAGCATGAGCAATTGTCACATATTTGGAAAGATGAAGGATTAGGCCATGCAATAGATACAAAAAGATATGAAAAATGTAAAACACACAGCCAGTGGGCCTCTATTTTATTTTTATGTCCAGAAATTGCTATTCACCTCGTACAGCTGAACAAATGAACGCAGGTCATTTTGACTGTGGAGTCGGTGTGGACTGCACTACACCTGTCAATATTTCAAGCGCTGTCAAAAAACATGATAGGAAACGTCTTGGAGAGCGCATCGGAAGCGCTCTCTGATCGATGTTACTACTCGGAGTAGAAACGAATACTGAGCGGCTCTTTCACCTCAGTCATACAGCTACAGACGAATCGACGATGGCATCAAGGAATCCAGAAACAAAGCAGCACCGCAAGGTTCTGATGCTGAAGGATCGCATTCAAGCAATCGAGAAGTCACAACAACTAACATACTTAGGACAGTCGGTACGATTGATCACATGAACAATTCGAAGCCCAGCGCAAAACGAAACTTCCACAGAGAATGTTTGACTCCTGGCTTCAGAAGTAGGAGCTGAATTTGATGTCTGCAAAAAAATAATCTTCTCTCTCTCTCTCTCTCTCTCTCTCTGTCTGTCTCTCTCCACCTCTCCGTCTTTCTCTCCAAGTGTTGTTTGACCTGAAATAAGTATGGTATTGCGCAAGTCCTGGGGAATTGTATTAGCTGCATTTTGACATACATTATCATAATTATAATGGGATCCATATTAGGGATATCACTGTATTTTTTTCTTTCGTAGTAAACCAAGAAAACTGTTTGTTTTCGGGAAGAACCACACACCTACAGTACAGGAGATAGCACAGAAAATTTGGATGAAAAATCTTGAAGGATACCAGAGATATAAGGCGTCAGTCATACGCCAACCTTCATCATGCATGATGTATGCGGAATGCCATACTGCTGTGGCACCAACAGGGTTTTCCGGAAAGCCTAGCAAACGCTTAGCAACATTACAATATTGTCAGAATGCTATGAAATCTGGCTTGTAGGTGAAATATAGGTGTAATATAGGTGCAATACAGGTTGGTTAGTCCTAATATTGACCAAAATAATAATATTTCGGCAAGCGATGACCAATGAGAACGAGCGCGGCGCCCGTAGCAACCACCATACCAACAATGCTAAATCCATTGAACACGAGTTCCATTACTATGAAATTGAAGTGAGCACTGATGGCTATGGTTGTATTATACATGTACAAATAATAAATACAGCAGTTTCGTCTTCAGATGCCCAACTTTACTGCGGCTGTCACACAGTTGATCAATCATGTACATGTACAGTACATGTAAAATGCACAATAGTGAAATATGCATACAATAAAATCACTGACGCGATCCATGTCAGAGCACCACTCCGTAGCTATTTCTTTCTGGTCTCAAGGCGACGAGTCGAATACAAAATCATAGCTCACTTTGTCGCAGTAGCGAAAGTCTCCGTCAGGTGCAATCTTTCACTAGGGCCAACAAACCATCTGAAACACTCCTAGCGCTTGAACATATTGGGTCCAGAAATTCATTCATTTTGGGCGACCAGGAGGTGAAAGTCTTGAAAGCGCGATGAAGAGCGATCCCCCAGCTCGAGAAGAAAGCACTATTCTACATAATTCGAGGTCGCTGAGCACGATGGTGGGTGTTTCCTCGCCGTTTACTCCCCCCAAACGGATGAAAAATCCAATTGAAAACTACACTCCTCACAACAAAAAGCTCAAACTACAGTTGCCCAAGCAAGTGTGGCACCAAAACGAGCAGGAAGACCTCAGCTATCAAACGCACCAACTTTCAACTTTGAAAAAGAAAGCAGGACGAAGCAGTTCGGAAAAAACTGCAGCGAAGTCCATGGTGCCACAGCTACCATGCTAATGTACATGACCCGCGTGAAGGCTGTTTTCAGCTGATTTGTCAGGTGACTGAACTCCCTATCCATATATGGTCACGCAGTGCAAACCTCTAACTAAAGATAGGGATATCAGCGAACGCACTGCGCAGCCCATCTGCGCAGGTCAGCCTGGCCCATCTACGCGCGGCCGACAAGAAAACTCATGAACACTTTCATTTTTTTGCAAAATAAATCGTGCGAAGAAGATGCACGGAATGGCTGAAAACTAGGCTGAGGAATAGTAGCATCCAGAGACTCTCAAACAAATTCATGGTCCATCGCTTCTGACAATGGCAGCGAAGACATCAGGGAGCTGATTGCAGCAACTCTCTACCAAGCGCGATGCTGGTTACTCACCAGGGCAGGGTGCTTCCATCGCGCAAGAAATGGCCGCGAGTGAGAAATGGAAGTCCGATTTTGGAACGATCCAACCAGGGAAATTCCTTGAAAATTGGCCTGAACACCTCTCATACTGGTGTTTCACGATGTGCAAACTTTCAGAGAAATCGACCGGGGAGAACGTGGTGAGTTCGTGGGTCCTCGAGTATCGCGTATGATTTGAATGGTCGCGGGGACAGAAGAACAGTAATTTTACGACTCCCAGCGGTGCAAACAGACCGCGGCCATGTTTTCTCTGTCGGCCGCGATCACGTTCAAAAAATCGATGACGCAATGCATGCGCAGAGGCCTGCGCAGTGCGTTCGCTGACATCCCTACTAAAGACCACCTGCTACTAAAGACCGCTTTTGCTGGCACCAAGGGGTGGTCGGTAGTCACAGGTTTTACTGTAGGCGTTTTGGGTCGGTGCCGAATATAGCCGAAATTAAATAGCGGCCGAAAATTTGTAAATTTACAGTATTCTGCTCCCTACTCGACCTGATTGTGATACTCACCTAATCGACTGTTGCTGCTGGACTTGTTGCCACGGCTTCCTTGTATCGTTTCCAAAGTCTTGGCTTTCTGCTGAGAGGAAGATACAAACGCCTTGGGGAGACCAGATGCGCTGGCATCGTCTGCTTGCGCAGCCTTTTCACTCTCTGCTATCTCCATGCTCTGGAGCAACTGCTCGTCCATTCGCTCAGGATCACTATCACTGCCAGCGTCACCTTCCTTCTGACCTCCCTTGACACCACCACTGATAAAATTCAGGGGTCTCGAGTAGTCCGCTTTGCCACCACGTCTACGTGACGATCCATGATCTTCGTCCGAGTCATGGTCGGCCCACAGCCCATAAATTGCTTTCTCTTTGCTGAAACGACCCTTTCGACCATAAGCAGACATTTGGTCATTTATATCCTCCAAATCCTCCTGGCTTACGCCAAACGACTCCATTTCGTCGGAGGACATTTTCACTGCACCTATGAAAACCTACTGATACAGGTTAATTGCGGAAAACCAGAGTAAGATACAATGCCACAGTAAATTGCTTGCTACATTGTCTCATCTTTATCATGCACATCTACAAAATTTAAAAAATTTAATATGAGACTACAAGTACAAAAATTATAATGAGTGCAGTGGTATGGAAATCATCGATCGTCTTGAAAACGTTTTTTTCGAATGCATGACATCATACTCATAGTGCAATATGCATGCTCACGCACACAATGATAATAATAATTGCTCACAATGCTCAGGCATTGTAAACTACCAAGATAACCCCTCCCCCATATACTCTTGATACATGTACTATGGTACTCTTGATTGCATTCATAATAATATTATTACAGCTATACTATACATACTGTAAAGACCAGGGAATCGAAGTATACGACTCACACAGTCAGACAACACGGGCCGCTCGACCGCACTCCCCCGGCCGCTCGACCGCACTCCCCCGGCCGGGGAAACAGCGGCACAGTGACTTTATCCACCGCATGTTATACATGTACAGTTGTCGCTGAGTCCACATTCAAACTCAGATTATGCCAAGTTGGTGTAAAAAGTCATTGCAAACAACGGACCATGTGTTGGGCAGTCAGAGCCTTTGTCAGACCGACCATCATCATGGATCTAATTCGGGTTAAAAAAAAACCCAGCATAGAATATGCCCATAATGCACCTCCACTGGTCCTTGCACGGAAACAATAAGTCGTATCCAGACAAAAAAGTTTCTTCACTTGTACTAAAAACAGAACAATACTTTGGCTTGATCAGGAAGTTACAAAACTGCTAAAAAGGAGAGCTGTTACCTTAATTGTTAAAGTAGGTGCAGTGTCGAAAAATCAATAGAAATAGATATCGAAATAACTATTGAATCGGTAAATAATAGTGCATGTCGATCACAGCTCGTGTCGGGTCACTGTCAAACCAGACATAACCCCGGCTTGGCTCATCTCGGCGCAGTAATCTTTGCACGGTGCAACACAATAATGCTCTTCGCACACAGTGACACGCACACGTGCACAAGCACACACACACACACATCTGTCATCATGTACACACCATGTACACACCATGTACACACACACACCATGTACACACCATGTACGTACACACACACACACACACACACACACACACACACACACACACACACACACACACACACACACACACACACACACACACACACACAAGCACAAGTACAAACTCACACACAGAGCATAACCTGTCCAGCAAGATCACCCCACGTAACAATACAGAAAGTTTTGAATAAGTTAACTTGCACACGGCACCGATGCCGTGCTATTAGCTACTATCTGATCAGCAGCACTCCAGAGAGCCAGACACACGTGTGCACGTGCACAAGGACAGACCATGCACTGGTCGTGCCTGAAGCCACGGCCCGGAGCCTGTTGCGCATCTGCGGGTTGACAGAGAGCAACGGAAATCGGTGCAAGAGGAACACAACCCAACATCATCTCACCAGTCTTCAAACGGCAAGAACTCGCCTTGCCTTATGAGCATGGTATGCAAAACCATGCATGTGGCACTGTGCCTACATCACTCCAGTGAATTATCTAGAACACAGGTCTTAGCCACGTTGTCAGCCACAGCAGTGAACGAGAGCTGATGAGGAATGTGGTGGAGGGACCGAGGTAAACAGCTCAGCACGTCGTATACCACGGAATTGTACCTCCACTACGTCAGACCCCACGGAATTGTAGTACCTCCACTACGTCAGACCCTCCACAACGTCATAGTAGTGCGGAGTGCCGGCCGGAAAGAACTGTCGCATGCAGATGTTCATCCAGTGGGCACCATGCAGCAGAGGGCTGATGATAAAAATGAGAAAGCTGAGCAGCTCTCGGCTGTTCAGATTCGTGTCGATCACGGAACGCAGTTTGTCAACGTTACCCCATGCCCGATATGTTGTACACGTGTCTCCCAAGTTGTGGATTCTGGGGTGGAAAAAAGAAAGAACGCAAAGAGGATATTTGAGAAATAGCAAACAAATTGACGGACATTGTCAGTGTATTTAACCTACTTGATAGATGGTTTAGAGGCTGACGAGATTGTATGGCAACACACACTAAAACCATGGGGTGTTACAGTCCTGCATTTCAAAACTATAGACGCGTACCTAGGCAAAAACCGTTATGCCAGCATCTATACTGTCATGGCCCTGCGTAGATAGTACTACTCACCAATACAACTGTATAGTAGTGCTGCACGCATTCACTATCAGCCTGTCACCTACCTCTACCGCAGCCCCTCATCAATGCCATTAGAGTATTGTTCTCTTCCTTTTGAATATGATAAGCTAACCTCTGCTGTCGCCGGACCTAGACTATCCATTACCATAGAACTGTCAGCTATTGTCTCCGTTGCCGGTCCGCTGTTCTGCTGTTCCGCTTAGTTGCTTCGATTCATGATTAGCATTAGCTTCAATACTTAGATACATTACTCTTTGCTGAGTTTAGCACAGCTCACTACTCGTTCGCTGCTGCCTGCTCGATCCTTCCCTTCGTAGCCGCTCGCATAGATTTCAGCTAGTATAAGTTCGCTGACTTTGCCAGATATCGATTAGTCTTGTATGAGTCTTGTATTATTAGGTTCTTGGAGATTCTCTTTAGGTTTCTTGTTTATAGGAGTTCCGCTACCGCTTGAGCCGGTTTGGCCTTTGACTTCGTAGTTTCTTACTGTTCCTTTGTTCCTTTACTATCGGACCTGAGGGCTCCGCCACCCTGACTTCTCTCTGTGCTTTGGGTCTGAGCTACGCCTGAGTGGAACTACCAAGAGGCGCACATATACTTTGTGCAAACGGGCTTGGGATAACTAACACGTAGGGACGATCAGCCAGCCACGACACTACCACGTAAAATCTGTGATCACTTTGTGCACAAATTTTTCCAAATTGGGCGTCTGTTATCCAATCGTTTAGAAACATTATGAGAGTAATTGTGGAGCGGACCTGAGCAATATTCCGAAAACTATTCTCAAAAAGTTCCAGCCAAATTTGAAATATTTCAAAAACCCTACGCGTCTATAGTTTTGAAATGGACTGTAGGGTGTTGCACCACTGAGATTCATGCACAATGGCATAGACAATAGTGCAATCCACAGACCAAACTCCCAGTGCACTGGCTGCATCCTTTGTGATAACCACACCATAATTGAATGCGATATGTACAGTATAGCACCAGTACAACCTGCAAATGCAACCGCTCGATCAAGACAACCACTTTTTTTAGTCTCCCTATGGTATGAAACTAATTTTCGTACCGAACTGAAGTTCATGCACCCAAACTGTAGAGATCATGTCAGTACTCAAACGAATCGAGCAAAAGCAGTTGTGCTGGTACAGTACCAGAGATTGTGAGTTTGAGTGCATGAGTACAGGGCATGGTGTAGGCAAGTTACTTCATGGAGGCAGTGCACCAAGCATTGACTCATAACATAATAATTCATAACTACAGTAGCATACTCTTCACTTGGTAGATTAGGTGAGGATTTTTGCAGTTGCATTTCAACAGGAGAAGGATAAAGCCAGAGGGTTGTTTCCTTGTAGTGCCACCTATTTGTTGCAGGGCTTGGGGAAAGGATCGCAAGCCCTTGCCAGCTGATAATGCATAATCTTGAACGAGAAATAATCCCAGCCAGATGCGACTGCACGCAACACCCGGGGCACATTTTCATCCACTCTCTTCCTCTCTCACTGATGTGTGGGCAGTGATCCAAAGAAATGTAGCATGCAAAATCAAGAAAATTAGACATGTTGACCATTGGCTCTCACCTGTTCGGATGCTGAGGAAACACATCAGACTGACATTGACATATGGGATCCAGCGATATGGAAGTTCCCCGAGCTTTGATGCCAACCTCGCACACCTACCCAGACCATTTCCATTTCCATGACACACACACACATACACACACACACATGCGTGCACACACACACACAGCATGAAGGAGATCACACACAGACACAGAGAATGAAACACTGCCATCACTTTTTGATCGTTATCCATTCACTGGCATGTCTAAACAACAAGTAAGCCACAATATTCCCACCAGCCAGCCCCCCCCCCCCCCCAAACACACAGACATACACACAGACACACACAGACGTACGCACACACACAATTACCATGTGCATGTTCCACCTTGTAGGCCTACCCACACCCTAATGTGCAGTGTGCAACTCTGATGATAGTCCCCAATGGTGAACAAAACGTTTCCCGGGTGTCAGCCATACCCAACCCCCCCCCCCCCCCCCCCCTTCTCCTCATGATGATCGAGTTTGTGATCATTTATAATAAGTTGCATGCATGGAGAAATGCCGGAGGGCAGAGGCTTAGCCGATTCAGTTTGCTCTTGACTGCAAGCGACTTGGCTAGGGAGTCATGGCTCCTTGGGCTTGCCTGCTTGATCATTGCTTCCTTGAGCTCCCCACAACTCCACATCATATTATGCACTGTAAAATGTACTTGACCTTGTAATAGTATTAATTTTTTTACTCATTGAGCATTGTCCTTTTCCATACATCTGTAGCGGAAGGGCAGACTGCGATAATGCCGGAGTGGAGACCACACACGTAGGGCATATTCGATTGTGCGAATCCGCGCGCCCCGGATCCGGATTCGCCAAGTTTGGATCTGTTCGTTTGTACGAATCTGGATCCAGGTGGCACGGATTCGGATCTGCAACCCGGCCTTGTGGCAGAACCGCAAGCCCACATATCTCTAAAAAAAAAGGCCAATAGCCTGTGGGAAACCAGAAGTAAAATAAGAGAAAAAGAACCTCCTCTCTGTGGTCTCAAGATGATGTTCATGTAGTGTAATGAGTAGCATCATGACAGAACTCTATCCCTAGGCATATCATTGTCTTTCTCCAGGTTTCTCCTTCCTACTCCCTACACTCACTCGCATTGATCTAACGTGTGTACTTGTATAAGAACCGCAGCCTGCCTGCTGTACCATCGACTCATGCATTCATGTACCGCTGCACTTCCTGGCTGCGCATCACTAACCCTTCCCCTTCGATGGCACAGTCCCCGCACTCAATGCAGTACTCGGGGTGCGCGTGCGTATTCATGTCTGACTGTACTGCCCTCGGGCTCCATCTAACGGCTGCAACAGCTCACTGCAACAGCTTACTACAACAGCTCACTGCAACAGCTACTGCAAAAGCTCACTGCAACAGCTCCCTGCAACAGCTTACTGCAACAGCTCACTGCAACAGCTCACTGCAACAGCTCACTGCAACAGCTCCCTGCAACAGCTCCCTGCAACAGCTCACTGCAACAGCTCACTGCAACAGCTCACTGCAACAGCTCCCTGCAACAGCTCACTGCAACAGCTCACTGCAACAGCTCACTGCAACAGCTCCCTGCAACAGCTCACTGCAACAGCTTACTGCAACAGCTCACTGCTACAGCTTACTGCAACAGCTCACTGCTACAGCTCAGCCAGCGATCTACGATGTTAAGACAGCCACCTCCACCGTACGTTGCAATGTGAGGAGCCTTCGGCCACTCCCGCCCAACCCAGAAGAAGTAAACACACCAGCAGTCCCCGCAGCCTGAAGCCACCAAGCGGCGGAGAAACTCCCGAGGCGAGCCGCAACAGCATACCTGCTGCCGCCGAGCCCAACACAAGTGCCACCTCCACTACCTGTTCAGGTCGCACAGCCATTGCGCCGGAGCGGCTCATCTCGACAATGTGAACATGGACCTGCAACTCTTTCCGTTAGGGGAGATGTGGTGTAATAAGTAACATCATGACAGAACTCTATCCCTGGGCATAGCATTGTCTGGGCCTGCAACTCTTTCCGTTAGGGGAGATGTAGTGTAATGAGTAGCATCATGACAGAACTCTATCCCTAGGCATATCATTGTCTGTCTCCAGGTTTCTCCTTCCTACTCCCTACACTCGCTCGCATTGATCTAACGTGTGCACTTGTATCTGCCTACTACATGTCGCTAGGCAGCCTCCTTTGCAATGTTCAACAGTACTCTTCGCAGCCTCTTTTGCAACACATAATGGCATAGTATGCAGCCACCGTTTTCTTTTTTTCTTTACTCTATTTCACGCACTTACGGCTTTCTTCATTCAGCTCTATTTCACGCACTTACCTAGGGTACCCTGTAAAAAGACTCACAGTCTGTGGGGATTGCCCTAGTAAAATAATAAATACTACTACTACTACTACTACTTTGTTTTTAACACTCATGGTTCAGTGCCAATACCGGTAGTTTCTCGATTAAAGTCAAAAATCCCCGATATGCCGGTAGTTACCCCAGTTTTCCGGCAGTATACCGGGAAAACTGGTATGGTTGGCAAGTATGGAGCGGGCCATGGCAGGCAATCTTCCCCTGGCGTCCCCTATGTTTATTCCTCTCTCTGGCAAGTTGGTGGACATGCCGGGTAAAGTGCAAGGTTCTGGCAGCTGGTCACAACAATCAAGAATAGCTTTAAGAAGCGGTAAAACTCTTTCTAAAGAATGATGGTGACAACGATGCAGAACATGACATTACGCTAGATATCTACATCTCCACCGTCATGGATTCTTGAGGGTAATTTACGTAAGAGTGTGGAAGCATGTCAACAGATTCCTGGTTACATTTGGTATGGAGTTCATATCAAAGCATCTGACCGTGGAGTTCTGCCAAACGATTCCGGTTTGAAAGTCACCCTCGAACTCGGCCATCTGGTTCATATGGATGTTCATGTACTCCTCTCCCCCCCCCCCCCCCGGCCATCACAGTATCAGCAATTGGACTTACCAACGATTGGGTATCGTCAAAGTGGCACATGATCAGGCGCTGTGTTGCAATCTGACGGCCGCTGGTCTCGACGGTTCCCTCTTCTTTCGCCTCGTGCAAATAGGAAATCTCTACACTTTGAAGCTTGGAGTTGGCTTCTGCCTGAATATCTCGCGACTCCGGGGGTCTCGCTGGAAAGCTAATTGAGCCACATTTGAATGTATTGCTGTTCATCAGTAGAAGACGAATGAGAACACAAGGCATGATCAGTTCAGAGGACTCCACACCATTCCAGATTTATAGGAAAGCAACCTATTCACATAAAAACACCGATTTGTTACGACAAAAATACTTTTCTCCAGAATTCATCAGTGACCGCATCCGGTAAGGAGAGAAAAAGACAGTGAAGCCGCGCCCAGTTAGTGTAAGATAACCTAGGCACGGTCTCAAAATGGGAGCCAGTTAAGGCGTGCAAAGTACTGGAGAGGACAGTATACATTGTATGTACAGTACTGACGCGGCAAAGAACTGGGGGTCAGCCCTCCTAGCCTAGGCCGTTCATATTTTCATGTACTACAGTCTATGCATAGTTGAGTCAGTGTGTGTACATTGCCATTGGTATGCTGTTCTTGGTGAAATCCTAGCCTGCTTGTTCTTCAGCACCCGACAGTACTGTGTGTGTACTGTGAAGTGACACAATGAAGACAAACCTATGACCTTTCCGAGTGATTCAAACCCGAGAAATGGGGAAATTCGTGCAAGCTAGCTTGTAAGACAACCTAGCATGCCTGTCGCCCTGATGACCAGCTGTAGTTGAGCTTTCATCACACATGTACCCACTATTTGATAACAATTGTATACATGTACGCCCTTCTCTCTCTCTCTCTCGCTCTCTCTCTCTCTCTCTCTCTCTCTCTCTCTCTCTCTCCCCCCCCCCCCACGTGCACACACACACACACACACACACACACTCGCATACACACACACACTCGCATACACACACACACATTTCTACAGGACTGCAGCAAGCACTCCTGAAGACATGCATGCTCCCAGGAGACTGGCGAGATCCATCCTGCACGAATCAGGATTGGCTATCATGACTTCCTATCGTTGCAGCCGCATTCACAGTGGGGTAGGCTGGGGAAAGTCCCCTGTAGCAATGTCATTACAGCTAGGTTACCAGGTGTAACAACAAAGACTTACTTCCGCTCAATGTTGTTGCCTTGCTCTATTCGTGTTTCACTGATGTACGTCAGGCTTTCAAGAAGCTTCTGTGCCTCGACCACAAAGGACGGGTAGTCGACTTCGCCATGTGCCGACTTCCGCCGTTCGATCAACGAGAGGAACTGCGGCATCAGCGTTCCGATGAAGTCCTTCTTGTCGTACGACGTATTCCGGGGCATTGGGTGCAGCACCTCGTTAGCCTCCTCATAGTACTCCATGGGCTCAGAGTCCAGGCGTTGGAAATAGGTCGGTTGTTGGAGATGCGGAGTGCGTTTGCCCTCTGTCTTCAGAGCCATCTTGTCGATGGGCACTCGTTTGGGGCCCGTACTGGACAGGGTTGTGTGGATGGGGTACGCCACGTCCGTTGCTACTGCAGTCAAATGTTCAACTGTGCCCATGACTGAACTGCAGCTGGTCCCATGGGCCATCATCACCGGACTGCTGGCACTGCTGGTTACGGCTGAGCTGTCACCACCGCCACCATAGCTTGCCAAAGGGGATGTGTAATCCAGCTGCGATGGGTAGTCTCGTTTCGCTGGCGGATAACAGTCCAGCTCATCCTCTCCCTTATAGCTCTGGTTACTACTCCCACCGCCAGCAGCTGCAGCAGCACTTGACGAGCTAGCACGTCCGCCACTGGCTTGATGGCGACCGTGGAACACAGGAGGGAATTGCGGCGAGCGCTGTTGCTGAGGATCACGTCCATTGCCTCTGGGCACACCACGTCCAGATCCGCCCGGCGTATGCGATGACTGGCTACTACCATTTGAACTGGGTCGATCACGATGGCGTTTGTTGTCAAACCACTGTTTCACCACTGAGTACTCCAAGTCCAGTCGGCTGGCGAGGTCCTCCAACTCCGTCCGCCTCGGGTGATTATCATGCCCGTAAAAATCCTTCAGGGTCGACAGCTGGGTATCAGAGAACTTGGTCCGAAAGCGCTTGACTTTCCCCGAAGGCGCATTTCCAGGAGAGCTCATTCTCAAGCTGAGGGACCTCCCTCAACTTGAGGCTCAAGCTTGACCACCACGCTCTCCACTTTCTACTGTAGTGTGTAGACTTTGCACTTCTCAAACTCTCAAGCAAACTCACTGACTCCAGACAGAGTCCACACATGGTGACATTCTCAAGCACTCTCTCAAGCCAAGACATCCGATCCGGATGCATTTGAAGAACATGACTTGTCGGGTCGATGTAGACCTATCGTCCGCTTCGTACTCGTAGCGATAGTATAGATAGCTAGCGCGCATGCTAAGTAGAAGCGGTTACTTTTACGACGTCATCGCGTCAGTATGCCGTTTCCTTGGGAACAATATTTTTGCGTGTGAAATCATCCTTCAACGGTATCCCGCTTGTATATGGTCCTTGGTTACTTCTTCTTCCTCCTTTGGGTATCCATACAAGCAAGAGTACATGTACATGAAAGGTTTTCATGACTGTACTCTTGATACAAGATGCTAGCAAGGGTCCATGATGGACTCGTGATGCTAGAAATAGACATAGTAGTGTATGTATGAAACAGAAAGGACGGCTCAACCGTACACTTTGGTTGCCGCATATTATTATTATTATTAGGGCTCAAACGGTCACGGTTTTACCCCCAACGGTTAACTGCTAAGCTAACGGTCGGTTTAACGGTTATAACCTATAAGCCACGGCAATCCTGCGGACTCTCTTTTAACCGTATATTTGGCTATACTTATTCAAAAAATGTACCCTATTCATTACAACGTACACATGTTTATTCTCTTGCATGCTCATTCATACATACTCTCACACCAAGAGACCAGATATGACCGAGTTGACAGCCCAGAAATTGCGTACGCGTGCGACAGCCTGCGAAAGTGCATACTTTGCAACGACCTGATACTTGAAAAATTGACTGAAAAGTTACTGCGTAACCGTTATCTTTATCGGTTAACCGTTAATTCTTCGTAACCGGTCTGCAACCGGTTAATCGGACTAACCGTTTGAGCCCTAATTATTATTACTGTTAAATTTTGAATAGGTATGTAGGACAGATATGCATATCACCAAGAGACCTTCATGTACTCTTGATATCACCAAGAGTAAGTTATGTACTCTTGATGATAATTTATCATACAGAAAGTGTGATATTACTGCCGGACCAATCAAAACCTGCTTCCGGTGGTCCTCTGCCAGAGGTCGCTAAAAACAGTGGACAGAAAGGCTCTGTGGTCACAGTCGTAACTCAGAGTTTCATGTACAACCATGAAATCATCAGACAACAGTCATGACTCGATGATAAGCGGCAAAGGTGGGTATGCCGGTATTTGTGTGAGGACTGGGTGCGGATCGTGCCAAGAATCGTGAGTCATGTTAGTATGCCATGGGTGTCACAGTATCGCAGCAATGATGGCTATACAGGGGCTGCATGTGGATAGGTGATACTTCGAAGTAATAATAATAATACTATTCGCGGGATCCGCGTCGGCATTATTATTATTATTAAATTTTTGATAGGGGCATCGCTTGAATGATAGGTGATACCAAGAGTAAATAATAGCTCCCAAATAGTGTGCAACTCACATCAGTCCTGTGGGACTGCCCTATTCAAAATTTAATAATAATAATAATTCAGACTTTTCCCGTTTGTGTCTTTCCCTCAAACTAGTCAAAAAATAATAATAATAATTATAACAATAATCATGTGTTCCAAATACAATGTTGTACTACGACGCCGGAAGGCTAGCGTGTCCGTAGTCCCAACATCTGCCATGATCATGCTGATGACTCGGATACGCTGAGTGGGTTTCTGTCACGAGCGCCTTTTTTCAACTCCACTGGTTGCCAAAAACGGGCTGGGAACGTACAACGGGAACACTGCACCACATGATGTAAGAGTTTGCCCTCGGCGGACCGGCCTAGCCCCCTAGAAAGGGTATCCAGAGTTGCACACTCGACATTTTCCATTTTATAACAATATCTAGCAGGGATTAGGTAGAGTACACTATCAAGTGGGGCAAGTTTCACTTGATAAGTAGTTCGGAAATGAGAATATGCAATGGGGCACCAGTGATGCCTTTCTGTGTACATTATGTGCATAGAACATAATAGTAGACTCCTGATATCGAACACCATTGTGCAGGAGAATTAGTTCTTTATAGCCGCAGTTCGTAATATCAGAAATGCACTCACACTATACAAGCAGCAAGTCCCGAGTCGGATAGACTGATATCGATATGTGGCCCATGACAGCATGCGTGCACTTGGTGTACATGCAGCCCTACAATATTTGGTTCGTTATAAACGACACCTGTTCGCTATAAGTATAAAGGGTCAATTTTGTATGGGTTGGACATCGACAAGGGTTCGCTCTATGCGAGTTCGTTACAAGTGGAGTCGACTGTACATGTACGTACGTTTTTGATGCTGTGAAGAGTGTAAAAATGAACAAAAATCACGTATCATGAGATACATGCACGAAATGAACCAGGCAGTAGCCCATAATGATATTTCTTGGTCTGACGGAAATATTGTTATAAAGGCCGATTCACAATACAACTTTCTGCGTCGCGACAAGAAACGGCCTGTCGCAGAAGTTGAAGAGAGTTCAACTTTTCTGATATGCGACATACATAAATGGAGCACAGTTTCTACTGTGGGCGCACGTGCACAGTACTACTACAATGTAGACTACTGTAAAAGCCATTATTCTAACGAGGCGCATAAATAACGATTTCCCCAAAATTGACTAGTTTACGTGTACCAAAGGTAACGATTCTCACTCATTCTCAACGCTCAATAGGACAGTACATGTATCGATTTCTGCATAACGATTTCTATTTTAACGACAGATTTCTCCTCGTTAACTCGTTAGAGTTAGCACTTCGTTATAATATTATTATTATGGCTTTTACAGTAAACAGTAGTGCGTAAAGGCCGATTCATAATACAACTTTCTGCGATGCGACACGCGATTTGCGACAAGAAACTGCCTGTCGCCTGCAGTCGCAAAAGCTAAAGAAAGTTCAACTTTTGCGACATGCGACGCGCGACATACACAAATGGAGTACAGTTTCTACCCTGGGTGCACGTGCATGGTACTACTTGTGCATAAGGATGTCGCAAACGCGAAAAAGATTGTGAACTGTGTGTCGCTGTCGTGACTCGTCACAAGAAGTTGTATTGTGAATCGGCCTTCAGGATGTCGCAAACATGAAAAAGATTATGAGCCGTTTGTCGCTGTCGCAAAGATTTGTATTGTGAATTGGTAAGTAAACTGTAATAGGATTTTGAAAATTTATCCAATTTGGTCTCCGCTACAGATCTTCCTTGTGATTGTGGGGCAGTGGTAGGTTAAAATTCTGTCAGAACAGTAGGGTAGGCGGGAGTTGCACACCCCGGTCCATAACAGTAGTCGCGAGCACAAGAACGTTGTTCCGAAGGGGTTAGCCTGGGATGTTCGTATTTTCAGATATCTGGCTGTGGTACGTTCTCAGGCTGTGTTTACATGAGAATTTTCAACCCGGGTTGAAAGTCTGTACGATAGACAAAATAGGTGAGCGTTTATATGAAGACAGTTGACCCAGGTCAAATACTGATATGCCGCCAAAAGTCCACTTCTAGAGTCCTATTTGGTCACGTACTTTCGCGCAAAATTTGCATGCGCAGTGCTATTCAAACCTGCCGCGAGATACGCACCGAAGTACGATTTTCTCAACCCAGGTCAAACGCAATGCGTCATGTAAACGCGCCATTCATTTTGTGTACATGGCGGGTTGAAATCTGACCCGGGTCGAACTCAACCCAGGTTGAAACGCCTCAAGTAAACACAGCCTCGGAAAAAATCCATACTGGCTGACATTCTTGGGCTCCGTGTTCTTCAGCGCGCGACTACTGTAGTATGTGATAGTGTGTATAAACAATCCAGTACAAACTGCGGTCTACTTCTTCAAAGTAATAATTAAACAGCTTTCCCTTAGGGGCCGTCGGGGGTTACCAATGGTTTTTGCACAATGAAAAGTTGTAGTATTTTTCAGCACCCACCCACCTTTATGCAGGTAAAACGAATTCCAAAAAAATATTGATATCAATGTTCGACACCCAGAAGTAACTGGGCATTCTCCGTCTGCATTCAATAATTATTTTTAGGGCTGAAACGGTCGTGGATTTTCACCTATCGATTACTCTTTAGCTTAACGATCGAGTAATCGATTATAATCTTTAGCAAATAGCGTCAGAATTTTGTGCAAAAATTATCCTGTTTCCAAAAGCTAGGCCTTCATAATACCAAAAATCTGCATTAGTGACAGGGTAGCTCCAAACCATGACAGTTTTGAAGTCAATTTAACCTCAGAATATGCACCATGCCCCTGGCAACTGCATACACACAGCGTAAACTGATTCAAACTTCACAAAACGAGGGTTTTCAGTACTTTTTGGACTCAAAATTCCCAACGAGTAATCTATAACGTAACGATTACTTGATTGATAAGGAATTATCGATCGCTTACCGAGTAATTGGTATAATCGTTTCAGCCCTAATTATTTTCAAAACGAAACTCCTTCAAACCCACGCACAACGAAAACTTTCGTTTTGAAAATAGTATTGGTAACCTTGGACGGCCCCTTACAGGCGATTCAGACTACAGCCAATTGTAACCACGTGTCTACAACTCAGATAGATTTTAACAGGGATAGTGCATAACCATGGAAATTTCACACGTGATTTTGGCTGTAGTCTGAATCACCTATAAACAATGGTTTTACCCGTGTATGTGTGTGTATAACACCAGCCAGATTGCTCAAAGCAAGAAACAGTAACCAAACTAAACATATGGTCCCACTATAGCATGCATGGCCATCATTCACACAACCACACCAGCCAGTATGAGATCAAGAAAGTCTTTCGGAGCATGAATGCCCATAGTTATTGTATTTAGTGTCCGTACAGAGCAAGTTGTTGGTTGAGAGGTGCAAGCTTGGTTGCTTCGCGCTTCTCTGCTGCGGCCTTCCTTCTCTGCAGGTCACAACAAGAAGAAGGTGATAAAGGTCAGCATTATGCAAGAGAACATACAAAGAGGTCGGAAGTCGAATGCCAAAAAAAGATATCAAGATGAAATGCATGAACAGGGAAAGGATGCACTAAACAAATCATAGCCTACTGATGAACAGATCGCCCACCATACTAGGCTCACTCTAAACCTGTGCCAAAAGCAGCCACATACATCTACACCTAGGCCGAAACTAGCCACTTGGTCACTGAAAAAGCAGTCTCTACATGGGTGCGCCACGATAGCCACTTCATCTTGTCACACAATCCAAGTCCGGTCTCTTGGCTACATTCCTTCCAAAAATTAATAATAATAGTTACATCCAAACTTTCTTCCGTAACACCACAAAAAATGACTTACCAGGATCTTCTTTTTGTTCTCGTAGTAGACGAGAGCCTTGGCCTTGCGCTTCTCCTCCAGGGTGGACACAACATCCTTAAAAAAAGAAACACAAAGATTATGGAATTAGTTTTGAATGAAGCTAGATATGGTATACAACTTCCCACCAAAAGAGACACAGCATTCAGACTGGAAAAATGCAAATTGAAGTGAAGACAGAACACTGTTGGAAGGCAGTAACCAAACTTGAGAAAATTGGGATGGAACTAAATTAAAACATAAAAAGATAAATGGCAGTGAGTATCCTCACCTGGTACTTCCAGCCAACTTCATGGGCGATGCGTCCAAGACGGCAAAACTTGCGGCCAGGGCGAAGGCGGATGACTCGGAGAGCTGAAGGGATCACCATCTTCTTCATCTGGAGATATTAGGCAATAGAAAGCATGTGTATTCACCAGTAAAGGAAGAGGACTGATACCATTGGTGAATGAAGATAGAATATACGACTTTGAACAACAAGACATTGCATTCACGGGTGTGACCACAACACACATCCGATGGGCGGTATTGCAGTTACCAAAAGCATTGTCATCATTCAAAGTTAGAGGGTACATGTACTGCAAGGAGATGAATGCAAACCAAAGCCGGGCACATGGCCTTGCTCACACCGACAAACATACCTGGTCATATGGTGGAGGGACACCCTCGAACACCTTCAGGCGCTTCATGGCCGCAGCACCACGTACTGATTTGTGGGGGATCATACCTAGAGAGAAAGGCAATCACAATGCACGAGTAGTTAACTACATGACATGATAAATATGCTACTCAGTTTCCAGCTATCAAGTTGGTAAGGTATCAAGGAAACAAGTTGACAAGAAAAAGACAAGAAAGATGAAAGAGGAATCGATGGACGAGAAGTCACTCTACTGTAGCACCATGAAAGCCGGAACAAAATGCACGCACACTTGCTTCACTTACCACGCACAACACGCACAAGCATTTTGCTTGGGGCACGGAAATGGAACGGACCACGGGATGGCTTGACATTGCAACGGAGGCGGAGGTACTTGAGGTACTTCACTGCAAGTTAATATGGTGAAATAACAAGCATGGGAATTACGAAACTGTCCCAAATGCAGGGGGTTCTATTCCGTCACATATGTAATCCCCATTCTGTCATAGCACTAGAGCACTAGAACACATGAATTGTCAGTTGTAAATACACCCCTATCACATACACTCTACCATAGGCTTCTACAATGTAGTATATTTCAAGTACTGTATTCCAATTATAAAGTATGGCCACACAGATAAATCGAAGCATGCTTTAATCAAGAGCAACTCCACAGTCACTGATATGGTTGACTTTCACTTTGTGAAGATCATCAACTACGTGTTTCCATAGTACACGCCCATATCTAGAGATCAGTTTTCGTACGAAGATGAGATTAAAAAAATTGATATTTTGTTGACAAAAAAGTCAGGAATATTCACGATCAATACACATGGCATTGAATTACGATACTCATATTACTCAGAAAACTGTTGAATTATTCCTAACGCAGCCAATTTACATTACTTCACCATGTTCTTTACTGGAAATACCGGTAACTGATTTGAGCTGATAATCGCCCTCGAATGACACTTGGTGAAAGTAAAGTTAGTTACTAGTATTCTCATTCAAGATATCGTGGGAGATAGAGAGAAGTTGAGAACGGTCAAAGGCTCTAGCTTGCCTTACAAACAGAACGAAGAACTACTCCGTGTCCTTCATGTACATGTGTGCAGCCCCTGACTACCAATGATAGCACTGTTTCAATACCCTTCGATCGTAAACTTTGGTACTAAATAAAAAAAATGACTTACGCTTGTTGCGGTAGAAGCTACCGGAGATGTTGATCTCCTCGCATCGCACAACAACCACCCGTTGACCTGTCCACACCACAGCAGCCAACAGTCAAACGGTTACTTTATTCGTTCTCAGGAACACTGTCTCCACACTACATACATACCAGAGAGCAGGGCCTTGGCAATGGTGGATGCCAATCGGCCGAGCAAATGGTTGCGCCCGTCGATAAGGATTAGCTGGGGCGAACAAATCCACACAAGCGTTGTCCTAAGTTTAGTATTCACCCATTACTCTCTCTCTAGTTGTCCAAAAACACATCTATCAGCTACTTTGGAGCCTTACCCGCTCGAACACCATGTTGGCTATCCTATTGTGTCCTGGTCACAGAAGAAAGAGGATTTTGTGAAAGATAGACGCCATTTTTGTGTCCCTCGGCGCATGCGTAATAGCCCAGCCAATGGCGTAGGTCGCTCTCTTCTCTTGATCATCAGCTGGCGGACGGTGGTGGTCCTTCTTCAGCGTAAGTTTTTCGTCGGTTCCACTTGCCTTGGACGGCTGCTGATATTCCTGTCTGGCTCTACACAGGCCAAGATGACGAACACAAAGGGTCTTCGCCGAGGTACTCGGTATATGTTCTCGAGGAAGTTCCGTACTCATGGTAAGTATTGTTGTGTCATTCGACCTAATTGTTTTGCTCGTGAACATCAACGTTGAAGGTGATCGGTGCTGTCTGCTCCAGGACAACTGCCTCTTTCCACATACCTGAAGGTATACAAAGTCGGAGACATCGTCGACATCAAGGTAAATTTGGCAATTTCCTAACTGTGCTTGTTTGCTGAGAGGACATTTGCAAATATGTTGTATTCTGAATTGTATTTTGTATAATTATTCAGGGTGATGGTGCAGTCCAGAAAGGTATGCCCCACAAGGCCTACCATGGCAAGACCGGCCGTATCTTCAATGTAACGAGACGTGCCGTCGGTGTTATTGTCAACAAGCGTGTGAAGTGAGTGTTGAGCAATACTCGTTCTCATGTTCTGAATTTATGTCAATAATTGTTATTCAAACAAACATTGTTACTTTAGCTAAAAATTTAGTGAACTTGGCTAAACGGGCTTCAATAATTTGCGCGTCTCTGCCTTACTTGTATCCACCACCCTATGATACACGTTCCTGCACCTACAACATAAGTGTTGTTACCTAATGATTCTCACAAGATAAAATCCAGGTGTCCTGCGGAATAAGTAAGGCGCCATGTGCAAGTACAGTGCTGCTGGATGAATTGCGATGGAGCAAGTAAATGCCTGACGCAGCGCACCCCTAGCCGTGCAATCACAGGGATGTGAACAGGCGGAATGCCCACACTTCTCCCACAATCATTGGGTAGCACTGTGCGTAAACAAAACACGACACCTCACGGCATGTTTATAGTAGGTTTGTGTTGAGGTTTACGAATTCGCACCCTGAACCATGATTCCAATTTGTACCCTGTTGTGCGATCACACTCAAACAATCTCTGCATTGAGCACTTACACTGAAGCCATGCAAGGTCCCCTTTAGTATTTTGTTTAGCTTGTGTAAATAATTCTATGCCCGAGCCATAAACAATGGCGTTCATATCTACATTTTGAAGATGATATTATTTCATGGGAAGTTTCAGCTTCCTTGATTGAACAGTATCTGAGCAGTTGGTCGGTACGGTGTGAAACTGCTGTCCATTGAATGGGCCCAGTAGTTCGAACGTATCATCAAAACTTTCGATTGTGGATTGATTTGGAATTTGGCCCCGACTTCATTGAATTTGTTGCATCATCTGTACGCAGAGTGCCCACTTTCTGTGCCATTGTTAATCTACTACCAACGTAGAAAGGTGTGACAGGACATCCCGAGAGTTGTGCAGTGCTCTTGTTGTTTTAAACCCATGCTTTGTACTAGCTTACTTGAAGTAGTTCTGTCCGAATAACTGGGTTTGTCTTATTTTTTGGCATGCAGGGGACGCATTCTTCCTAAGAAGATCAACATCAGGATTGAGCACATCCATCAATCTCGTTGCCGTGAGGACTTCCTCAAGTAAGTAATGGTCACCAGAGTCTGTAGCATGTGATTTGAATCGTGTGCCAGCAATTTCTATCTTACACATCATGTTTTGTCGTCATGCATGCTTACATTGTTGGAGCTGCCTGCAACAAGTTGCAAGCTTTTTTGTGAAGTCTGGAGCAAACCTCAGCATCCCTCGATCCTGGTTTCGGTGGTCTTCTTGGACAGGTGATCACCTTGACAGGTTTTACTGTATATGTGCCCATGCCACAATTGAATTTGAACTGGGTCTTGTACCTATGAGAGTCATAGAACAATAAACAGTGATTACATTCATCCCTGTATACTGCATGTAATATCTCTTTATGAGCGTTTCTATTCTCTATTCATTCCGCTGATTGTACAGTTGTGGCAAGTGAAATCCAACACTTGGCATAAGGGACTGCACCATGCAGTCTGCAGCCCCTGCATACAGTCAGACCTCGCTTATCCGGTCCTCTTTTATCCGGATCCCTCGCCATCCGGAAGAAAATCGTTGGTTACCGATTTACAGCATATGCCATGCATACATACAGTATGTGTGTTCGATTATCCGGTTCCCTCGCCTATCCGGATATTTTTGTGGAAAACGGATGTGTGCGGTTAAGCGAGGTCTGACTGTACGTACAGTACATGTGTTACATACAACTACCTTATCTGTCTGATAACAAAACTCGTACTCATCGCAGTCAAGGTTCAAAAGGTGCTGGCAAAAATGAATGGGGATTGGATACCAATACTCCTTATGTGTACGATATTTGTGAACTGTGTGTATCTACGCTGTGACCTTTCGATCAGTTTGGGATGCATACGGCTCTATAGTACAAATAGATGATATGCCAAATAACGTGCAACTAGACTTGAGAGGGCATTGCAGAGTAGTTGCATACAAAGTTCAAAGTTGTACGGTTACCTGTGACTTGCATTCCTGCAGAGCTCAGGGCCTGCCATGTACACATTGTAGTATAATTTGTATGCAACTTGTGTGCGATGCCCTCTCAAGTCTAGTTGCACGTTATTTGCAGTGCATTACATCACTGATGTCCCCTATGGCAAGTGTCGGATTTCACTTGCCACAACTGTAGTTGTCTCAATAGTGACTTCAAGTGACAATGATATGTAATGGTCTCTCTGGTGTGTCCTTTGTCTTGCTCTTCCTTCACTTTCGCAGCCGAGTGAAGGCCAACGATGAACTTAAGCGTGCTGCTAAGGTATCAGGAGAGAAGGTCAACACCAAGAGACTGGTAAGTTGTCTGTGTTTTTCGGAAGCGTTTTTCACCCGTAGCCGATAAGTCCGCCCATCACCGCTCTGCTGTAATATTTTTTCATGTATGTGTCATGTTGTACAACTCCTCTCATTCCACCTCTTGTGGAGCAGGCATCTAGTTTGTATGTCCCCAATTTTGTACTGTATATTGACCACTTATTGTATGATATGCTAAGTATTTGTTTTCTCTGTGTGCCTGTGGTTGTACAGCCTGTTGCCCCAAGGACTGAGCGTTTCGTCAGCACCTACAACAACCAGCCCACCGTCGTGGAACAGATCCCATACGAGTTCATCGCATAATTTTCAATAAAATCCTTGGCGCCTAAAATTTACCTGTGGTCTGGAAGTCTTGTTTTGGGGGGAGTATGCTTCCTGTGGATTCCTCCTGAGGCTTAACAGTTACCTCCGTGCAGGCGGGCTTGTGTCAAGGTCGGGTTTCAATTTATTAAAACCTGACCTTGAGGAAGTCAATTATACGTGCTGGGTTTCTTGAACATCAATCTCTGCACTTCACCGAAGGTTCTTTGCTATGTGTCACAAGTCAACATGCAACATGTACTGATGCATGGTGAATCCACATCTGGTCAACTGCATGCTTCTGGTAGAATTGTTTTATGACATTGTTATTATAATTTGGGGTTTGTACTCAATCTTTAATAGTTTGCATGCATACAAAAACTGTGAGGCTTCATAAATTCTGACTGGGAAATTTTTCGTTTGTCCGTAAATTTCAAAAAAATTATGACCAAAATAATAACTGCCACGGGGGGTGCCTATACGCCTAGGGCCCCTGGCCTGGGAGCATTATTTGTAGGTCACCCAGTATCATTATGTATGCATTTCCCAAAACTGATCCGTGGCCGTGGGTTGGATTTCTTTGGGAACGACTGTACATGTACCGTAAAATCCCGCCAGAGCGCCCCTACCTCCTCGGCGCTTCAGGTGGGGAGAGGCGGATGGGCGAGTCCTACTTGCCACATTCAGTACTCTCCCCACAAAAACTGTTCGTGCATCTCATACACCGACCAAAGGTCAAGAGCCAGGAGTAGTACAGACCCGTCAAAACTCAGGGTTTGTGCGATCCCTGGTCAAGTGGGTGGGCACTGTTGCGTACATTTCCAAAGGGGTCGGGCAAGCGTCTGCAGCCCGAGTTCAGTACAATACGTCATCACAGAGTTCTACGAGGATACAATGAATCACTTCCCTGACAAGAAGTCAGGGACGGGCGGATGGGAGAGACGGGGTGCTCTGACGGGATTTTACGGTACATGTATTTTCTGATCTCGGGGTGAAATACATGTACCGGAAGTTTTTGTTTTGATATTACATTGTACATAGCACGTAGTAATCGTTCCTCATGAATCATGGAAAACCCGCCATACGGTATACAGTGGTCCATTTATAATCAGGAACTATCGGTAAAAAATACAAGAATATTCCGCGGAAGCCTTGTACTGAGTTGAGAAATACGGGCACCTTTCAGCAGTCACGTGCAAGTAAAAACATCGCAACGTCCGATCTTAACACAGGTCACCTTAGCCTGCAGTCAAACTGAAACGTCTCTCCAGTATTGGTCATAACTTTAAAATACACAACTCCACACACTGGCAGACTCCAAAGTTTTGACTTCAGACACACACACACATGTAAGTACAGTTCTCACGTGGGCTAATATACTGCTGGTCAGTGTGGGTCATGGTAATAATCACAGGCCTATGTGCCTGCTGGCAATACGTAAACAGTGCAGAAAGCTAAACTCTCACCGTAAAGCAGTAATCTGGTAATCCAGCCGTACTAATCCTAGATGGCACAATCTCGTCATCGCATACAGTCTCTTGAAAACCTAAACTTGAAAAAAAAAACTAATTTGAACTTTGAAGTAAAAAGAAAAAAAGGTCAAGCATGGCGGCTGTGCACACGAGAAGCCCAGTACAGTACTCTGTATAAACTAAGTCCTGTGATTTGCTTGTTGAAAGTCGAGTAATAGAAGATGTGTGTGGAACATGCCTGCTACAGTACTACATGGTGATGTTCCTGCACTTTGTGAGGTGCGCTATCTCTACAATATAGAATAATGTGCATACTGTGTGCTCTGTGACATCGTGCTGACCGGGAGGCGGCGCAGACTTGCACTCTGCAATTTCTGGGCGGCCTAAATGTCATAGGAGGGTGCTGCATGCACCAGATTGACTTCACGGTGAACGTGCACTCCTATGGTATGTGACAGGAGCACACCTAGGGTAGGGGCATAGGTGCGCAGGATTCCGCACAACAGTGGTCATAGGAAACAAGAGAACAACGGATATAAACATGCGTAGCACCTGGCACGCAACAAACTAGTAGAATGCAGGTGTGCTTTGCAAGCCCTAGTCTATCCAACACTATACAACAACAACAACAACAACAACAACAACAACAACAACAACAACAACAACAACAACAACAACAACAACAACAACAACAACAACAACAACAACAACAACAACAACAACAACAACAACAACAACAACAACAACAACAACAACAACAACAACAACAACAACAACAACAACAACAACAACAACAACAACAACAACAAAACAACAACAACAAAACAACTACAACAATAAAACAACAACAACAATAAAACAACAACAACAATAAAACAACAACAACAAACGGCCAGCAGGATGAAAGCAGACAACACATTTAGACACGTACAGTCCGGTTGGCTGCTGGAATAAACAATCTGCTGCAGTCCGCTCAGTCGGTGCGGGCATAGTGAGCGTTTCAAACCGGTTCGAGCATTTACCGTCATAGCCGCTACCGGACATTGTTGAAATCAGGGCCAGCTGCGGTCACACTGTTGCCGTCCACGACATGGGTAGATGGTGTTACAGTGGTGACCATGGGAACAGTGTCCATGGCAGCAAGCAGGCTAGAACTTAGACTTCTTTCCTTTGCCTCCCTTCTCCTTCCTGTGCACGGGCCAAGCAGCCATCAAAACGAGAAAAAGACTCATTGAATTCACCATCAACGGCACTTCTAGGCATGGCACAGTGACAGTGGCAGCCATGGACATATCAACTACTAGTACTAGTACTAGTAGTCCAACTCATCGTGTGCTGCTTGGACCATGCACTTATAATTTACAAACAGCCAACCATGCTCCAGTTGCATACAACGGAAAGCAGACTGATGGATGTGGACAGTTAGCCTCACTCATTACGCAAGTCACTCTCGGTTATCTTCCTCATGATGTAGATCTCATCAGTCACACACAACACTGTCATTGGACTGGCAATGTAGCATGCTGTACAGTGTACATGCTGTACAGTGTACATGCTGTACAGTGTACATGCTGTACAGGGGTCAGTGTACATGCTGTACAGTGTACATGCTGATTATCAGCACTGCTAGATTACCTGATGGGTAAGTAGTTCTTCAAGAACACTACCTACGTTAATAGTATGTCCATGCCAAGCGTCACACATGGCAATGTTATCGTAGTAATCTGCGCTGCCACGAACATCGAAAGTCAATGAGGACTGTATGATCAAGCGCGTACGCAGGGGGGGGGGGGGGTTCCCGTTGCCCGGAAACCCCCCAAATGTTCCAAACGAGCAACGTTTTTTGGGCTTTTTGGTAGGGCGCACGATCGATCTGGCAAGAATGCGAAACTTCAACAGATCGTAACTCAGTCAAATCTCGTTCTTATCCAACGATCCAAATATCCAGGTCGAATAGAAAACTCTCAGCTGTCGGTTGAAACAATTTGCGACGCGCTGCGAGCTATGTCTCTTGAGATAAATCATTTGTAAGTTAAGCCGCGATCTTGGCAATTTCAAAATCGAGCAGGGCGACTTGAGTATCGAGAATTTGAGACTTTTCGTCACCCTGACTTACTCAAATTTCCAGGGGCTTCACTGCACTTGTGATATTTTCAAGAGTACACAGCAAAAAATCAAAAGTCTGCGATCAAGAAAAACGAAATCGCTGGAGCAGGACGCGTTTGGGCCTTTGGGGCATTTTTCGCATCGTCGCTGCACTCCACCGCTATCGCTGGATATGTACATGACTGTACTGTGTCCTGGCTATCATGGTCGACCTCATTCTCTCCCAGGTACCTTTCCACTTCCAGGAAGCCCAAGATAATGAAGATTGAGAGAGTAGAACCGAAGTTATGATCAAAAGAACACGAAAAAATGTATAATTTTCAAAATTTCCTAGGGCTCTTTACAAAGGGTTAAAACTCATTGTTTAGGATTCAGTTGGAACCCCCCTGGAGGTGACCCTGCGTACGCGCCTGATGATTGTGCATGTACAGTTCTGTCACTCAAGTACGCGCTGGGCATTGCGCAGACCTAGACCGGCTGCAAACTCTGGGCTGTGGAATGGTGCCAGCAGCAAACTTGACTCACACAATCGGGTTGAGCAGTAGTGTACATTGCAGCACCAGAAACAGGAACTGCGCTAGCAGTTCAAATCACCGTTCCTATCTCTCTCCACCTTACCCCTTTGCAAGGTTCCTCTGTGCTTCGTCCAGCTCGTATTTTCGCTGCTGTGCTTCGAATTCAGCCCGGTCGGCTTCTAGCTGCTCCTGTCGTTCATCCAGCTCTTGCTCCTCCTTCTGCAGCTTGGTTCCCATGGCTTCTTTTCGGCGCTCCAACTAATACACACCATGAGCACAGGCCAACAAACACAAGAGTACATGTACGAGTGCACACACACATGTGAGGGCAAGCACAAACACAAGTAAACGTTACCCTGCAGTGCACCCCCCCCCCCCCCCACCCTGTCATGCCATGAACACTTTACATTTAATGCACTTGCCCCTCCCCTCCCCCTCCCGACCCTGTTTCCCAGGCTAATATGTTTGTCTATGCAACGGGCAGGGATCACGCGTCATGTGTTGCATGGGTCATAAATACTCATAATGCAAGAGTGGGTGAGACACTTACATCTGCCTCCATGTCCTTCAGCTTGTGCTTCTTCTCGTTGACCTTCATCTCAAACACTGTCTCCATTTCGCTCTGCATCATCTTCATCTTCTTAGTGTGCTCTTTCTTCTCCTCTTCTAGCTGAGATAATGGATTCCTACACACATGCACACGCACCCATACACACGCACACACGTACACGCACACATGTACACACACACACACACACACACACACACATGCACGCACACACAACACACACACACACACACACACACACACACACACACACACACACACGTACCCACACACACACATAGCACACATGCACACACAGCACACATGCAAGCATGCACACAATGCCACCACAAAACAATCAGGGACCTGTGGTGTCAGCGCTTTCAAGCTATTCACTCATCATGCTGCTCTCTACCGCCTGTCTGTGTGGTTGAGCGTACATTCTGCAAACTCTGTGTGCGTGCGTGCATGCATGCGTGTGTGTGTGTGTGTGTGTGTGTGTGTGTGTGTGTGTGTATGTGTGCATGTACGCGTGTGTGTGCACGCAAGTGTGCATAATATCTTACTGCTCTCCAGCAACACCCTTGCTGGACGTGGATGCTGTCGATGCCAGCTTTGAGTATCTGTAGGTCTCGTAGTGCTTGCGATGCGTCACCTCCTTCAGGTCCTGCATGTGCGTTCTGCACACAGAGAATATAGGTAGGTAAGGTGAAGGAAGTCAATAGACAGACAGACAGACAGACAGACAGACAGACAGACAGACAGACAGACAGACAGACAGACAGACAGACAGACAGACAGACAGACAGACATATAGAGCAGCAGACACCGTGGCAGACAGCTCATGATAGTCACAAAGCCAGGAAAGCAGAGTAAACCGTTTAATCTGTTAGCTACTGTGGACAGAGAAAAATAGAAGCATTTCTTTGGCCGTGAAAGCATGTCAACGGACCGTGGGTCACCCCTTACCTTATGATCATGGCACGGAGGGCACTGAAGTCGCAATGCTCTAGGTTCTCCACTGCACAGCAGCACCACCGCGTCAGACAAGTGCACACACAATGCACACACACAAGCACACACCACACACACACACACACACACACACACACACACACACACACACACACGCACGCACACACATACACATACACAAACATCATGCACACACACACACACACATCATGCACACACAAGCGATCCTGTTAATTAGGCATGTTAAAAACAAACATTCCCGGGGATCGAATTCTGTGGGGCAACACGCTTGGCCCATAAAGTACATGTACTACATGTAGTATAATCTTGGAGGCACACTGCCCACCATTGCTCATGCTCATGCCATGGTTACACCTTCAGACCGTTCCTTGATGTGTTTAAAATACTATACAGTACACCCTAGCAGTGTTTAACCGATTCCATGCACTCAATCCAGAAAGCTGGATATTCAGTTTTAGAGCAGCAACACACATTCATACACATGCACACACGCACAACTACCACCCCCCCCCCCCCACACACACGCACGCACACAGGCACACCCACACGTAAGCCCACGTGCACACCCACACATGCACGTGTACACACACACACACACACACACACACACACACACACACACACACACACACACACACACACACACACACACACACACACACACACACACACACACACACACACACACACACACACACACACACACACACACACACATGCACACTGTGATACATTATAACTGTTATACACACTGCAGGGGCGGGGTATCATTTAGCAATCAGACAACATTCTTTGTAGATCAGCCTCACCCTCAGCAACACCCCACGGGTATTTTCGTCCGCGGACTTTCCTGGACTCGACGGACAACAGGGAGCTACTACCGACAATTGCAAACGGCAGTCGATCCTGTAACGAGCAGAAAAGCACACAGTAACGAGAGCTTGTACAGACGCCCGCACTGCTGAAGCATAGGACAGATTTTCAACTTGCTAGACGGATCATGTGTTGGTGAAGTAGTGGTAACTTATTAAACGTGACCGCGTTGGACTCTTTCTCATGATACACTTCTTGACCATGCTGGTCAGACAACCATGACCTGTTAGTTCACGTAGTGATTATCATCAGTAGCTAGAGGTCGCAAGATCAACCGCTAGCTGTCACCCATCCTAACGACCAGCGGTTGATTCTTAGCCATGGTGCATGGCTGCTATTATCAGTACGAGATGCCCGCACTAGCTGCAGCAGCGTACGGGACAGGCTTTCAACTTGTTATATGTACTTGTTAGGTGGACGCTGGTAAATAGCATCACGCTGCACAGCCAAGTAATTCTTCTCTCTTTCTACCATCCAATGGCTTCAAACACGGAGACGATGGATAATTGCAAGTACAAGCTTGTTGTAAACAGTTCCATCCAGTACCATCCAGTACCACCCAGTACCTTCATTTGCTGATTGAACTGCGCCTCTTCTTCATCATCTCCAAAGTCGGGAAAGTCATGCACTTGAATATCATTTGCATGAATGTCATCCATCACCTGCACAATACAAACATAAATCACGGTACATGTACATATGGGTTTTGTACAGAGTCGGATCCGGTGCACTTCAGCTAACATGAAAAGTCCGGCAAAGTACCTCCCTGCGGCTTACACCCGAACATCAATTCCACACGAACAAATACTGGAATGTGTCGTTTCACTTTCATGGGGTGCGGCTTATGTCCCGGCACAGCTCTGACCCAGCAAATTGTGGCACATACACACGCATGAGTAGTATGGTGGACAGGTCGAGTCGGACAACCTGTCTTCAACATGATTTATACGTGCATCGATTCTGTTGCAAGTGAAAACTTCTAGGCGGAGCGGGGTTTGACAATACGTAGATGTATGTACATTTATGTACCTTCTTCTTGAAGTCCTCGCACTCTTCTGGTGTCATTGTGTCGGCCTTGGCAATGACGGGCACGATGTTGACCTAGATGAAGAAAGCAATCACCCCCAGCGGAAAACACTGACAGAGTTTAAAGTTGACCTTAGTACACTAGTATGCGTGCAGCGGCAAGAGCATTGCTGGCAAGCAGGCATGTACTACCACGCAACTTGTCATGTTGTCACCAAAGCACCCAGCTAGAACCGGAGCAGAGAGGAGGGGGAGGGACGGGGGGGGGGGGGGGGGGTATCACTGGGGCATGTGGGCAAACATGCACAGTGATGCCGATGCCAGTGCTGTTCGGCATGGGGTGGTGTAAGATGGAATACCACATTTCAGTGAACACTGAAAACCCATCTAGTACGTACCCATGAGTCATAATGTGTACACTAGCTTTACATTGTAATGTATACACTAGCACTTTACATGGTTTGGAGCACAGGTGTATTGCTACACATCAAACAGTGATCGGATAAGAAGAAGTACCGCACGGATACTAAGTGCACTTTTATGTCCCCATGCCATGGAGTACGTCTGATTTAGAATTGCAGTGTACAGTACGTGCCTCCTATAAGGTTGGCGGCTATAGGAATATAGCGGCTATAGTGATCAACTTCTCAAATTCATTTTCATTTGCCATAAGAGGAGAGTTGTCCTGGGTCGGCCCAGTCGACCGCGCAGGCTCGCGGTGGCTGAAAACTCTAACACGCGCTGTGGGGGAGAGCTCTTCTGCATTCTCAGTACGTGACCAAGGAACTCCCAACGCCATTGGTCAATCTGGAGCGAAATTGGTGCTGAGCCACAGATGTCGTACAGATGCTTGTTGGTAATTGTGTTCGGGAACTTAACGCCAGCCATTGTTCTCAGATGCCTTCGATGAAAGGTGTCAATCCCTCTGGTGGAGGCATCTGTGAGACCCCATGTCGCACAGTTGTACAACAGCACTGGCTTCACATAGGTATTGTACAGCGCAACTCTAAGCAGTAGTGAGGTAGATTGATGCTTGAAGAGTGCGTACAACGAACAGAATGCCTGGGTTGCTAGGGCCTTTCTGGCCTGGACATCTTGCGCTGAGCCTAACCGTGATCCCAGCGACTTCGCACTTTTTTCTCCATGCTTCGGAACCACGCTCCTCCAGATCATCAGCCAGGTGTATCTTTGTTCGTTCAGTTTTGGAGGTATTAACGGTGAGGTTATGGCTTGGGAGGGTCTCTGCACATTGATCATGAACGTCCTCTAGCTCTTGCTCATCAGTTCCAATGAAGTCTAGATCATCCGCATACTGCAGTTCAGGTGGTAGGATGTCGTCAGGAGGGGAGTCAGATCTGATACCTCGCAGTGCACTCTCAAAGTAGCATGTAAACAGAATCGGACTAAGACTGTCACCCTGTGGTGTGCCAACGTTCGACCTAGAAGGGGGCGCTGTTTTTCCCTGCACACGTACATACCTGAAGGGTGGTATCTGACAGCAGAGTGTGGACTAAGGGTAGCACATCCGGCGTGGTAGGAGCAACGCTGACAATCGTGCTAAGGAGATCTGAGCGGTGTGGCGTGTCGAAGGCCTTCGAGAGATCTATGCCGAGCCTGTATAGAGACCATCGCTTCGTCTCAGCAATGCTGCTGAGGATCCGTAGAGTGAACACCACATCAGTTGTGGCCCGGCCCCGTCGGTACGCGCTCTGGGATGAAGGGAGGTAGTCCTCAACCTCTGAGGAGATCCTTGCCAGAGTGATGGTCGAGAGAATTTTGCGCACACCATTGAGTAGGACTATGGGGCGTAGACTTGTGCAGGGTCCTCTTGGCTTTCCTGGCTTCTGCAAGGGTATAAGCAGCCCCGATCCGATGGCAGGATCTGGTGTTGATGACTCTAGTGAACTCTGGAGGATCTTGGTGACGGCAGATGATAGGCTTGGGGGCACACCATACTTCAGTAGCTCATTGTGGACACCATCAGGGCCTGGAGAACGCCTATTCTTCAGCCTGCTCATGGCTTTGCAGACCTCCGACTGTGTAACCTGTGTAACGACCACATCCGACCCTTGCTCGGAAGGGGTTCCGCACTGGAGTGAGAAAACTGTGTCTGAAAGTTGTGATCGCAGTTTCTAGCTTCTGTTTGTATTCATCTTGCAGTGCGTTGTTGCCTGGCAATTTGTCAACTAAGATCCTGGGGTTCTTCTTGCGTCGGACGAAGCTGGTTCTGCGGATCTGATGGAGATTGACCATGGTAGTAACCACCATCCTATGATCTGACGATAATTCACAACCTGCGTATGACCTACCGTTTCTGAGGCCGCCAACAAGGCGATTGGGGACAAGGATATAGTCGATTTGACTGTAGATTGGTTGAGGCACTGTATCACCCTGGCGCTTGAACGCTCCTGTCCACGTCGCAATATGGCGTGCTGGGTGTTGAAATACGGTGTTTGACAGCTTCATGTCCAATTCATCCGCGCACAACAGGAGTGATTCACCGTTGTCATTGCGTCTGCCCTTGGACCAGCTTCCCAAACAATTGAAGTTGTCAGCTGCCCTTCGGTGCCCAACCTTTGCATTGAAGTCACCGCCGACGAAAACGTCCGTACGGCGAGAAAAACTTCGAACGAGGGAGGTTAGCGACTCATATAAGTTGTGTCGGAGCTCAGGGTTACTCGATGACTTTGGCATTGTCGGAGCATACGCCGTAATAAACGCAAGCGGCGACTTATTTGACGAAGGGAACGAGAATAGGGCATACCCAATTCTGTCACTCACAGCTTTCCAGCACGACAAGAATGGCCGCAAAGTAGGGCCCACGGCCACGCCACTGTGACTCCGCCAAACCTGTTGCTTGTCGACATAGTGAGGAGTTGGTAGCCCAGTGGCAAGTCCCAGCAGCGTTGTTCCAGAATTTTAGTTTCCTGAACTGCGCAAACATCGACAGCACGAACCGAGAGCGAGCGAGCGAGTTGCTCCCGTCGATAAATTGAGGAGCAGCTACGGACATTCCACGAAGCCAGTCGGAACAATTTGTTAGTCATTTCCCCAGAAATGTAAGACAGAGATGGTAGGATGAGATAGGAAAGGAGAAAGGAGAAGGAGAGAGAAAAGAAAGGACATGGGCTTGTCAGCACTGCCTAGCCCGACTCGGCATTCGCCTGGGCACGCTTAGAGGCCTTAATCAGCTGCGGCAGTTGGCAGGGGATAAGTCACGGTGGAATGGCACCCCGCGGCACTCATCTTCCTCTGCCGAGCCGCGTCCTTGACTTATCCCCTGCAGGGTGAACATCGTGCACGATCAGTCTACCGTCTTTCTGACATTGCCACTCGAACTTGACAATAGAAGCTGCTTTTCGTATGTGCAGTTACATTGAGCCATGGTGTTTTTGTCTTATGTTTGTGAATCCTTCCCGGAAGCAAATGCTGGTTTTTATGCATTCGTGTAATTACTCAGCGTTATTCGCAATAATAATAATAATAATAATACCTAATTTTTTTATACCTAAGTATACACAGTTACCGCGTATAGTAATAATTGTTTACAGTAATATATCGCCTATAGTGATTAAATTCAATTTTCAAAAGACCTCTACTGCATTATTTTTGCATTGGCTAAAGTAATTGATGTGGAATCAAGTGGTGTCAGAGACCAATGTTATAGGCAATACTGACTGTACTTATCAACATAACTTAATATATGTACACAGTGATACACACACACGCACACACACACACGCACACACACACACGTACACACGCAGACACACACGCGCACACGCACCCCCCCCCCACACACACACACACCATGGCAACACCTTACCCGTGTGTGCAGCTGTCTCATGCACTCAATATCCAACGGCTTCAACCTGCAACAGAATGGAGACAGCCCAGCAACAGAATTCAATTTCATGAAAATTGCATGCTTCGCCGAAGGCAATGTACTCGAAATACTTGAAAGGGTTGGGAGGGGGGGGGGGAAGGGGAGGGAGGGGACGGGAGGGGCTGGGGGAGGGAAAGGGGAGGCGAGAGGAAGGGGAGGTGGAGGGGAGGGAGAAAATTATCCACATGATAACTTAAAGGGAGGGGATAATGGCAGGTCCAATGATTTCAATGGCAATGGATGGCGGGCAGCTGCACTTCCTCTCCTATGCACCCGTACTGTTTCCTCACTTTCTAGATCATGGTGTCAGCCATCCATCCATCCCCGGGCAGCCGTTTTACAACCGAGCCGATCTCTTGTCTGCCCTGACGCACACAAGTTAGTATGTGAAAACACCTTCGGGTGTGTGGCTATCTAGTGAGCAGTAAGCCGAATGGCAAGCGACTACAGCACCCTTACCCATGGCCAGTTGGTGCGATGAAGTACAGGCAACAGTGGACACGCGTATCGGGTAGCTTGACGCGCTCTATCTGCGACTCTGCATTCAAGTAGTCCTCGAATTGATCATCAATGTGCTGCACTATGGGCTGCCAGCTATCGTGCACGGAAACACACACCACCACAGCAACAACAGACCAACACACAAAGTGGCTAAAGAGGCATTGTTTTTATAAAGCACCGCCGCATAATCGTGCACGGAAACACACACCACCGCACCAACAACAGACCAACACACAAAGTGGCTAAAGAGGCATTGTTTTTATAAAGCACCGCCGCATTCACGTCGTTGGATCCTTTAGGTCCACCCACACGTTTGCTCGTGCCGGATAGACTCACGTAAGGGGATAGTGATTAGATGATGTTGAGCTACATGATAAAAGAATAGTTTTTTAAAAGAGGCATGGTAATTGTTTTGCAGATCTCTTCACATTTGCAGTAGCATCATAGCCCACAAGTAGTTGGCCCCCGCGGCCGGTTGCCACGGAACAGGTCACAGTGCTGCAATGACACTGCATGCTAGTACGACTCGTCACTGTAACGGGGGTTTGGCGGACACTGTGCAGTTTGGCACAGGCGCGCCGGGCCAGTGTGTTTGCAGGGTGGACAACGGTATGACATGAGTCACATTACCTCATTAACATTCAACAGTTACCATGGTTACTCAGTAAAGCCACTGGCAGTCCCTCCAATTCTCAAGTACACAATGCAGAACTGAGCATGCTGCTGTCACGGTCCCTTACCAATTTGAGTTATCTACTTGGCAACCAAAGCCAGGCGTATCTACGAGAGCTAATTTCAGTTGCACACCGCCTTCTACTAACACCACCGTTGATGTCTGAATCTGCAAACACACACACACACACACACACACACACACACACACACACACACACACACACACACACACACACATGCATGCACACACACATGCACACACACACACACACACACACACACACACACACACACACACACATGCATGCACACACACATGCACACACACACGGCCACATAAGTAAGTAATAGTTACATGCAGACACAGGAACGGTAGGACTCACACATGCGTGGCATGCAGGTAGGACTCACACATGCGTGGCATGCAACTATTTTGCTTACAAGTGTGATGAAGAAACTGGTAGCAGATGTAGTCGTTAACCTCAACAACAGCAATACACGACCAACCCACCGATACCTTGGATTTGGTTGGAAGGGGCGACTGCGTAACGTCTTTGGGCGGCATTTAGTTTTCACACCTTTCACGACCCCCTCCCCTTCACCCCTCCACCCAAAAGCAAACATACTTCCGCAATCCGGGCTTCACACCACGCATACATAATAACTATATAAGGCCAAACTAAAGAAGGTGTGTGGTTCGACTAACATGGACATTTTTTTTACGGGCGGGCGGGCGGATTTTTTTTTTTTAAATATATTTTTTAGTACATGTAAATACACTGTATACGCGTATCGAGTAGACTCTACTACCAGCACAAGGCAGCAGTCGTACCACTCACTGCACTGCACTGCAGTACAACTACAAGTCAAGTCCAAAACTTGCAAAAGGAGCCGCCTGCGTCCGCAGACTCACGCCGCACAGCACGTAGACGTGGACGTGTTCAGTCCACGTACGTCAGTCACACGACAGCCCGCCGAAAAAAAGTTACGGTCGGGCTGAAATTGTACGGTCGGTCGGGTGAGTCGAACCACACACCTTCTTTAGTTTGGCCTAATTATTATTTTTAAATTTTATTATTATGTGCAATTGTGAAGGCTGCTTTGCGATTTTCAACGCCCCCCCCCCCACCACACGTGGAATTTTGTTTGTTTTGTGGGCTTCTGTGAAGTTAGTTGTGCGATGATCATATCCCTAAAAAGGTTCATTGTTGAAATAACTACATCAGTACATACCACACCATACCGCATACCACTTCACCAATGATCAATCATGCATGCCATACATGCTACACACTTGCAGTATTGGAAATCAGTGGCTAAACATGATTATTATCATGGCAGAACGCTCTTTCGCTCTCACTTGACATGTCCAAACCACGTCTTTCGTTATCAGTCTAGAATACTAGTAATCACACCAACTGTTCCTACCTTGGTCGTGCTGGGGAATCGCGGCTGTTCTCCGACCGGATAATCCGCGTTCGTGTAGATGTCCGCTAGGAAAAGCGAGTTCAGAAGGGTCGACTTCCCTAAGCCCGATTGACCTGCAACGCCATGCAACAACACAACATAGCACAGTCCGTGGAGCAGCGAGCGTGATCAGCGACATGGGCAGTACCGAGTAACACTAACAGTTCAACAACAAGCAACAAACACAGCATGCGTGCTCACGCCGGCCAGCAAGCGCGAGGGCGTCGTTCCACAAGCACCCTACTGGCAAGATCCCCCGCACCATGCCGTGTGCACGCTCATGTGCATATCATGTCTTCATGACCGTGTACTCACCGACAACCATGAGGCTAAACTCAAATCCTCGCTGCACCGATTTCCTAAAGACCTGGTTCGGCAAGTTGGCAAAGCCAACGTTGTTTCTCGCCTGAAACAATGAATAGAAGCGAGAGAAAACAACACTTGTGCTCCCCTAGGCCCTCTGGTACTTGGTGCCACCGTCGGGATATAACGTTACTGCGGAATTGGTCAACGCTACGCAAGGCCACACGCTCCATCACAGGCATAAGCACGGCCATCAAGTTAGTTAGTTCTCCACCCTGTCGCAAGCTCATCTCACAAACACGCGGACATTGTTGTACAGGAGGTTTCGTAACTTCGCTGCTCGCCAACCATTGCAGACTTGTACGTGTTGGGGCAAATCCGCTTTCACTTTACCTCGCATTCTGTCAGTTAGGACATATGGAGCCAAACAGCTTACCGTTGACATGTTTGCGGACAGCAGCAACAGTCGAACGAGAACCAACAAAACTCTACAAATCCAGTGGGAAGACAACAGTCAACAGCCTAAACTAAACGAACTCCGTAACTGGACGAAAATGGGTTTGCAAGATTCGTGAGCCAGTCGTCTCACAGATCACTCTCGACAAGCGAGACTAGCGCTAGCCTAACCGTGATATCACCTAATCCTTGCAACCGACTGAGAACACGGAGAAGCTGGAAACCCTGCGAGTAGAGCTAGCCTAGACGGCTAGATCATAGAGCCAGTAGAGGCGCAATACAATGCACGCATTCCAGCTAGCTGCATAGTAGTGGTGGTCAAGTTAGTGTCACACCTCCCCGGCCCCCATGCCCATGGCCCAGAGCGTCGAATGCACACGACCTAGATCGTGTGCACTGCGCGGATCGATCAAGGCCGACTCTCACGGCTGTTTCGCGGCCACCACTTAACAATATGGCGGCCTTCGCCCAGGTTTACGGTGAAATTCAAAAATATTCTGAAAACTGAAAAAGATTTCAAGATCCTGTGGGATTCACGCGAAAACTGTGCTTTGTCAAGGTAACAAACACCGCGATCGGGACAAGGATTCAAACTTTCGAAGTCGCACAACAAAAATTGTTCAGCTTCGACAACAACAAACAAGGAAAGAAAAGGAAGGAGAAGGTAGACAGCAGGTTTTTGCTGGACGACGTCTCTTCCTGTTGTCACTACAGAGCTCAACTAGGAGTCAGCAGTACCGTTGTTATTTTTCTTACCTGGATCAGGGCTGAAATGGCCAAGCTGCTGCGTCCAGGGCCTGAGGATCACTGCTCGAGCTCGGACGCCTTGCGTTTTCTTGATGCCGTGGCGGGACGAACAGCGTCATGTTGTGGCAATGTCCCGACGAGATGTTGCTGGCACATTGCTGTGAGGCGCTGCAGAGTCCCAGGAATAGCGTTATAATCGAAGCTCAGCCTGTTGAATCTGGCATGAATTGACTCGCTGCCCTGCTCGGCGAGTCGACCCTGACCGACTCCAAATTTCCTGGTAAACGGGACTGTGCGTTCCTCCAAGAGATGTAGTTTCGGAGTTATGTTGCCGAGCTGTCGGGTGATAATGGATTCTCTGCATTTCTGAAGAAACAGCTGGATGCAGTCAGCCAGCTTTGAGATGTCGGCCTCTGACATGCTGTTGCAATGGCTGAAACGGTGGCTGCAGTCGGCATATCCCGAAAACAATCCATGGTACCGCTGCTGCAAGATTTCTGCATCAGCAACGAGCTGCTGGCAACGAGCGGAAACCACCTCAACTGGAGCAGACATCAGTGCTCTTAGTACGGCAGGCTGCAGTGTGCGATGTACGTGGTTGCCCACGAAGGCACCGCCATGGAAGGCTTGCCGATCAACATTGTGTGTTTGGAGCACAGACTCGAGACTTGACGCGCATGGTCCTGTGACTTTCTTGTTCTTTCTCATCTCGTCTAAGTCATGTACGAGTTTGCTGTGCTCAGCACTTGCAGCAGTGAAGGCGTCGCTGGCGTCTTTCCACAGTTGCTGTATTGCTGCAGCTACAGTGTCCATGTTGACGTTGGGAAAGCTGGTCGGTGTGTGTTGCTGCAAGAGCACTGCATATTGGAGCTGCTGCTGTAGTTCATCGCTCTTCGCCTGGGCATCTTCCATAGCTTGCCTGGCGGACCGAACTTTGTCGCTGAGAACTGTTAGCTCTTGAAACTGGAGCTGATCATCTGCACACGGCTAGAGAGTTGCTGCTGCCAGTTTCACATCCAGTTGTTTGACTTCAGCTAGGTAGATGTCATACAGCCATGCGAAAATGCCGAGATCCAGATGAAAAGACGGAATAACAACGTTGCTGACGGGAATTGGCAAGATAACTGGGCGGATGGCATTGTTGTGGTGCTTGGCTTGCGAAAGATTTGCTCCAGAGGCGGTCACCGCCAAGTTTTAGCTGAATCTCGGACTCCGGAATGACATTTCCGTGCCAGGTCAGCCACCCATATGTGTTGTACAAGTCCAGATCATCAGATCATCACGATGTCAATGTGATTTGGCATGTACGCCATGCATGCCATCACTATGCTGCCGTCTTTCTTATTCATTGGCATTTCCCTTGCTGTGTATTGTGGAACCTGCTGCGCAATGAACGAACCTAATCTTGTCCAGTTTCTTCTGTGCGCTGTATGTCGGTGTTGCGTGCGTGAAAACATTTGCTTCATCTACATCCATTTCACTAGAACTGTGTGCTGTCTGGGGTCCAGGAGAGTGTGATAGGGGTATTGCTGTTGTGGATGAATGTTGTGGGACTGTTGTGTGATCCATTTCTTTTCTTTTTTTTGTACAGCGAAAGCTTTGAAGCAAGTTGCTTCTGCTTTTTTGGTGGACGTCCACCCTTGTTTGGTGCAGTGTGGCATATGTCGCAGTATGTGCGGTGATGTGGCTTCCACACTTTGATCGCTCCACATCCATCCCCTACAAATGAGTCAAGGCAACCTTCTCTCAGACAACGATCCAGCACACGTTTGCATACATGACAAATGTGTGTAGGGTGGATCGCATGCGCGCAGGGTCATCCTGAGAAATGTCGACCTCGTACACATCTTGAATGATCTGGCATAGTCCTTCACGTTGTATTTCGTGGACACAGCCATGTTGGCAAACTTTTTGCCACCAATACTGCAGCAGGTAGACAGCAATGCACTGTGTTCATCCATTTTACACACTACTACTAGCACGCGATACGGTAGAATCGATGGCCACGGAAATCGATCTAGTAGCACGGAAAGACAAACAAATTCAAAAAATCGGTAAATGAAGTCACCCAGGCACCAGGAAAACTGGCAAAGAAGACGAGAAAACTTTTACAAGAGAAGAAGGTAGCTGTGAAAAGGGCTGATAGAAGTGACGAAGGGCAAGTCGTCAAGGCAAAGGAAACGCACCTCTGAAGGAATCGTTCCTGGAAGAAGACGGCCAAGACGGGTATCAGATGAAAGAGGATCGCGAGAGGAAGTCATGAAGCGTGTTTGTACTATGAAACCCGGTCGATTGGAAGGGGAAAGTGGAAGTTTCCTCAAGAGAAAAAGAGTATTTTCAAGCAAATCAATGACAGATCGATGATGAGATTTTTGAATTTTCAAATTTTTGGACGCCATATTTTTTGGCCGAGTTCATGATCATCGTGACAGCCGTGAGCTCTCCCTGCTTTGAGTACACATTCGATTGCTAACACACGACGACTACGGAACAGCCTACTGTCAGTACTGACACTTGACACTGTACTCTGTAGCCTAGGCTACACTCAGTACAGGTACATGACTGTATGTTGTAACACAGGCACTACAGTCAGTGCAGGGGGGGGGGGGGTTAGTGGCTGTGCTCGTTACTATGGTCACTGTACTAGCACTTTGGCTATTGACGTAATTTGTATTAATTTTGTAGTATTGAACCACCCAACGGCTGACATCCCCGAACTCTGGGTGGACTTAGAAATGATCCCGCTTACGGGCCCACCACACCTCAGTAAGTGCACACACACACACGCGGGACCGTTCTCAGAACTAATGTCACCACTACTGCCTGGCAGACTACTACTGTCAGCATACAGCAACCACTGCACCAACACCATGAAATTGCGGCACAAGAGGAAGAAGCAGGCAGGGCATGATGTGAAAACAAAGACAGACGTTGCACCATCATACAACAGCACAAGTCAGCGACTGACAGATCGAGCACGCAAAAACAAACCACTCAACACCAGAACTAACACCCACAGGAGAACAACGAGAGATGCCAAGAACGAAAGAAAAGAAGTTCAACAGATAAAAACAAAAACAGCTAAAAGTCACAAAATAGCATCTACAAGTATAAGGTAGTGAAAGTAAACAGAACTCAAGGGTGAAGCTACGGCGTGACGCAGCCTCACATGTTCGGCTGCCTAACGGGGAAACATAGATACGAAAAATACTTTGAAGTAAGCACATGTTAGCATGGGCGATGGTAGTGCAGCACTTGAACTCAGCAGCTGCATGGTGAACACTGTCTACTAGCTAAAAGGAGAAGACCTAAATAAAAATCGAGCAGAATCGATTGGCAAGATATAAGACTTTGATGCCGTGAACGACGTTGAGGCATACACCACGTGCAGTCACACACTGGGGCTAGGATATAAAACAAAAAATCAAAAGATCTGTCTCCGCAAATTATTTTTAAGGGATGAGAGGGGGAGGAATATTGTTAATGGCGAAGAAAACAAACAAAGAGGCACTACAAAGCCAGTTTTATGCGTGCTTCCGGAGATGGTCTTTGGAAGAAAACAGCAGCTATTCGAAGCAGCTCTAGCATTGCCGACGAAAGGACACTGGAGAAACTCTAGGGCTTGGCTTGATGGGACTAAACTGGATACATGACAGAAAAAACACAAAGAGAACGAGCCATGAATGTATGAAAGATGGGGTGGCGAATACGTTTTTAGTAACTTTTACTCGTATCGGTTCAAGGAAAAAAATGAGAGGGATCCGCACAATACTCATACCACAGCAAAAGCAGCAGTGTCTCTGGGGGGGGGGGGCATGACTTGGGTGTCAAAATGGTGTAGTTTGTAAGGAGCAGCGGGTGTGCATGGACCTTATACTGAGTCCAACATGTAATTATAATAGGGCTGAAACATTTATACCGATAACTCGCATATATGTTAAGAGTGCAGTCGATAATCGTTAGTGTTCAAAACGAGTGCCAACGATTTATTATGCATGCATATCAGTGACAGTATTCTAGCCCCTTGCACTCCATCCGATAGTGAATACGAGTACAATCATGTACTTCCAAGCGCGGTAAAATTGATCTGTGGCTTCGAAAGAGATCGGGAGAGAAGACTTTGTCTTTTTGGTTCATTTGTGTGAGAGGTTGGAGATAAGAGCAGTTGCCAGAGGGTGATGACAAGATTCTTTGCTCTAGAAACAACATGAAATTCTCTAGTTCGTGTTGATAAACCAGCCAGATTTCCACAGATGCCAACAGTGCGGCGCGACAAATTTCTAATGTACCAAAGGTATCATGGAATTTCCTCATAAACTGGTGTACGAGGTACACGAGTAGAGCCGACAAGAATCGATAAAACCAATATATTGATCGTTAATGATATTGGTTGATCGTTAGGAGTTATTGAATGATCGTTTCAGCCCTAAATTATAATATAGGACTTCTGAAGGTATTGAAACACAACTAGGGGGATCAACATTTTCGTCTTACACTGAGTATTTTCTATTAGGCCATGGTAAAAATTATCTTTGATTCTCAAGTACGCGCGCACCGATTTTTGGCGGCGCACCGACGATTTTTTTATTTCTATGCATGCATATGCGCGCATGAAAACGATCAATGCGAAATGCATGAATCAGGGAGTAGTAAAATACCGGTATTTTTCTACTCCCTGGCCTGAGTATATGAACACGTGACCATGTACATATGTATGACCCTATCTTTGGAAATAAAAAAAACTGTGGGAAATATAATAAAAAATCGCTCGCTCGCACCGATTTTCACAGGCTCATGACCTGAGAATCAAATTTATTTTTTACCATGGCCTTATCAGGACTTATAAGTATATGTACGGCTATTAAATACATTTTGTCAGGGATTTAGGATCGTTGCCTACTGATGAGGTTCGTCTTGTATCTATTAAGTGCTTATGATCTCTGATGTGCCCAAGGTAGCCTATACAGGCTCTACTACTGTTAGGATCTGGAGGCACAGAACAGTGAGATACGCGACTAGGCCTTACCTGGTTATCAAGATGATACAGCAAGGGGTTGCCCAGGTCACGATCGGACCTGCGGTGACCAGGCGGATAGCAAGCGGTGGCGGCGGTGGGATTGCTGGCGGCCAGTGATGACATGGTCCGCTGTATGGACATGACGTGAGCCAGCTCAGGATCGTCCCTGGACATCAGCGGACTGCGAGGTGGTAGAAGCGATGGTGAAACACACTGTGACGGGAGGGGGGGGGGGGTGCACGCACGCACGCACGCACAGCACACAGCACACACACACACACACACACACACACACACACACACACACACACACACACACACACACACACACACACACACACACACACACACACACACACACACACACACACACACACACACACACACACACACACACACATAAACATACAAATGACATGCAGTAGAACTTATATTTTGTTTCCAAAATCCATCTCCGGACATCTTTCGTTCGCAGTAAGTCATGGCAAACATCTGCATTATAATGTACACCCTCCCTTATCCAGACCTTATAATAGGGAGGTTTAGTTCCCACATAACAGAAACGCGTACGTGGGTGATCCACGTAAAGTGGATGAAAGGCACCCACGTTGCAATGTTGTGTTTAGTCACACGGAACAAACAAAAGCATGAAGCAAAAGGCCCAAACCTGGTCAAAGACGAAGCTACCCGGGCCTAAGAAGCTCATCTAATATTTTGATTTCGTGCTTCGGAAACTTCTTCAGCTGAGCACCCTCACAGCTCGCACAATGCACTCCATTCTGATTTTCACCAACGTTCTGGCGGAACGTGGGTGAGCCTCCATACACGGTATGTTGTGAATCAGAAAACGTCTGTACGTGGGTCACTGAGTATCACGTGGTACACACACGTAAAGTACCCACGGATTACGTGGGACTAAACCTCCCTAATATCTGTGCATCTCTTCTGAGTCCACCGAGTAGTATATTTACAACTGCGGGCAAAACGCAAATACCCGAACAGTTTGCCAATGGACCCCGGTTGGAAGTGATTCACATGACGGTATCACCGTGCCGCCAGGAAGGACAGCATGTGACAAGAAGAGCTTGCCGGAAAACGGGAAAACGAAAATCACTCCCCACACACTCGGAAATCAGAATGCCGGCATACGGCGCTACAGTGAAGTATAAAAGACAGCATGCCGCCTTACCACACTCACGCGCTGTTGTTCACCCACTGACAGAGGACGGTACTGACTCTGAGGAGCAACTACAAAAGCCGAACGCTGATCATACTGTTGAGGTAGCAACCCAGCTGACACGTGCTGCTGATGCTGCTCCGGTGGCTGATGAAGCAGAGTAGTTTGGGCAGTCGCATGATCGTTGCGGACATGTTGTGTATCCAACGACCATGCTATCATGGGCGGACGAGCCGAGTATTGAGAAGGATGCAGAGCTGAAGGTGGCAGGGCGCCACTGGAGCCCGGAAAGTCCGCAGGTCTGGACCTTGAGAAGACTGGTGATGCGTAACTCCCATCTTCATAGACCTATAAAGAAGTAAAAGTACACCCAGACTACAGCTCAGCCGCCGCTTCTAACACAACATTGCCAGAGATCAAAAGAGTAAAGGACTTCGGCTTAGGTGGCCGAAGCAGAGCTACGGCCGGCCTATCCATGCATCCTTAACCTAATGCACTGACTACTACTCTTCTTGGTAGTAGTACTGTAAAAGCCATTATTCTCACGAGCCGCAAATATAACGATTTCCTAAAATTGACCGGTTTACGTGTACCAAAAATGTAACGATTCTCACTCATTCTCAACGCGCACTAGGAACAGTATAAGTACGTTTAAGTATCGACTTCAGTATAAAATTTTCTATTCTCCTCGGAGGCTTTTACAGTACATCATGTACATGACAGGCATGAAAAAACCTACTCGCTTAGAGTTAAACACTTCGGCCAAGAAATGACTAAACAAAAATTCCGTCACTGTTAGTCCATCACAGTACAAAACAGGAGTTGCACACTCTTGGTTATGTATTCTTGATATGACATACTTCAAGGAACAAGCGCGTACATTGTTCTCAATCACAGATACACGTACGTACCCTTCAGTCCTGATGTGCCCGGATACCATGTACATACTCTCATCTCTCTCTTATCCGGACCTCGAAGTTATGGGCACCTCGGTCTACCGGGCACTCTGTTGGTGAGTTGTAGTGGAAACATTATAGCTCTTTTGCCAATTTTTGTGGAAATAGTGATGTCATATGCCAGATCTCTGGCCTTTCCCCATTAAAACGTACATGAGTCAGAGTTACGGACATTTCCAAGTTGTGGGCAGAGCCAGGTCCCGTACTGCCCGGATAAGAGAGATAGGAGTGTACCTGGATAAGAGAGAAAAAGTCGAGTGCATGTCCACATGCAACAAAACACACAGTTGTGCTTGTTGAAATCCGACTCAAAGTGCATATTTGGCGAACCCGGACTTGCACGCCCATAGCCGCCCTTGGGAGTGGAGCCAATGCTGCTGTGTGTACGCATGTAGAAAACAAACACGGCAATGAAATAGAAACCAGACAGGGCGCCAGCTTTGCACTCGGTTGGATTTCATTGGGCGCAACTGTACACACGCTTACCTTGGGCGGTCCTCCCAGCATCTGGTTAGGACCACCTGGGCCCTGCGACTGCTGCTGGAATTGCTGGAACTGCTGTTGCTGCTGAAGCGGCATTTGATGGACGTGACGAGGCGGCTCAACAGGGTGATGATGTAAGTGGTGCAGAATCTGATGTGACAAGTGATCGACATCGCTTGCACTGGCAGTACTGACCGCCGGAGTGTACATGCCGTGCTGCTGAGCGTGCTGCTGACTTGCGGGCAGCAGCAGTGCCCGAGGAGCAACTGCTGCAGCTGGCGCCTGATCCCGCTGCCGAGACGGCACGGCGCTCTCCACATACGGCCGCTGCTGCTGAGGCAAGGTGGTTTGGGGAATAGGGCGAGCGCTGCGAACAAGGTGTGCATCCAGTGGCCGTGCTACTATGGGCGTGCACGTCGAAGAGTGTGCCGGATGCAGCGCAGGTTGTACTATGGGCTTGCACGCCGAAGAGTGTGCCGGATGCAGCGCAGGTTGCGGGAAGGCACCGCCAGAGCACGAAAAGCCGCCGGTTGTAGACCTCGAGAACATTGGCGAAGCCATACTGTCGTAAGCTTGTGATGTACATGTTGGAGCAATCAGCCTGCCCGACACCATCGGACCATGTGGCGTTTGCACCGGCCGTCTTAGTACAGATTGTACGTCCAGCTGCGGCTCTGCTGCTGCCGGCTTCTTGGTAGCAGTGCCGGTGACGACATTACTGCTACTGCTACTGCAATGACGTGGCTGCTTACCCGGAGTGCGTGTGCTTGCTGTGCTCCTATGACCGGTTGTGCTGGGCGAGTGGGGCCGAGCCGCCGGCCGACATGGTGTAGTAGTAGTAGTAGTAGTGCGCCTATACTCTGACTGCACACCGCACACATGAAACATCGCACAATGCACAGCGCCAGGAACACATATCCACACATGCAGACACAGTGACCTAGCCAAAGCCAGCTGGGAGGGCGACCTGGCTGAGACAGCTCCAAGGGTTTTGGCTGGCTGCAGTCACCCACTTGAGGTCAGCATGTAGACTGCAGAGCACTGCACTAGCACTTGAGTTGAGTGAGATGCTGGAGTACAACCCATATCCTAGGCATAGGTATGTACAGTAAGTAGCACTGGCTACTCAGGCTCAGTGCTAGCTCTTCACTCAAGCTCAAATGCACTTGAGTATGCACTTGAGTACATCAGTAAAATGTAACAGGTCGGGTCATGGTTCGCTGCTTCTGGTGGTGTGGCTGTGACACTGACAGCTACATGTATACAGACTCTGGACTGTCATATGTGGGCCCTTCTTGGCTAGGCTGGGTCTTGTCAGATGACCAATGTACACTGCAGACATGATGTTGGTGAACACATGATCCATGCTCATGTAGCTGTTTGCTTCCTTTTTCATATTTTGTTAATTTACCTATAATCACATTGTCACAACTGCCTGATGAATGTCCATAATTGGACGAAGCGAAAGGAGATGCAAGCTGCAATGAAAGATTTGTAGTGGTGTGTGTGTCTGTGTGGATATGTGACTGACGGCGGGGGCCTGGGGGCGCAGCCCCCAGAACGATGCATTTTCACTAGAACGTTGGCCGGCTGGCATAAAATCCTGGCTAGACCTCTGCAGACATCATACATGTTCACGAATGCACACAAACATGCAGTATGCTGAATGCAAAGGCGACAGCACAATAGAACGTTGTTTGGCCACTTGCTCGCACCGTTACTGACGTTTCAAGCCAGCTTAGTCATCGTTGCGTAGAGTGACACATTTGATCGGTAGGCCCCTCATGTTGCATGCGGCTGCGAATTTGTTTGTAATTGCGTACCAGCAATGGGTCCGCGACCCCGACATCCAGCTCAGTCTCCCTGTTGTGAAGAAAACTTCACAACACATGCATGGATCCATATAGACTGGATAGAAAAGCCAGCATTGTCAGAAATCTGGCCTGGCTATGATGTAGCTTGTTTCCAGCTCCAAGCCCTATACTATAGGAAATGAACTTAAACCCAAGATTACATGCAAGTGAGGCAGAAACAAGCCAACAAAACCGGATATGCCAGGTATGTGCATCCACAAACTTCAGAGGTCCCCTCTCGCAAAAGAGCGAGCATTGGATCTCAACAGGTAAGGTTCGTATGGTACAAATTAGGTAATACCTGCCGGAAAGGTGTTCTGGATGAAGATGTGGAGTTGGTACTTTTCACACCTGCCACACAAGTGCTGGTGGTGCTGGTGTTGGAGCGGGTGGTTTTACCGTATCCTCGGGACACCCCCACCTGGTCGTGCAGCTGCTGACGTAGATCGCGCAGTGCCTGGACAAGGGAGTAGTGGGCGAAACAATCAAACTCAATCTACTGTCTCAACCTATATTCTGTGTGTGTGGGTGAGTGGTTGTGTGAAACAAACACGACAGAGAGAGCGGGAGAGAGAGAGAGAGAGAGAGAGAGAGAGAGAGAGAGAGAGAGAGAGAGAGAGAGAGAGAGAGAGAAGGAAGAGAGAGAGAGAGAGAGAGAAGGAAGAGAGAGAGAGAGAGAGAGAGAGAGAGAGAGAGAGAGAAAAGAAAGAGAGAGAGAGAGAAAGAGAGAGAGACAGAGAGAGACAGAGAGAGAGAGAGAGAGAAGAGAGAGAGGGGTGAAGGATAACTGCTGATCTTGCTTGCATGCATTGGTCTAATACTGATGACTGTGGTGTCATGTATTTAGAGTCTAGTGCACGGTATTGCTTTGTGGTGCAAGTATTACATTGTTCATGATATTCGTTACAACAGTGTATGCTCTGCGTAGATAAGTAGATTGGGTTGCAAGGATAGCATGTTAGAAGTAATTGATTGGAACATCTGGGCCGCTCAATTACGTTAAGAGCACACTCTCATCATTGTTAACAACATTGTTGATCATACGGGTCAGATCCTAGTGTTTACCTAGTCATGTAATTTCTCGTGCTGCTGTGTTCAGCTGGTTGGACTACTCTAATAGTAATACCTTAATTACTAGCCTTCGATAGCACGTGCGAGTGCGGGCTTTTGCTGCGCAACTGGTATACCCCACAGTGTATTTAGAATAGTCTTCAATAATAATCTAGTTCAGTGAGTTTCACTACTTCCTAGAACTAATACAAGAAACACCAGGTCCTGAGATTGTGCGGTGTGCGTGCGTGTACGTGCCGTAGAAGAGTCTGATGGTCTTTCCCCTTCAGCTCTTGGTGCCGAAACCCGGGATAGGCAGAACGTACTGCTGTGGGTTTTCCTGGAGAGAGGTCCGGTGAGGAGTATGGCGGCGAGGATTGAAGGGTTCTTGCGCCCCTACAGAGGGAAGGGCGACAGCTGGGAGGTGTTTTGGGCCAAGTTCGCGTTCTTGGCCACAAACCAGAAGTGGGACTCAGACGACAAGAAGATGGCGCAGCTTCCGCTCTACTTGGACGGCGATGTGTTTATGGTTTACAACGCCATGGACGACGCGGACCAAAAGAAACCGGACGAAGTAGAGAAAAGAATGAAAGAAGCGTTTTGCCTCACGAAGTCGCAGGCATACAAGCTGTTTGTTGCGCGCCGCTTGCAGCTGGATGAATCCCCAGATGGGTACATTGCCGACCTTAGGAGGCTAGCAGCGGTGGCAGGTCTTGGAAGGGGCGCGGATGCAGACAGCGTGCTCGTAGAGCAAATCCTGAACGGCTTACCTTCATCCATGGCGCAGCAAGTGCGCCTTGCCCTGGTTGGAAAAGGCGACGACGTATCGTTGTGCCTGCAGTTGGTTCGAGCATTGCAGCAAACTGGAACTGAGGATGATGTTGTTTCAGCTGCAAGTGGCGCGAGTGGCCCCGGGCCGGCAGGCTCTGGTACGCGGAATGTGCTTTGCTTCCGTTGCAATAAGCTTGGTCACGTGCGGCGAAACTGCCCGGAGGCGAAGTCTGGCTACGATCGCGGTGCTTGGAGGAGCTCAGCGGCGGGGGGGTTCAAGTGGCGTGCGGCCTGGCCTCACTTGTTTCTTCTGCGACAAGCCTGGCCACTTGAAAGCAGACTGCGAAGAACGGAGGGCCTGGGAGGCCCAGAGGTCAAGCAAAGTCACCGGTCAGCCATCACCATCGGCAGCCTGCACGTCTTCCCCGCAGGAATGTTCCGTGGAACGAGGTGAGCCTGCGGAGGAGCGCTGCCTGTACATGGGGCATGGGAGCGAGAAGTCAGGCCAGCTGGTAAAAATCTTCGTTGGTGTAAGTGCAGCGTCTGGTGACAACGCCGGCAAGGAATCGTCCATTGTGAGCGCACGTGCACGCGGACAAGCGGTTGTAGACACGGGCTCGACGAGGACGTTGATCAGCCGTGCATTCGCGGACCGCAGCAGCCTCACGTACGACGGCCCAGACACTCTCGAGACCAACCTTGTGGCTCTGGACGGCAATCGAATCGAAGTTCTGGGGCATCTAGAGGTCCTTCTAGAGCGAAACGACGGGCCTGTCAACCTTCCCAGAGTCAAGGTACGAGCGCTTGTGGTTGAAAGCCTAAGCACTGTCCGTGCTGACGTGCTGATTGGAGCGGATGTCGCTTCGCGGAGCGGTGGGTTGCAACTGAAGTATAGTAGTGATGGACAGCTTTGCGGAGTTGTGTTTGGAGCCGCAGCTAGCGACACTGTTGCAGCCACTGCCGATCGGCTGTCCCCGAAGGGGCAGAATGATGATGGTCGATCTGGCCATCCGTCGCGTCGGGTGAAAGTCAGCACCACTGACGAGGGCAAGGTTATGCTCAGTATTGCGGACGGCGACGTGACCTGGAGCCCTGCTGAGAAGCAATGGGAGCTGGCCTGGAAGTGGCTCGATGGTGAACCTCCTGCAATGCCGCTCGGCCCGGGTATCGGAGAGTACAGCAGGACGAACCTGACTCCGGAGCAAGAGCGCCTGTTTGTTAGTGAGGTGCAATCCTGGATAGACAACGGCTGGCTGATCAAGCACGACCCGAAGCTACATGGCGAGCCAGCATGTGTGCTGCCGCTCATCGGTGTTCCGCAAGAACACAAGACGACGCCGGTGAGGCCGTGCCTGTATTACCGTCACTTGAATAAAAAGCTCCACTCTGACCCTGGTTTTGACCCACCAGTCTGCGGTGACACGCTACGTCGATGGCGTCAGGCAGGAGAGGATTATGCTCTGCTCGACATTAGGAAGGCATACCTCCAGATCCGGGTTAGCCCGGCGCTGTACCGCTACCAAGTCGTGCTTTGGAAGGGAGAAGCTCACGTCATGACGAGAATGGGATTCGGGTTGGCGGTAGCGCCCAAGTTTATGGATGCCGTTGTGAAGTACGTCACCCAGCCGTATCCTGGAGTAGATAACTACTATGACGACCTGCTGGTCCCTAGTGCCCTGGTGCCGAAGGTGTCTGGTGCACTGAATGAGTTCGGCCTACCAACCAAGCCCGCAGAGCAACTGGCAGAGGCTCGGGTCCTTGGCCTCCAGCTGACCAAGTCGTCCAGTGGTGACACGTCCTGGTCGCGAAAGGAGCCAGCTGCCATGACCTTGGAGCGTCCGGCAACTAGGAGGAGAATCTTCCAATGGTGTGGACGACTGACAAGCCACTACCCGGTATGCTCATGGCTGCGACCTGCCTGCAGTTTCTTGAAGAGAGCAGCTTCGGCGGACGATGCGTCCTGGGATGATCCAGTCCCACCGGCTATCCAGGTCTGCTGCGAGGAGCTTGAGAAGCGGCTAGCCGAAGTCGACCCAGCAAAGGGAACGTGGAGCATCTCTGCTGGCGACAGCAACACATGGACGGTGTGGTGTGATGCGTCCGGCCTGGCCCTTGGTGCTGCCCTGGAGGTTGACGGCAAGGTGGTGGAGGATACCACGCAGCTACGACCACACCAGGACAAGAGGCACATCAATATTGCCGAATTGGAGGCGGCCATCCTGGGTCTCAATCTGGCTGCGAAGTGGAATGTGAAGCGGATTACGCTGAAGATTGATTCCAAGACCGTCTTCGGGTGGCTGAAGCAAGTGATCAACGATGTCCGACGAGTGAAGACCACTGGCTTGCATGACCTGTTGGTGCAGAGGCGCCTACACATTGTCAGCGATATGATTGACACGATTGGAGCAGCAGTGGATGTTGTATGGGTGTCGTCTGACTCCAACATTGCAGATGCCCTGACCCGAGTTCCAAGCGTCTGGCTTACTCGATCCGTGGGTAGCATTCCCGACGTCACCGCCGGCGCTGTGTGCGAAACGACAGTTGTTGGCCCAATTTCGTTTGACGCCGTGGCGGCAGCCCAGCTGGAAGACGAAGTGGTGCAGCGTGTCGCCAGCCAGGTGGCTACCCGATCGGCGGTTCGCGATGCTGGTTACAGGAGCGTGGCAAGTCAGCTCGTCGTCGAGGATGGCGTCCTGCTCCGAAGCGTTAAGCTGCCTGTTGAGGGTGAAATCCTCGTTCCTGTCATCGCTAAATCCGCGGAAGAGTCTGTTATTTGCGCTGCCCACACCAACTCCGGCCATGCCTCATGGCAGAATATGTACGAGATGTTGCGTGAACGCTGCTACCTACCACGCATGGCCGAGAAATGCCAGCAACATGTCCGCAGCTGCCAGCGTTGCAAGGCTGCGAACGCCGCAGGAGGACAAGCGGCGCCAGCGACACGACCAGATATGCCCGGGAGACCGTGGGGCTGTGTTCAGATCGACACCTTGGAGCTTGGGGCGAGCAAGAGCGGGGAAATCCACTGCGTCTTGGTCTGCGTTGATGCCCTGACGAAGTACGCCGAAGTTGTCCCGTTGCGTCGGCACGATGGTGCGAGCGTGGCCGATGCCATTGTCGAGTTGTGCTGTAGATGGGGAACGCCAGATGTGATCCGGATGGACAATGGCCGGGAGTTCCGCAACTACATTGTCAAGGCCCTTCTGCGTGTGTTTGGTGTTGAGGTCAAGACCGGAGCTGTCAGGCACCCACAGACGCAAGGCATGGCTGAGCGTTTTAATCGCACGCTGCTCGGCCTCATAAGGAAGGTCCTGGAAGAATCAACGGATTGGCTCGCCGAGCTCCCGGTGCTGATGCATTACTACAACAGCCGCATCCACAGCGCCATCGGCATTTCACCAATGAAAGCAATGATCGGGTGGCAGCCTCGAGCATTGGTGAGCGCCCGCATCAACCTATCCGATCCCAGAGAGTGGCAGGACGAGCATGCAGCGAGGTGTGCGAGAGTTCGCGACCTGCTTGATGCGGAGATGTCCGAGAAAGACCACTGTGAATCTGAGCATGAGTGCCCGTTCGCGCCTGATGATAGCGTCCTCCTCCAGCAGCCAAAGAGGCGCCAGAAGTGTACTCCTCCATACCAATGTGGCTGGCGTATCAAGAAGGTCTTGTCAGGATCGACAGTAGTCATCTGGCGGAGGTTCAAGGGTGTTTTGCAGGAGAAGGTCATCAACATCGACCTGCTGAAGCGTGACGTGCCAGCTGCACCTTCCTCGGACCCAGCAGATGAGCCTCGCCATGATAGAGAGGAGGAATCGGCTGGAGAAGAGAGTGATGACAGCGGGCCATACGTAGTGTTCTCGCCGAGTAGCGATACTCCAGACGAGCGAGTATTGCGAGACAGGTCTGCCATTCGACCGCCTGCCCGCTTTCGCACGCAGTAATTGCATGGTCGGTAGTGAGTTTCTACATGCCACCAGGCGGAGGTGATGAAGGATAACTGCTGATCTTGCTTGCATGCATTGGTCTAATACTGATGACTGTGGTGTCATGTATTTAGAGTCTAGTGCACGGTATTGCTTTGTGGTGCAAGTATTACATTGTTCATGATATTCGTTACAACAGTGTATGCTCTGCGTAGATAAGTAGATTGGGTTGCAAGGATAGCATGTTAGAAGTAATTGATTGGAACATCTGGGCCGCTCAATTACGTTAAGAGCACACTCTCATCATTGTTAACAACATTGTTGATCATACGGGTCAGATCCTAGTGTTTACCTAGTCATGTAATTTCTCGTGCTGCTGTGTTCAGCTGGTTGGACTACTCTAATAGTAATACCTTAATTACTAGCCTTCGATAGCACGTGCGAGTGCGGGCTTTTGCTGCGCAACTGGTATACCCCACAGTGTATTTAGAATAGTCTTCAATAATAATCTAGTTAAGTGAGTTTCACTACTTCCTAGAACTAATACAAGAAACACCAGGTCCTGAGATTGTGCGGTGTGCGTGCGTGTACGTGCCGTAGAAGAGTCTGATGGTCTTTCCCCTTCAGGGGGTTCCTTAGATGCAAGTATCTTAATACCGGTTAGGGGAAAGGCAAGCAAGGACCGACCTAACCGATGGTCTGCCGGTTGGACGGGTCGACCACTGGTTGGTTTCATACCAAAGCATACGTATCGTCAAGATTCTGCCTGGGTAGAACAATTGCGTTCTACACTTCGTTGCTGTTGTGCTCAGCGATCCCCCTGAACACTAGCCCACGGGCGTACTCAATGTGCACTTGATCCCCCTGAACACTAGCCCACGGGTGTACTCAATACAGTTATACACTTGCCTTTGATGGCTTCTCTACAGCTTTCTCGTGTGGCCCAATGGGACCGAAGTAGAGCGATGAACGCTTCAGCCATGTCTGAAACAGACACATTAAAGAAAGCAAGTACGAATGCATTTCGTGAGTTGTTACTGGTAGCTGCGGTTAACCAGGGACTAGTAGCATCTAGAGAGATCAAAGTACATGTACCTGCAACAATGCGCATTTCGACCCTGTAAGTTCTACATGATCCATGGTCTATGCAACTCGCCACCACAATCGCAGCATGGACCTGCTGACCCCCAGCATGGAGCAGACCAGCGATGTAATATGTGGGCCTGCAAGCAATTGGCCATGACCCAAGGGTGACTAGAACGGTCAGCCTGGGAGCGAAACCCATGTAGGTTAAGTCCTCTCTGCGCACATATAATATCATAGCTATACGACTTTCAACCGGATGGAACCTGGCTGCATGCTTTACTCTACAGAAACCAATAAAGAAATATTCCAGGTGTGGTCGTACCAGCTCATCATCAGTGATACCCAGATCATTCGCTGTTAGGGTGACTTTGCCCCCTAGAGTCAAGCGTGGTCCTTTAAAACCGCTGGCACCGGTCTGGCTGCTTGCCGAAACGCCATGTCCATCCAAGATGCTGCGCAGAGCGTTCTCATCGGCCTTGAATTCCACACTGGCTTGCGTCTGAGATATCTCCGAAGCTTCCTGTCCTGCAGCCATTGGCCTGCTGGAGAAAGAACATGCCAGAGAGGAATACAAATACTGGTCAGCCAATTACCGGTCCATCTATTTTAAAGTTTGGCTTCAACATCAATCTTGTGGGACCAACTTGAATCAATGCGGTCTTACGGCTGACTGGTCTCAGCAGTGATACACGCACATGCCTGTGGATAAAGCCTCACCTGTTTTTAGTTGCAGGCTTAACAGGGGTTTTCCCTGTTGACGAGCGTGACTGAGAGCGTTGGCTAGGACCAATGCCATTCTGATCACGCAGGCAGCGTTTTGTCGTTGGCGCCGCGACCGCGGAAGACGAATGGGCTTCGGCTGACGACTTTGCACCTGACTTGGCGGGAGTTTTCCTGGGCGTTGGTGCCGTGGGAACAGGTATGCGACTGCGCTTGGTGACAGGCGCTGCAGTGGATCATGCAAGAGAAGAGAGAAATGCTGATCAGCCAGTGAGAGGAGACCAAGAAAAGTAGCTGTAGTGTAATGAGTAGCATCATGACAGAACTCTATCCCTAGGCATATCATTATCTGTCTCCAGGTTTCTCCTTCCTACTCCCTACACTCACCGGTCGCTGCTGTGTGCACGCAGCACCGCCGTCCATTCCGCTCTCTGTCTTCTTTACACAGTGATTCCCGATTGGAATGACTCTTCGTTTCTGCTCTCCTTGTAGTTAGTTGTGCTTTTCCGTGTCCGATAATGTTCCCCCTTTTGCAATAAAGATTCAGGCGAAACTACTCTAAGTAGCTACCGCTACAGTAGCAGCTTGGCAATTGGATAACAATTTCTTATTAGGACTAGTCAATGTGTGCTGATTTAAACACGATAAACAGACGCATTCAACAAACGACACCTAGCTTAGTGTGTACATGTAATAGAGGTCAACACATTTCTTCAGATCAAAGCACAGTGCTTGTACACTGTTCAACTTTGGGTATACTGTGTTTGAACTAACAGGGCTGGTCAAGGGCTGGTCAAGGCAGCTGAGAGTAGAGTGCTTGATGCACGAATGTGCGGAGCAGTATACACAAACAATGGAGGCGAAGGACTGCGGAGCTGTAACTTCAAGTTTCACACAATCGGTGATCGGCATTTAGTGAATGCCGCTGTCTAATGATCGCCGAAAATGCGGTGAAAATGCATGAAACTTGAAGTTACAGCTCCAGAGCCTTTCGCCTCCCCAGTGTTTGTCTAATAGTACTTGAACTATGGTATCAAGAGTCCATAACCCCAAATGTGTGCAACTGGGGACTGGCTGCTGTAGGCCCACTGCGCGGCGGAATTCCAACATTACGTCATGCCGCTGAGGCACAGAGGACAAAACTCTGCATTCCAATCCGCGGCCGGCCGCGGTGCTTGGAACCAGAGAGTAGTACAGGCGCAACAGATGTGTACGTCATTTTTGACGTAATGTTGGAATTCCGCCACGCGGATCCCCATGTACCATGTGTACAGAGTTGCACACTCTTGGGGTCATGGACTCTTGATGGTATTGCTAAGTATACATGAATCTTCAAGTAACCAGTGACAGCAGTTCCTGCTACTTTTGTATGTAACCATAGCCTCGGTGTTCGTACTCCTGCTATTAGTATTGCTGAGCTAAGTCGAGGCTAAAAAAAGAGTTGCAAAATGTGTCACCACAGCGTACGACATAAGGCTGCAGTCATACAAGTACAAATGAATTCCTAAATGCAGTACTCAAGCCCTGGGCAATTATTTGGAATTTGAAATCAGTTCAATCAATACAGTAGTACCTGTATTAGTCTCTGCAGTGAATAGTTTCCCCAGTTGGATACCAACTACCTGTTAAAGCCAAAGCAAGTATCACAGTTTTCTCTCCGACTTACCAGCCGTCCGTGTTCCATTCGCATCCATATTGCCTTATTGGCAATGCCAGGTATCTATCAGAAATGGAGCTCCACGAAATAGGTGAGCCTTCTGGCAGTACACTGTCTGTACCGGTACTGATAGAGCAGAGTACAGTCACGTACTCGTCGGACAGAGACTGAGTGATGCCAAACTCTTGCAGTGTCGCTTTTCCGTCCGAATTTGTGTGCGGAGACACGGTGCTGCCGAACAGTTGACTCTCTCTCTGGACTTAGGCTCTTCCTCTCAAAGAGCGAACTTCAGTAGAACGTCGCTCAGACCATTCTTGCTCTGTTTAGTGCTTTGTTTTTATTTGACTGCGTGCGATGCTGGCTGCTGACTTATCCTGCAGGCTTCTCTTCAGCCTGCGTCATTTCTCTGCCGGGCAGGTCAAGTAACAAAATGATAGGGGTATCACTCTCGTCGACTTTGGATAATCTACGACGTCGACGAGATCCAACAATACATCATCCAAGCAAGACAGTCACAGAGAGTGCAGTCAGTGCCAGTCACCTGGTCACACAAACGCCAAAGAAACAACAAAGTCATGCATGCATGCCATGCTGGAAAGTTTCAAAATTCCCCCTTGTTGCCATGGTAGTCGCTAGTATGGAAGCCGCAGTATGGAAAGGGGAGTAGTATTTTTAGTACTTTCTTCTAGCTGAGCAGTTGACGTCACTCAACAACACGACATGATTGTGTCTACACACACGACAGTCTAGTCATCTGGTCATGCGAGAACAGACTGTACCGTGTACCAGTGTACGAGACTCGCGGAGCCATCGACATAGTGTTTTAGCTGCTAGTGTTGACAATGACAGTTTTTTTAGCCTTTGGTATTTTTGGTTATTTTAGTCTTGTCTTTGCATGGTTGTGTTCGTGGGGATGGACTGAATGGTACCATTGATTCAGACTTCAGTCAGGCAAGTTAGTTTACCGCAGCTGCTGTAGTCTACTGCCGGCCCTGGGCATGGCGTGAGACTCTGATCTGGCTCTGATCGAAGATTATTCTGTCTTCAGTAACTTACTTGACACTAGAACTAAAAGACCAGCTCAGGGATGGAATCGAGGACTGAAGCAGTCTCCCTGTGACGAGGGCCTAGGGAACAGCAGTTTGTGAAGATGAGCCGCCGACTATGCGATCGCTGTAGTGTACGGCAAATGTTGACTGCAGTTGCGCTGGTGGCGTTTATGGTGTTCCTGCCTGCAGCATTTCTCATGCAAACTCTCATCTCCTCGTCAGGAACGAGCCGCCGCCGGCCAGGCGGCGGGTTGGATTCGAGTTCGAACGATCCAGATCGCTGGAGATGGGGCTCGGACCGTGTTCCGGATTTGGAGGATGGAGGCGAGACTGCTGTGTCGACGGAGGAGAAGAAGCGCTACCAGGATGAAGTGGACGAGCTGCGAGTTATAGCCAAGTCTTTGCGTGATGAGATCAATGCCATGCACACTTCTTGGCAAAATCACGCTGGCAACGTGCAGATTGCGGCGGCCGGGAAAGGAAAAATGGCAGAACGACAAGCACGCCCAAAGCTGTCCTTGCGTGACGCAGCCGCCAAGGCAGAGGCCATCCCGGACGGAAGCGACTCCGAATTTGACATGCGCTGCCCGCGACCAGTGGACGACTTTCTAATGCCGCTATCGCCAGTAAACATGAAAAGTCAGGCACCGGACGCGCCCAAGATAATGCCGCGTCCAGAATCACTCGCTGCCTACCCTGTTCCCAAATATGGCAGCAGCGGCGGCAGCCGTGTGCGATCCTGCACGGTGAGCTCATGCATGGACCTTGGACGTTGCTCGCTTAGTCGACCATTCTCTGCGTTTCTGTACGACGAGACTTTGCCAGATGGCGGTGAGAAATCCGTTGCGGGTGAGGCAGTTCGCCGGGCACATGCTGGTATTCGTCTTGGCTTGGCGCAGAGCGGGTACACAGCGCACAGTGCTGACGATGCATGCATACTGATTGTGATCGTGACGACGTCTGACACCGGGTCCGACCGCAGCAAGCTGACGAGATTCCTGCTTAGCCTCAAGCACTGGCGCGGTGACGGTCGAAATCACTTGATCATCGATGCGGCATCCGGGCAGTTACACAAAGACGATGATGGTCAACTGTTAGACTTCGACTACGGTAATGCCATTCTTTCATCCATGCACAGAGCGTTTAATCAGCACCGGCACAGCTTTGACGTTTTCATGCCGCCACTTGAGCCGGAGAGCGTCATGTCTGACGGCAAAGCGAAGGATGGTAAGCTTTACCACTACACACTACTACCCACTTACCGGCCGGCGCTGCTCTCGTTCTCTGCGGCTGAGCACAGCCAGGGACGTGACAAGGCGCCGGGCGACGGCGCAATCCTGGGACACTACGTCTCGTCGCGCGATCTGTCCGCCCTGAAGCAGCGGGGTGGTGCTGAGTTTGTGTTTCAGTTGGACTGCGTCGTTGCTCCTGGTCGTGGTGAAAGTCGTGCCGGCTCTCTGCTACCAGGGTACTACTTGTGCGGAAGCCGAGCTGACCAGGACAAACTAGTTGCACAGTCCACGTTCACTTTGGTTGTTGAACCACTCGCGGCCAGTGCTATTCAGCTAAGAGAGTTTGTCAGCCAGCTGCTAGCGTGCTTTCGTCTTGGCTCAGTACCTGTTGTTCTTCGGACCTATGTCTACATGTTTCCCTTTGAAGAAGTTCTGGACTGGGCGAAAGCGGCAGTTGTGCTCCCGGCTGCGCGGGTCGCCGAGGTGAATTTTGTTCTTCAGCATGTTTATGAAGATGACATTCTGGCAATGCGCCGACAAGGCCACTTCTTGTGGACCACATACCTCTCAAGCGCCTCGACAATCACTGAGACCGTTATTAACATTGTACGACGCCGTACAGGTCTTCCCGCTAAGGTACTGGCAACCGTTTCACTGCAGACACACCACAAGAGTGCCATCCCATCCCAGTACAGTCCACTCCCCTCGCCTACGTTTCGGCAAAACTTCACGTACGAGTCCCTGGAGCGTTGGAACAAGCCACCAGGTAGGAGTGTGTGTGTCTTGTTATTGCTGCTGCTGTTGTTGCTCAGCTGCTGCTGCTGTTGTTGTTGTTGTTGTTGTTGTTGTTGTTGTTGTTGTTGTTGTTGTTGTTTCAAATCTTTATTCTCACGATGGCCTGTGGCCAATAAGAGATATAGAGTTGTTGTTGTTGTTACATTTGTGACATTATTCTGTCTCAACTTACACATGGACGGTGTTTCAAGAAGGTTCAGATGTATGCTCTTTGTACCAATTCCTGATGGCTCAGAAGCGACAGAATAGTTTGGAAGAAAAAGAGGAATGTGATGTTCCACAAACTGTTGGATGTGGTGAAGACATGCCGAACTGAAGCACAACTATTGCTACATGTACCGTAAAGTACAGCGATGGTGCCCCACCATCTCGTCCTTTCGTGGTCATATTGTGGAGGTGGTGTCCTGTCTGTAGGTCGTACAACGCGGGCCTTGTACACACATTGCACCTTGTACAGTCAATTCGTACTCAATTTACCATACCTTCGAGCGGACACGAGCTCCACACAAAAACCTGCTAAGTGTGACCTTAGTACACTAAGGTTCTCACACCGTACAAACTTCGTTTTACTCTGCCATGCGATTTTCCTTTCCCTGGCCGAAATATTAAGGTGGGGCGCTCTCGTGGGACGAAGCGCTCTACAATTTATAGTGGTACTTTACGGTACATAACATATAGCACTGTGTTGCGTGTGGGGTGTATTTTGTACGGTAGCAACCTCTCTGAAACATTGCTGTGTCTTGTTCTCGGATGGTCTGGCTATGACTGCACAGGTGCCATGTTCCTGCCACCCATGTCACCCTACGTGGAGCATAAACCTTCGGGCTGGGAATACATTCGCCGCAAAGGCGACGCGCGTAAGCTGCACCCTGTCGTGGAGAACGGCGGTGCTCTGTGGGGCGAAGCGTTTCAAAACTACCTTGCTGGAACACATGAGCCTGGTAAGCTTGTCCGCTGTTTTAGCAATTATATACGGTATGCATTTCATCCCTACTTGCATGTCGTCCCTTGTTTGAAAATCTGGACTTGACATGTCACGAGACACCCTTAGCAAACAATGGTAACGCTATTTTTACGGTACTCGTACCTTGATCACCCAAATAGCGTTGAAGCTGCTGCGTAAAAACGTTATGGGGGCTGATTTATCATTGTGACCAACGGTACGTGTTTTGGCCGAATATTGCATAGTCCGTACGCATTTCACCTTGTATCGCGTATGTGGTGTCAACAATGGTTGTACCGCGCGAAATCGAAGCTATTCTTGTGGCAACAGCGTACTAAAAATAGCGTGCGTCTTGCTAAAGGTCGAACCCAAATCACAGTATTTTCCCCCTTACGATAATACCGTTACAACATTACGTTTTTTGCTAAGGGTGTCTATTGTGTGGTCAATTTCCTTCTCTGACTCTCCACATGCTGTGGTCAAATCAAGTGTTCATATCCAAGAGTATGCAACTGGGATCCCCTTCCTATGCCGGCTGTATGGGACTGTGTCTAAGTTTGTGTGTGTGTGTGTGTGTGTGTGTGTGTGCACGTGTGCATGCGCGTGTGTGTGTGTGTGTGTGCGTGTTTGCACATTTGTATGTGTGTGTGTGTATGTGTATGTGTGTATGTGTATGTGTGTATGTGTATGTGTGTGTATGTGTGTATGTGTGTATGTGTGTGTATGTGTATGTGTATGTGTGTGTATGTGTATGTGTATGTGTGTGTTAACGTGCACACATGTCATACACTGTGCAGAGCGCTTCACGGTGGTGCTGCTGACGTATCGGCGCGAGCTGGTTCTGTACAATGCCCTTCAGCGGTTGGTTAATCTGCCGCGTCTGGACAAGGTGATAGTGGTGTGGAACGATGATCAAAACGGTCCCAGTGAGGAAGTGTCTTGGCCTGAACTGCAAGTGCCATTAGAGGTAACCACTGACAGATAATCATTCGTTTGCGCTTATGTCAACTCTACAGAATAGTAAATATTGCACTTGCTGTGTACTCACTTGATTAGAAGCCAAGGGCTTCTACTTTTCCAATGTCAATTTGAATTTGAGGCTGCCTCTATTCAAGAGGGGCTTTACCCCGCCGCTTCTATTATTTCCAACGTTGGTGCCATGGGGATTATTATTATTAATCGGTACGGTATATCTTACTCCTTTCCCAGCGGCTTTATCGTGTGCTGGCTACTTCCGTTGGCAAGTCGAATCCTAACTGACATGCCCATTTTCAGCACCCCGGAGTGGTTTCTATGACCTCTTGTATTTACTCGAGGCCCTTGCCGGTGCAAGTGTGCACGGGTCCACGTATCACTTGCAGTTAGAACACAACTGTAGCTGTTACTTGTACTGGGACGGGTGCATGATCGTAACGGTATTTGCAGTGCATAGCGCCCAGTCTTGTACAAGCTACTTAGTCCAGGGAGTAGTACAATAAGAGGTTGCTATGGTGATGTTGAAGATCCTAAAATAATATTTTATTCTCTGTGGCGTGCTCACTTTCTCTGGGTTGCCTGGGCATCGAGATCTGTTGTGGGTAGCATGATTACCCGGTTGAGTGCTCATGCTGCCAACGTAACGTGATCACAGCCTTCACAAGTGTTCTGGCAGCATTGCGATTCCCGTGCATGTACTGAAGTGCTCAGCGGTGTCGCTGTTTATGGCACCACTTCCCATGACAAACGTGTTGTTGTTCGTATAATGCAACCAGGTGGTCAAGGTGAAGCGTAACTCTCTCAACAATCGCTTTCTGCCGCTGGACAACATTCAGACGGCCGCAGTCCTTTCCCTGGACGACGACACACAATTACGGCACGAAGAAATTGACTTTGCTTTTCGGTGAGTGTTAACCGTATTGAAGGTGTGCATGTAGTTTTTAAACTACATAAAAAAGGTAAAAAGGTTCAGTAAATGTAGCTCATGGAATCATGGTCAATTGACTCACTTCTGACCGTAGAGGCAAGAGATGTTAGAGAACTCCGGTTTCAATGAGCTCGACATAGTGTCCGCTCTATCGGTGTGTGTGTGTGTGTGTGTGTGTGTGTGTTGCTATGTCCATCATAGCTGTTCGCTATCATCGCTTCCGCGATGGGCAGGTCTGAGGTGTGTGTGTGTGTGTGTGTGTGTGCGCGCGCGCGTGCGTGCGTGCGTGTGTGTGTATTAACCAGTGTGTCCCATATGGTGCAGTGGTATGTGCAGTCGATTTCCAATCGAGAGGTTGCGGGTTCAATTCCCGACGATTATGGTCGCACACGTCTTTCTTCTCTTTCTCGGACTCTTCCTGACTCTTCTTTCATTCTCCTGGGTGGTTACCAACAGCCAGTGTATGCCGGAGCATGTGGTGTGGTGTGTGTGTAGAAAAAAAGAAGAAGAAAAAAAGAAAAATGAAAAATAGGGATTCACTGGCCAGAAAAAGTCACTTCAATCAGCTGTGTGGTGGACACCAGGCTAAAAATAGTGGCGGTCAATTCATCAGCCTTGCAAGCTGTTGTGTAATCCCAGCACAAGTTGCTATGTTTAACATAGCTGTTCGCTATCATCGCTTCCGCGATGGGCAGGTCTGAGGTGAGGTGAGGTATTAACCACAGGGGGACGAGTGCAACCGCACCCCCCCCCCCCCCCCCCCCTCCAGTAGTGCGGGCAACAATGCCGTTGGGTTCTGGCTTCTGTGCAGTTAACGTAGTCTAAGTTTAATACTGAAACGTACAGTATTTGGTGTGGCTTCTGGTCACGGCTGATTATCTGTCATGTGTGGTGTGCTCTCGATGCTCAGTGCTTGGCGTGAGAATCGGCACCGTTTGGTTGGGTTCCCGGGCCGCTTCCACAGCTGGGACAGCAGGCACGGTGGGTGGTCTTACAACGCAAACTATTCGTGCGAGCTCAGCATGGTCTTGACGGGCGCAGCTTTTGTGCACAAGGTGAGCAAGAGCACGGTGGGTTGTAATCATGTCAAGTTTCTGAAGAGGTTTGCCTGGAGTAGTTCGTGTGTCTGGTCTGGCCAAGCCGACAGGCAGATCCACAGGTGTATTGTACCATGTTTCAACCAGGCAACAGTGCAATAGAACAAACATGTCAGGGGTGTTGGACGGTAATTTCGTGTGGCACGGTCAGCCATCTGAAGTACTAATTACTCGTGGGGGAGGGGTGGCTGAGCCGAAAATGTTGGAAATTTAGAGCCCAAATCAGCGCATTCTATTGCTTCACGGGGTACTTTGGGAAATAGTGGTACGGTCAATACCGTAGTGACCGTACCGTGTGCGACACCCCTGCATGTTACCGTAACTTTGAGACGTGCTGCGCTCCCGTAATATACACCTCTCTGTTAGACCAAGGGGCGGATCATTCCGCACTCGGTACGTTCTTTCGTATCCGGAGTATGTGCTCACCCAGGGTTTAGAGCCCAAAACGGTGCGTCGAGAGAGCGTGCTTTGCTCCAGTTAATGTCAGCAGCATGCAGTGTGGTGCAACGTTTTAGTTGACTATGTGTTGACGACGTGTGTGTGCATGTGTGTGTGTGTGTGTGTGTGTGTGTATGTGTATGTGTGTGTGTGCGTGTGTGTTTGCGTGCAGTTCTATTTCCACCTGTATTCACACTTCATGGACGAGCGTATCCGCGAACACGTTGACAAGGTGATGAATTGCGAGGACATTGCCATGAACATGCTCGTCTCGCACTTGACACAGCAGCCACCGATCAAGGTAAGCCAACCGTTAGCCGGTCTGCTGCTGTTGCTGGGTAGATGTGGCTTTGATCGTCAGAGGCTACGATACCGATTTTCGGTGTTTGAATTTGTGTCAGAAACATTTTGACCAACTCGATTTTGGGGAGACATCGTTTATAATACATGAACAAAGTTTTCTCTCTTTAATAGTCGTTGCTCTCTTGCGCTACGTAGTGGAAAGTTGGTTGTTGAGAGTTGTGTCCAGAGATGATTCTGGGCAGCAGATGAGCGTGTAAGTTTGTGTGCTGGTTGTGTTGTGTTCGTGATAGGTCACTCTACGCTGGACGTTCCACTGCTCTGGTTGTACGGACGCACTGTCCGACAATACGGAGCACTTCAACGAGCGCCACCAGTGCATGAACATCTTCTCCGACGTCTATGGCTACATGCCACTGATCAAGACGCAAACTCGCATCGACTCGGTGCTCTTCAAGACTCGTGTGCCACACAACAGGGGCAAGTGCTACACATTTGTGTGATGCGCATGCGCCGGTTATGTCATGATTACATCATCGGCAGTGTCGCCCTCAGCGATTGGATCCTCTGGATGCTGCGCAATGGTGGATCTCTGCCCCAGCGCATGGTATGCCACCGTTGCAGATCCTCACATTCTCAGTTTCGTTCGGGTGGTTTATTGATGACGTCATCGTCATGACAAGATGCTCGGAAAGCTGCAACACAACAGTGCAGTACGCTTCGTAGCAGATCCTCACATGACCTGGAGATGCTGGTATGACGTAACGGTGTCATCACTCTCTATACTCACCCGGGATATCCGGAGTGGATGCAGTTCATCATGCACTGATTTACAGCCACACCCATAGCAGAAGTGGCAGCACAACGGAAGTGCAAGCCAACGGGCCCCCAAAGATACACGCTCAGCCTTGGTGGTACCTGAAACGGAGTTAGGATTTTGCTTGAGATGCAATTGCAGTGGGAGTAAAGCCGTCGATGGCGTGGAGGTGTTTGGAAGCATGAGAAACTCTGCATCCTGGCCGTCAGTGCTGCTTCTGCTGTTTGTCCGTCTCAACTGGAGAGGGCATAGTCATCGGCCTCTGCACTTTTGCAAGCACACAGGTCAGCCGGCGTCACGTATGATGTACACGAGGCCAGCTATAGTCCACGTGCGCGCCACAGCATGTTTTTTTGCGTGCGTGTGAGCAAGCGCACGTGTGTGTGTTTGTTTGTTCATACATGTGTGTGAAAGTCACTTCTTCAATGGGTACATTGTCAGTACCAGTACATGCACTTAAACTTGATAAAATCAAGACTACATAATAGTCGTGTTCGAGCCTGCATAGCGTGTGGATGTTCAGATTACTGATGTTCTGATACTATTCATTTGAAGTGACATGATGGTATGCCTAATCCGCATTACAGACTTGGTACAATATAGTCAAGCAAGAACGAGCCATACATGTCACGGTGTTGCCAACTTGTGAAGGATGGTACGGCTGTGTGAGCACGCTTGTGGGTAGTCGCATGTCTGGCAATGTCGCCGAGACACGAAAACAAGACGTGTAGAACTAGTCGGCCTGGCTTGCCTGTAGCAGTACTGGCCAAGTACAGTTGCGCTCGGTGAAATCCGACCCAAAGTGCAAAACTGGCACCCTCAACATGCACGGCCCTTGACGCCCTGGAAGTGGTACGAATGCGGCTGGATGTACTCATGTACAAGTACAGTGATGTAATCAGAACTGGTCCAGGGCGTCAGCTTTACACTCTGGGTGGTATTTCAGTGAGCACTAGCTGTTAGTGTACAGTCATGTAGCCGGCTAGGAATCACAGCTATAGCTCACTGTGTTGTCCCGATATGGTGACTAACTTACTTGAGTATAAGCTCTTTCAGACCCAGCCTACACCACTCCAGCATCATGCCGTTGTACTGATCTACTGTATTCCTCTGAGTCACCCTACTAGTATAATCAAGAGTCCATAAACAAGAGTATGCAACTGTGAGCCAGATGCGCGGCGCGCTGCCTTCATTACATCATTCAGCTGCAGTCCGCGCACTGAGGAAAATCAAACACCGCGCTTTCCCTCTGGTTTGAAATGAATTTTCGTACGGAGCTGGAGTTCACGCGCCAAAATTTAGAGATTGCGTAGGTACTGGAATGAATCGAGCAAAAACGGATGGGCTCGTACGAGAAATTGTGGGTTTGAGTGCATGCTTTCAGAGTGTGATGGAGGCAAGTTACGTAATGAAGGCAGCGCGCCGCGCACTGGCCCATAACCACAGTTGCATACTCTTGTTTATGCACTCTTGGTATAATCACTCAATCTCCCCTACATAATTATGCACGTATCTGTTTTATAGAACCGAAGAAAACCGGCAGAAAAGTATTGCATTCCAAAAATCTTGAAGTACATGTGCTAGACTAGTATTGTAAGCACACAATGAACAAACTCAACTCGATTCTGGGAAGTGACAACTACCGTATTTTCACCATTAAACGTACACGTCTCCAATTGTAGTACATGTTGAGTGTGGATCAAAAATATATATAAAAGGAGTCCATAAGAAAGGTTTGCTCCCCACATCGGAGCTCGCGCTATTCCGCCGAAAAGGAGTCCATGTCTCTAATAATAGTACATGCCGGAATGATGTGATTGGCATTACTGGCGTACAGGTACCAGGGTCCACCTTACTTCGTTTTTCTTACCCGTTCATCACCTTTGTGTCTTTCTACACTGTTTCTTACCATGGTTGGGTGTATTTACAGCTGTACAGCATCATTGTCACGAGTTGTTTGCCACCCAACCCAGGCAATCAATCTTTCCAGAAACAATAAAAGTACACGTCTCCAATACTAGTACAGTCTCCTATAGTACTACAGCTCTGACCACCTTTGAAAAATAAAAGTACTGTACATTTATTGGGGAAAATACGGTATATTAAAAAGAAAAGAATTATACTAGTAGTTGGCACTGCCTAGAATTCATCATCATGTTGTGTGTATCTTCGGCTGGCCATGACAAGGTGGTGCATGATGCTATTCACATGATCTCCTATGATCAAAGGTCAGCTACTAATGGTACGGTGAGTGTCCAGTTGGAAAGCACATTCTACCAAGAGAAGTCTTCATTACACTGTTTTTAAAATCAATTAGAATTTTGAAAGCTGAGACAATTGGCAATTTCCTGATCACATTATTATGAGCGCACACTACCAACAGGGCATTAGTTAGACCAACATGCTTTAGTGGAGTACTCCATGCCCATCCAGTGCACCATGGTACCAGTGACTTAGGCAAGCGCAAAGCCACAATACCCTCACAAGGTAAAGCTACTTGAAGAACTGATATGACATGGGGGGGGGGGGGGGGGGGGACCTGTGCCTAGGCTGTGGCTCACACCACTACTTTGAATAATAGTACTGGACCACTTCTTCACAAGCACTATCCTGCTAAGTGCATGCACTCCAAACACTAACACAATCTCTAGTAGTAAAATTAATAATTTAATAAACTAAGGAGAAAGCAAGGGTGAAAACCAACATGACAACCTGCAAGACTGTGCAAAGCCACTACACTGTACATTATAGATCTACGTAATCTGACAGGGCCTGGGGGCCAGACTAGTCTGGGTGACGCAGCACATTCCTGTCACACCTCAGGGTCAAGTCTGACAATCTGACAGCCAGGTGCCAAAATGCAAAGGTACCAAACTCCCAAAGCTCCTCCTTTGAAGTGCTGCTCCTGGCCCAGCTTGTCACTGACTGTACTCCCTAGACTCTGGCCACCATCTGCCTCTGGTTCTACAGAGCCTCCCAGGAACCACTGTGCCAGACAGAACTTACTACTAGTACTGTAGTAGGTACTCTTGCTACAGCCAATACAGCCTACAGGCTTACACTGTTACAGGCTTGGGGGGAATGTAACACCAATGGCCCCGGCAATGGTCACACGGGAGGTGTCTCCATTCCAAAACAGTGAAGACACAGATACCGTAGCCCCGTGTGTCTCCATTCCAAGACAGTGAAGACACAGATACCGTAGAATCCCGCGGATAAGCCCACCCGCGTATAGCCCATGCCTGCGCATAAGCCCAGGGTTTGTTTGAACATCACAAAGCTTCATCGTACAAGCCCATGGGCAGAAGCCTTGCTTGGTAGTTTAACATGTTTTTCGATTTTGACAGCATGTTGCAAGGCGAGGACGCGTAGTGCTCCTGACTACAACCATAACCCGGTTGGCAGAGTCTCAAAATCGAAGCCCATGGGCCTAGGTCATACCGAGAGTCCATAAATTATGGACTCTTGGCCATACCATGTACGTAGTCATGCACATAATCATTATGTTTTTTTCCCGTACATTTCAGCACAATCATCGGTTGTTTTTGTTTGCACAGTGGTTTTCAGCAATGTACTTCTCACTTCCTTGATACTTTTCAATAGCACAACTTGCCAAGTTGGTGTCGGCGTATAAGCCCATGCCCGCGTATAAGCCCATGTTCTCGTATACGCCCACCGAAATGTCCTTGTGAAACAGATAAGCCCATGGGCTTATCCGCGGGATTCTACGGTATCACTAGTACTACTAGCTGGAGCACAAGGGGTGGATCAGATCTGGACGGAAATGAGCTGTATTACTACCGGCAGTACTAAACTCGCATGCTGAGCCAATGTCCTAGAATCTAGAGGGATGACACCAAGAGTACCGGTACTACTGTACATAATTATGTATTAAATGTACAAATTAGATACAGCTCATTACATCATTGATGTCCATTCGTACTTTGTGGGGGCTGTCCCCTATGCCTAGCTATGGCAAGTGTCGGACTTCGCTTGCCACGACTCTACATTGTATACATGTAGTACCTGGCTGGGGTTATGGATTTTTGTCTACAGCCACTTTTAGTTTTACAGGGCATAATCATAATTCATTGCACTGCTTTACACATAACCACCGTCATGCTCTATCGTATGCCAACTACATCATGCACATACTGCCCTCTCCCTCTTCATCTCTCTGTGTGACTCTGATCTGCACGATGATGTTCGCTTCCATAAAATTACGTCAGGACTTGGTGACGAACATCAAAATGTCAACAGTCAATGCAACTGTCAATGAAAGCGTTCGTCCATGTATAGTCCTGTCATTATCAAGGCTCTCTAAAAATGCCTGTCATTAATCATTATCAAGGCTCTCTAAAAATGATAGAAGATTTCTTACTGATTCTCAGTGATTGGTTTGGCGCCCACAACCACGTGCTTGCAGCTGAGCTCTTTTGCAGTTTTATTTGACCTTGTGCTTGGAGGTCGACTGAAGACAAGTGAAGTACTACTAATCTTCTTGTGGTTATCCTTCCATTCAAAGACAAAGTCTACATTTTCTTAGCTGTTCGACACACCCACCTGCGAACTACGCACAGCACGTGAAATGTCATCAACACTCAACAGACAACCACCTGACTACTACTAGACTACAAAAAGTAGTGTAGTACTACTACTACACTACACCATACCAGGTCTGGGTCACGTCACATCATGACCTATGACACATGCGATCGCACGCGTAGCATGCATGTGGCTCGATCAGTTTGAAAAAACAAACAACGGTTACTAGTAGCAGCTTCGTTCAGCTTTCTCTGTGACTCGCGTGAGGATTATCGCCTATCGGGGTTGCGCTTCATGTGCTTTTCGCCTTCGTTCAGGCTGAGAATCATGATCTGAGCAGTGAGCTGCCTGGAATGGCCTACCAAGGAATCGAAGCTAGGCGTCATTCAGGTCTCGTGACGACCAGTTGATGTTTTGCAAGTGATCTCCAGGCTATCGTCGTCTTGAAAGCCCGAGTATAAAAGAGGCACTGATTTTCATTTCTTTTAAAATTTCTCTTCTCTATTTGCACGACGTAGATCTACGAGTTGCCACCGAGCTGCTACTGTAGTATTACGCGTAACAGCTGTATCCAGCCATGGTGTCCATCACCACCCAGTTCATTGCTCTGCTAAAACGGAATTTCCTGTTGAAGCGACGAAAATGGAAGGTGACCTTGTTCGAGTTCACAGTTCCTGTCTACTTCACAGCGATCTTGGCTGCAGTAAAGCTTGGAGTCAATCCTGATTTGAAGCCCGAGGTGACCGACCCACCATGTTTCGACCAGAACGTTTGGCTTACCAATATCTCTGACAAGGTCGTGCTGTATGCACCTAACGCATCTTTCAATGGCACAGGCATAGTGAATCATGCGAACAGGATCATGGTTTTGATCGGAGGTGCCACCGGCGCTACAGTGAAGGGATTTGCTAATGAAAGCGACCTAGTCAGCTATTACCGCGGATCTGGTAGTGTGCCCGTGCTGGGTGCAATAGTCTTCGATGACGGCATGATCACCTCGGGCAAGATTCCTACAGCGTATGACATTCGCTTCGACTCGCAAGCATCCGATGTCCCGAAAACGTCCAAAACGTACTTGGACAACAACGGCTTTTGCCGCTCGGCGAACCTTGCCCAAAACGTCCATAATAATTTTAAATGCCCCACAGCTGCGCTCATTTCCAGCGGTTTCATGCAGTTACAGGCAAGAGTTGATGCCGCTATACTCCAGGTGCGTCCTACATGCTCGTGCTTATCATCATACACTCTGCACTCAGGGATACATGAACGTATAAGGAAGTGTACATACCCCCCCCCCCGGTTAGAGTGTGTCCATCTCTACACAAACCTCCATCACTGCTTGTTTCCAGAATTGCGTCCACTTTCCGTGATACCATCTACCTACCCGTGCACACAACCGCATTGCACACAGTCAACCTTGCAGCTTGAATGCAAGCACAGAGCTGGTTACGTTAGGAATAACGGCGTAGTTCTGAAAACTAGTCATAAGCAATTTCACACTCTGCGGAGTTATGTGTTCTAGCTTACTACAATGTAGTATGTAACAAAAATATTGATTCAATTTGAAGCCATGGCAACGTTAACAGGGGCGTAGGAGGGGTTTTGGAAGTGGCACGACCGAAGGTCGGCCCGGGCGAAGGCCGTCACGGTTGGAGGGGGGTCCGGGGGACCTCCCGCGGGAAAAGTTTGTAAAAAAGACACAAAACCTTGCGTTCTGGGACTGTTCAGTGTGCAGTCGAGTCGAGTACAGACTCAGTATACGACTGCAACGCAGATGCATGGCAGATCTACGAGTACTCCTACGAGTCTAGAAAAAGGTCAGAGTCTGATATGCATCGATCGATCTTGATTTTTTTATTACGGTTTTGCACGTTCCGGACGGACCACACTTTTCGAAAAGTGGTAGGTACGGCCATGGTCGTTCGTACCAGTCGTAGCGGGTGCTGCGCCCCTGGTTAACTTCAAGCCAATAATCACTGGAGTGTGCAGTATTACATTGTTGCAGTTTGTTATGACCAGATTCTTGGATCATGCCATAGTTATCCAAAGGAATAGCACAAATGTGATGCTGTGTGTGTGTGTGTGTGTGTGCGTATGTGTGTGTGTGTGTGTGTGTGTGTGTGCGTGCGTGCATGTGTGCGCGTGCGCACGTTTGTGTGTGTGTGTGCGCGCGTGTGTGTGTGCGCGTGCCTGCGTATATGTGTGTGTATATGTGCACACTGATTATCTTGGCTGCAGCTGACAGCCGCGAACCTTAGTATGCCGGACTACACCACTAACTCTACCCCTTGCTTCATGCCCAAGGCAGACTACCTGCCAGCTGCCGATGAGCTACAAACTCTGACAGCCATCTACATGGTGATTGCCTACTCGCCCATGGTGTCCATTCTCCTCTCATTGCTTGTTACTGAGAAGGAGAAGAAGATCAAGATTGGCATGAAGATGATGGGAATGTCGGACGTGGCGCTGTGGCTGGCCTGGGCCGTCACCTACGCATTTGTCCTGCTCATTTCCACGGCCATTATCACAATCATCGCGTTGGCGTCTAAGCTGTTCGATCCGTCCAACATGGGCCTTGTGTTCCTCATGCTCTACATGTATGGACTGTCCATCATGGCGTTTGCCTTTGCCCTGGTGCCCTTCTTCTCCAAGGCGTCGGTGGCAGCAGCCATCGGCTCTCTGTCCACCATTCTCTTCAGCTTGTTCTATTTGCTGCTGAGCCGCGTGCAGACGTCGCTGGGCGTTAAATGGTTCCTGTCCATCTTCTCACCGACTGCCCTGGGGCTGGGTCTCGCTGAGGTATGTGTTGATACTTGGCACAACACCCCGATTTCACCGAGTTCATTCTTGTTGAGCATGTCACTATGGTTATACAAGGGAATCGTGGCATCTACAGGTACAAGTAGGCATATGGCACGAAACAATAGTACCCAGAATGATATTCGTTTGGACCCGGGGTGTGCAAGTGGGACGTGATCCGTGGTGTATGAAGCTTATGTTGTATGAACTGTTCTATTCGAACTTACTTTAAGGCTACATTGTAGCTGCGCTTGGCATTATAGCGTTAGATTGTCTGCAGGAGTATGTTGGCTGCCACACGGACCAGCTTCTTATCAGTCCAGTGTGTTGCTGGCACTGTTGTTGTCTTGCTCTGCAATGCGCCGTGTTTAGGATTGCGCGCTGCACCTGTTCTAAGTTTTCATCTTCCCACCCCCATCTGACCCCGTCGTGTGCTGTAGGTGATCAATCTCAATTCGGTCGCCGGTGGTTTGCAGACGAGCAACATTGGCACCGCCGGCGACTTGTTTCCCGTGCGTGGCGTCTACATCATGCTCTTCGTTGACATTGTCCTGTACTTCCTGCTGGCTCTGTACTTTGACCGCGTGATACCGGACGAGTTTGGCCGCAGCTGGTCTCCGATCTTCTTTCTGCAGCCGTCCTTCCTCCGGTCACTGTGCTACCGGCGAAAAGGCTTCAAGGGTACGCAACACTGGGCAGCAGCTATTGAAGTTTTGTTTTGATGGTGAATAGAGTGGCATTGTGTGGTTGGACGCTGCTCGGTCTAGCTATGTATGTGTAGTAGCGACAGGGAACACGTGCGTAACCAAGTTTGCATCTGTAGAGGAATGGGATGATGCTTCTTTACGTTTGTACTTCGAAGTAGTTCAGATAATCGTAACATTGACAGAAAAGCGACTGTCAGGTTCCAATGTACAAATATGTGTTTCTAGGCTAAAACTGGAAAATTAGTTGGTTTTCTAAAAAAAATCCAGTTTGGATCCTGAGGACTTCAACTTTGCTTGGGATTAACAATCTCCACTGAAGACACTTTATTGATTACACGTATCCCTAACCAAATTCCTCTATCCTTGCCTCTATGCTTGCCTCTATCCTACTCCTCTATCCTTGCCTCTATGCTATTCCTCTATCCTTGCCTCTATGCTACATAATAGACCTTGATCCATTGTGAGGACTGATCAGTCCTGACGAGACGCAAGTATGGAATAATTGTGTGTGTGTGTGTGTATGTGTGTTTGCGTCTGTGTGCGTCTGTGTGTGTGTGTGTGTGTGCGCGCGCGCGCGTGTGCGTCTGTGTTTCATGCATTCTGATTGTGTACAGCACTTGTTAGCGATGGGAGCCAGGCAGTGTCCTATGGCACAGTTCGTGCCGCCGTTTCGGTCGACGCCTGCCCTGATTCCTGTCCTCCGCTGCCCAGAGATCCCAATGTGGAAGAGGTGCCGTCCAGTCTGAAACACCGAGAAGCTATCAAGTAAGTTGCCATTGTCTTTCATGTTGTTTGTACTTGTACTGTATTAAAGTACAATCATGTACATGTGTAATGAAAGTGAATATTCACCGCTAGGGTACTACAGTGTAGTATGAAATTAGTACTGTGCCACGACCTCTGCGAGCTAGTGGGTTGTGCTTCGCTGGATCCTAATGCCATCTGTCTTTGTTTTGCTTTCAGGATCCGCAGTCTCCGCAAGGTTTACACGAAATCGTTCTTCGACAAGTGGATTATGAGGAAAACGGACCCTGACGTGGTAGCATGTGATGGTGAGAGAGATGTTTTTAATAGCTATCAACTGTGTAGAGGTTATGTGATGATGTCATCATTTTTATGTGTTTGTATACGATGACATCATCAATAGAGTTGGTTTGTATGTGATTACGTCATCATTAGTGGTGTTTTGTATATGATTACGTCATCATTAGTGGTGTTTTGCATGGGGTGACATCGCAAGCACTAGTTTAATCCCCATAGAATGGTGATTACTAGTTCAGTTGACCAGCCTTATTTGATAACTAGTACAATCATGTAGTACACTGTGTGTGTGTTTTAACTAGTACACTCGGACGTCTCTTATCCGGGCACCTTGGGTGGGACCGGGCAGTGCCTGTATCTCAGATTTGCCCGTATCTCAGAAGAACTCCTCTACTTACATAGGCTGGCAGTGAAAAATAAGCACTTCCACATACTGTAAAATATACAAATTTTCGGCAGCTATTTAATTTCGGCTATATTCGGCACCGACCCAAAACGCCTAAATTAAAACGCCGATGAAATTTTTCTCAGCATCTGTCGCACTATACCATGCCCTCTACCCCACGCCGAAAATACATCGCCACCGAAATGTCAAAAATCGTGAAGTGCCGAAATTTTGCAGCGCCGAAATTTTGTATATTTACAGTACAGGGAAAAAGTAAAAGAAACCAAATTCAAAGCATTTGTACTATAGGAACTCAAGCTGAAAGTGCCCGGTAGAGAGACGTGCCCGTATCTGAGGCGTCCGGATAAGAGGCGTTTGAGTGTATACCTTTAGGCCCGAGGCCCACTACACACACTAGGGAGTTTTAGCAACTCGTGAACGAGAACGAAAACGAGCGACAGCCATTCGTTTCACGCGCAAGTCGTTATCCAATGTGTTTAGTTTTAGCAACTCGCACACCCCTAGTAAACGAAAGAAGTGATGCACGTCACTAATTTCCATAGTCGATATGCGCTAGCACTTTACTTACTAGTGCACTGCAACGGTGTGCTAAAATGCATACCAACAGAAGTTCGGATCTTGTCTAGAGCGTGTTGTAGAGGAAATCGAAACCGTTTGGCGCAATCGTCGCAGCTGAGCTTGTCTAACCCAAGCCGAGGAACCGTCACAAATCATGCCGCGCCACACGATCATCTGCACCACGATCATCTAGTGCAAAGTAAAGCAAGACTATTTCGTCCTCATCAATGATCTTCTCGCCGTATGCCAGAAGATGGACTCGCGCCTCGAAATCATCCACCAGCGAAAGAAAGCAACAGTAAGGATTTGAACTTCAAGTTGAAGCTTCCCTCTTCTCAAATCATACTCTTTTTGAATAAAATCTCCACACCGCTGCGCAGGTCGATGAAATAAAATCAAAAGAAAGGACTCGTATGCATAACGAATCAACTACCCTTGGTTCGTACAGAACGAGCTCCATTTGCGGAGCGAAACGAGACTCGAACCCAGGCACCCGAGTCGACTACGGACACATACTCGTCGACGAGTCGCTAAAACTAGGGACCTTTTGCATTTGCTACGAATCGAATGCGAAACGAAAGTTTGATTCGGCTCGTAATCGTTTCGTTGAAAACAGAATTCAGGTTTCGCAAGTCGTAATGCAAATGTGCATGGCAACTACGAATACGGCCGGTAGCTTGGCGTACGGGTGTGTTCGCGCACACGTGCATGGATCATGGAATCAAGGGAAAAAAATGTGTACCTGGCAAAACATGTGTACCTTGCAAAAAAATGTGTACCTGACGGATTCGGAGCGTACCACGAATGAAGAGGCTTCCATTCGTGAAAACGAGCTCTCCGCGGCGACTCTGACGAATCCTCGAACCCAGGTGACGAATCAGCATTCGTTTCGTATCCGTACGCGTAGTGCGAAAGGTCCCTACTCTCTACTACTATGCTACTAATACGAGTACGTCCTCGTATCCTACAGACCACATCACACTTCGCCCTCAGTGGAGCTTCTCAGTTGATAGCGTTTGCCTTGCCATCACAACAGTGTACAGTGTCTGTACATATGCACAGCACTACACATGCACTGCACTACATACACTGTTCTGCAAGGCTGAAGAGACTAACAACATGCACTGCACTACACTACAGACTGTAGTGTAGTGTCGTGCATGTTGTTGCTAGTGTTACTCTCTTCACCCTTGCAGCACAGTGTATGTAGTGCAGTGCATGTGTAGTGTGCAGTGCATGTGTAGTGTACAGTGTATGTGTAGTGTACAGTGTATGTGTAGTGTACAGTGTATGTGTAGTGTACAGTGTATGTGTAGTGTACAGTGTATGTAGTGCAGTGCATGCTGTTAGTCTCTGCACCCTTGTCGCTAGTGACTAGTGTCCCCACTGCTTGTTCTTTCACAGTACAGTAAGCAAACTGTTGCACTGCCTAGGGCCCAATCTGTCGTCACCTCGGCATGCTAGTAGAAAGGTGCAAACTCAGATAGTTTGCACCTTTCTACTAGTGTGCCCTGTAGCTGGATATCCTGCCATTCCCCATATCTGTTCTGCATTCGTGCCTGGCTGGTTTTCTCTGGAACAAGAGTTGTTTTATGCAGTAGGCTGTAACCATGAAGTGCAGTTTGTGAAAGATTTCCAGGCTGTCGCGTCCCGTTGAATTAGCTACCTTTGAGCATTATGGAGAGTATTCAATTTAACACTTTTTCGGTGTTTTGCTTTGCAGGCATTCACTGTCCGTAGTTTTTATTAATCTGGTCTGAAAAGAAGCTGACACGATGTACACGATGTGTTTGGGGGTCTGCCAGTGTTATATTGGATTTGCATACACATCTCTATTTTTTATATTCCTATTAATGTTTTTATGAAGGATTGGGAGAACTTCAAAATGTTGTTGTTGCTCTGCTGTTGTTGTTGTTGTTGTTGTTGTTGTTGTTGTTGTTGTTGTTGTTGTTGTTGTTGTTGTTGTTGTTGTTGTTGTTGTTGTTGTTGTTGTTGTTGTTGTTGTTGTTGTTGTTGTTGTTGTTGTTGTTGTTGTTGTTGTTGTTGTTGTTGTTGTTGTTGTGGATACAGATGTGAACTTGAGCGTGTACGAGGGTGAGATTACTGCCCTTCTTGGTCACAACGGTGCTGGCAAGTCCACCCTGATCAGCATGCTGACCGGTATGGTCACGCCCAGCACGGGACTGGCACGCATCTACGGCCTGGACATCGACAGTCCGGCAGACATGGCCGAAGTCCGACAGTTCACCGGTAGGTGTGCCGTGCCATCGCAGACCCTGCTGTGTACTGTAAATACCGGTATACAGAATTTCGGCGCTGCATAATTTCAGCATTAATTTTCACAATTTTTGAATTTTTGACTGCGATTTATTTTCGGCATGTGGCTAATACTAGTACAGTCAGACCTCGCTTATCCGGTCCTCGCTTATCCGGTCCTCGTTTATCCGGATCCCTCGCCATCCGGAAGAAAATCGTTGGTTACCGATTTACTGCATATGTCATGTACACATTCAGTATGCGTGTCCGATTATCCGGTTCCCTCGCCTATCCGGATATTTTTTGTGGAAAACGGATGTGTGCGGTTACGCGAGGTCTGACTGTACATCAAAGCATACGTGAAAAAAATGCATCAGCATTTTAGTTTCGACGTTTTGGGCCGGTCGAATATAGCCCAAATTAAACAGCTGCCAAAAATTAGTTTATTTACAGTACTGTGTTCAGTTGATTGTTGTTGAGCTATGCCCCGGATCTGCTCAGCCATTGGGTAGGTGTGGCCCGTTTTAAGAAACTGTTACCCCAATGCCTTGCTTTTTCACGCTAGTACTTATGACTTTCAGCTATGCAAAATGCGAACATGATCACCTATCCTATACCGGTAGTCTATTATATTAATTATTCATATCTTTTTG